AATCTATATTTCCAGTGTTTTTTCTGGTTTGGTCACATGATCTGCAGACTGACAGACTTTTAAGAAAACTTTCAATGGCGGGTAAAGCAGCAGGTCAATAGTGGTGGAACCAAAACCAGCTCTGTCTCAACTGTTTGCTGAAAGAACATGGAAGATGGTGAGGGATGTTTTAATAGAGAGCCTCCATCCATCTTTGCACTAGCTGTTTATAACCAGATATCTGAATAAACAGCATTGAATCATCTTCTCTTGGGGTCTTAAACACTTTGCAGAAAAACAATTCTCAGGGTTCTGAAAAGAAATTCTTCTTTTAACTGATTTACTTCCACATAACCCTCCCTCCCTTTTCATGCAAAGATGATCTTTATAGGAAAAACTGCTCACCTTATCCATTTCTTGTGTTCTCAGTTAGTGGTCATAGATTACTTTAACATAATTTGGTTTAAAAGCTTTTTTTAATCAAAAGAACAATGTATGTGATAATGGTGAAAGACTTCTTTTACTTGCGTTTTCGTATGCATAACTCAAAAGAAGTTTTTTTCTTTTTTATCCGTTTGTATCAGAAAAGGTTATTTAACAACTACTTACCAGCTTTGAAAAACATCAGGGCAGTTGTGATTAATTTGCTTTCCAAACTTTCACAGTTTTGGGTATTCTGACTCTAAACCCTGTTTAGCAGCCTCCCTCCATAAACTTCACCCTAAAGTTTCAGAGTAATTTATTTCCCTCACAACACGGCCCATATTGCCTTGGGTAAATTTCTATTTAGGTCATTTGTTTTTATGCTGGTGGATGCAGTGAAAAAGGCAGGAATAAATAAGAATGGCTTCAAAGATTACCCTGGTTCTAAGAGTAGGTTCTTAAAGAAATGTGCCAGGAATTGTAAGGAGTATTTTCATTTACAAAGAACTAGTAGGCATAGGATTTACTGTCAAACTTACCAGAACACGCAGCTTTAGCAGAAGAAAGCTATGATTTTTTTGTTTCATTTTAGTGCACGATTATTTACGGGAAAAGCTTGTACTTGTTACTCCTATAGTAGACCCTTATTAATTACCAGTCATAAGCCAACAATAGTGGCTTTGAGTTTATCAATAAAGCACTAACAACAGAGAAATACGAGACAGATCACCTAATCCTGACTTCATGTCCTTCAAAAGCAATTTAGCCAACTTAAATCAATGCAGATTTTTAAATTCACATTTAATGATACCTCTTGGCGAGGTTGTTCAAAGACCTGTGACAGTATCATCAATAATGATCTATTGTAACAGCTTGTCCTCTACAGATCCCGAGACGCCCCACCAGAAAATTGTTTGGGGCAATACAGAGTTGCCCCTGGACATTTGCGTACAAAAATAAAAGTAATTGTAGATTCCACAACACAGCATCTCAGTAGAGTGTCTCCCACTTGCTGAATGGAGAATATATAAAAAGATGCTACAGCAAGCCAAGACTGGGAAGGATTACATTATTATTGGGCTTCATGACATAGGGGATGCACAGAGCAAAAGGGAGTTCACATGTCAGAGGTAGACTCATTACAAAGTTGGAGGCTTGCCCCTACTTCATCTCCAGGTTGATCTTATGGGAAGAGAAAAGAGGAAGTGGAAGGAAGTGATTATATTTAACTTGATGGTGTTAGTATTTAGGTCTTATCTCTATTAAATTGCTTCTGTAGTCCAGACAACAGTAATTTAGCAAAACACATTTCAAGATAATTATAGGAAGCAGATAAGCAGTTTCTACTCTGGTAAAATCAATGATAAAATCAGTTATTAAAAAAATAGGAGTAGACATCTTACATCTTTTCATACCATACGGTGCAATTTTCTCTGACATTTAAAACCCACCAAAGAATGTAGTGTTTTACCCCCATGTCTAACCTTTTGGGGTTAATGGTGTTAGTTCAGCAATTAGTCCAACAATTTTCAGGTACGCAACTGTTGTTCTGATCTTGTATTAATCAGCGGCAGGTGTTCCCTTCACAGCTGGTTAGTTCGTGCTGATGTGAAAGGCTGTCAGGCTTCATTGTGTGCTGCAGTCTGGGACCGACTCTCTATATTCTTGCTGCATCACACAGTATTGCAGGTGGCACCGAAGCAAACATGACACTTGGGTGATAGTGACTTGCTGAATGCACACTAATGCTTCTCTGTGCTCTGATGCATGTTCATGATGCAGTCAAGGTCCACTTAACTGTCTGTTGTAAAAATAAGATATCTTTTTTGATATAGGGCTGAAGAGGCCGATGTCATGAAGGCTGTCAAAAGGTGGATTTGAAAGGATGATCCATAATTTGAAACAACTTGCCACCTTTTTTTTTTCATTTCAGATAGCTAAATTTATATCCAGCGTACTATTCAACAGTGTTGTAGTACTCAATCTGGGTCTCAGACGACTTTTTGATGGTCTCGCATTTGAACTCTGTCTTGTCTTTGTCTCAGATTATGAGGACTCGCAATTTAAATATAACCTAGCCTTTACCTTCCTGTTCAATCCATCTTGATTAAAATCTCGCCACACAGATAGTCTGGGCTTTCCCCTGTTTATTTGGGATTCCCTCTGGTAGAATTTCTACCATGCCGATCAAGTTGTGAAGGATGACGTTGATTTTCTGCACTGTTTTAAAATTGTAGTCTGCCTATCGTTTTAGCGATGGCAGCAGAGGCAGTTAATGAAGTTGTTCAGTGCAAGTTGGCCACATTTCCAAATATTGAATTGACATTAAAATCTGCCTCGTTCTACTCAGCACTTCTGTCTTCGCAGTGGTAGAGGCTGTTTACAGCCCAGGTCATTTTCGGTAGGGTTCATAGCATCGATCTAGTACTATGAAACCTGTTTAAAGGAATATACCTTATATATATATATATATATATATATATATATATATATTATATATATATATATATATATATATATATATATATATATATATATATATATATGCAAGGTATGTTCGGCTTATGTTTTCCAACATAAGTTGAAGAACATCCTATCCTTCCCACCCCACAATGAACATAAAAAATGAAGAACATCCCCATGAGGTGGAGATGTTCTTCATTTTATAAAGATGCTTTCATGATGAACATCTTCAACATAAGACGGAGTAGTTCTTTCCTTCCCACCCCAGGTTGAATGTTAGATGAAAAACATTCCACATTGAACACAAAATGTTCGACACAAGATGTTCAAGAAAATCTTCATAACATAAAAATGTTACGTTGAACACCTTCAGCACAAGAATTTGTTCAACATCTTATGCTGGAGATCCCATGTAGGAAAGTATGTGTAAACGTGGGTAGGTGTGTGTGGGATGGTGTGTGTATATGTATTCGAGAGAGTTTGTATATGGCCTTTGAACTTTTTTTTCTGGTGCTTAAATGTTTTTATTATGCACGAGTCAAAAATGACCCACAAGACAATCCTTGTGGTACAAGCCCACATGGAAATATAAAAAAAAAAGCAAAAGTATCACTTTTTCTAATGACGGGGTCAATTTAGGAAAAGTCAGAAAATTTCAAATTGGAAAACGATAGTTCAGAGTATTTTTTCTACAGATAAACATGGTAATGGGTCACTTTTGACCTGCAAGACAATAAATAAATTAACCAGTCTGAAGTGATGGCTGGCTTAACAAACAGAAGCTGTGGTACTCCTTTTGTGTATTGTTAACACATCTATCACAAAAGCACTGCCGCTTAGCATAAAAATACAGCAAAACAAATCCATAACACCATAAATTCAACCCCAAATGCAGCTGACATTAGAGCAGGACCACCCACTGGTCCAGCCTTCAGAGACAGGCAGCTGAGCCTTACTGTCAGACTTTGGCCTTGTAAAATGAGTAATGAACAATAAAAGCAGCGCGTAAAGTGCCACATTAAATTTCTCTATGTCTGTACAGTTTTGCTATGAACCAACAATGTCGTAAGTGGACTGGTTCAATGCACCAACTATTCAAAAGGACCAGAGGCAGAGGCAGAAATATTGTAAGAACAAATTTCATTATAGTGACAACAATAAGTCCCCAAATAAGCAGAGCAAGAGCTGTGTACCAAAAAAATACTTCAAAGATTTTTGTGCAGAATAAAAAAAATTAAAAAAAAACAGCTCAGCCAAAGTACAAAACAGACTGAATAGAATTATATCAGTAATACTTTAAAGAGTCTTTAAAAGAGTCCTTTAAAAGGCAAATGTTTAAAAAAGATGCATTAAAAAAATTTTTGGGAAAGAAAGTGTTTTGTTGAAGTCAGTTTATTTGCAGCGATAATTTTACCTGGCATCCTTAGCAATGGTTTCTCTGCTATTCCATTTAGTTGAAGTTTTACTTGCTACTCTATTCGAACAAAGCAAATTTGATCCTAATCCATAAAGTCAGTGATTGGTTGACATTTTGGCAAATCAAGCACAACCATGGACCAATGTGTTTCTGATTCATGTTCTACGTCAATGTGCATCAGTGATATATTCAGGACAACTCCTGTTCAACACAACAAACATTTGCATTTCATATAAGTTTTCATTACATAGAAAATACTTAAGTCCTTGGGAGTTGATGCAGAATCCACAAGTCACTGGAAACCTCCACTGACGCAGCATTGTGTCAGATGTATTTGAATAAGACATGATGTCTTATTTTTGCTTAATTCCCCAACACAGATTGCTTGCAGGCAGAGGAGTTTTGATTGACCTTCTTTTTGCATTTCACATTTGGTGAATTCAAACAATAAAAAAACTGAGCCTTTATGCAAATTAGATTGGAATGAATTAAGTAAATTACATGTTACGTATTATTCAGAACTGTGGGATTTTGGAAAAAGCAGCTTGGATACATTCAGTTTTGGCTTTCTTTTGATTAATTAAAAGCAATAGTTGTGAGTGTGCTTTATTTTTGGATAAATCTAAGTGTTCCTTTACATATCTATCCAGTCAGTTCACAAGTCCTGTTGGACTTTTCAAAACAAATAAAAGTATAACTAAATGATCTTATTTTTCAGGATCGTGGCTTTTGGTGGCCTGCGTGTGCAAGCAGTCACAGGGAGAAACGGGTGATGGTGAAGTATCATGGAGACAGACACCGTTAGGTAGCCCATCGAGCATGGAGTTTTGCCTTCTCAGCCACACATCAACAGCACCGCAATGAACCAGTTCTGACTGTGGGTAAGTCATTTAAATACACATACAGTGTCTTGGAAAAGAATTCATACCCCCATTCATAAAATATGAGGAAATGAAATACAAATTTAAGTCAAAAATGAGCAAAAAGGCTAAAACGTCAATGGTTTCACATTTTGGACTTAGACCTGATTGAGCTTTGTGCAGTATCCTTTAGTAACAGGATGAAGTTTTTTGTAGAATCTCGTAATCTCCACACAAATCTGTACATAAGATTACATAACGCAACACAAAAAGTGGGGACACCAAGACCGAAGCAGTGTCCCCATTATATTATTACAGGCCATTTTCAATTCAAGCAGGCAATGTAATTGTAATAATGTTTAGAAACTGATTGATTTCTACATTTTTGCTCATATATGAGTAATCAGATTTAAAAACTCACTGCATGTCAAAAAAAATTGCCAACAAAAGAAGTAACTAAAGGACAGCACAACACTGAATGAAAGGCTGAATAAAAATGTGAAAAAATTGTTTATGCTTACACTGCCACAATGAAGCCATGATTTGAAAAGATATTATGTCCCTTTAGTTAGTTAGTTAGTTAGTTAGTTAGTGTCCTCACAACAACCGGTGGCACTGAAACATCAACGGACTTAACGTTTGTCTTTAAACATTTTTTAATGCTTTGAACTCTAATATTGATAATTCTATTCTCGGAGAATGGAATTAATACTTGCTTACAGATCCTTCACAGAATAATTTTGTGTAATTTAAAATAATTAAGTTTATTCTGGATTTATTCTGAAGCTGACAAACCTTCAAAATGCATTGTTGAAGGGTCAGAGGCACCTGCTAAGGTTCAGACATTGGTAATGTGTTTATTTGTGAACAAATAGAATGAATATAATGATTGTACAATTTTGTGAAATCTTGGCATTTTGCCACCTTCCTCAGCAGGGGGAGCAGGATCAATAAGATAACTTGTTTCCTCACAAGCAAAACTTAAATGAATACAGGATTATGTCTACTTTTTTCTTTATTTCATTGAGCAGATCACTTAATAACTTCATTTTTCCAGTTTGCCATTGGTATAACTGGAGCTTATTTAAGCATCTGAGAAAACCAAACCCTGCGAGGAGTGATGGAGGTCTGTTGTCTTAAAGTCAAGTGTTAGTGGGCTTTGAAGAATAGAGTGAGAATGTGAGGCTTCTCTCTCCACAGAACCACGTGTTATTTCCACTATGTTCCAGTTCCAGGTTTACAGTGGATATCATAGTGGTTTATATGAATCTTTAACCAGTTATAATGTTAGGATTATATGTGTTTTTTACAGAAAAGCCAAAGGTTATGTGGATGGGAATCTTTCTGCATGAAACAGACTGAGAATGGAAGTGTTTCCGGTTAGAGTAGCAAATAGAAAAGCAAGATAGTTTAAAAATGAATGACATAGCATTTTCTTAAGCCACTATAAAATGTTTGCTATACTTTTACACAACAGATTGATAATCGTGGCGCACTTCCTCCCACCTTCACTTCCATTCTACTTTCTTCAAATTGTATGTAACTGTCTGATTAAAATCGATTATTTGTGTCCTAAGAAGGGAAGTGCCTACAAGAACTTGTTGGTTCATTCCATTCATGAAGTTGAGAAATTCATAAAAAAAATCATCAGAAGTTTTTCGAGATGAATAATGAGCACAACGGGGAGGGGGTGTACCACAGCAGGGAGGAAGGGAGAGCTCAGCCACTTCTTCTCCAGTTGATGTTTTTTTTTTTTTTGACAGTTTGTTTTGGAATAGCTTCCCAACATGCGGTAGGTCGCATCCTAATCAGTCGTCTTTGAGCCAGTCCTTCTGTGGCCATGTTGTTCCTGTTGATGAAATAAAATAAGTTTGCAGAGAATAGTTTCATCCCATGCTTATTAAGATGGCGCCCACCAACTCTGAAAAGGTGGAAACTTTCTCAGAATATCCAGTGGTTAACAATGAAGGTCAATGTGTAGGTAGCACATGCTTTTATCAGCCATTTGTTTTTTGAAAGAAGTCTAGAGTATTTCAGGTCACTCCATGCTGCTGCTGGGACAGGGCCACTAAGAAAAATCTGAAGTTTTAGTGTTCCAATAGTAGAAGAATGGTAAAGTCTGTTTTCAGAATCTCTGATTGTTGTTTTGCCAGATCATTAGCTCCCACGTGCACAACCAGTGTTTCAATATTCGGCTCATCTGTGGTTCGAGGATTTTGTCTTTTATTTCAGACAAGGTATTTTTGACAGTACGGAACTCTTGTTCTCTTGGTATTGCAGAAATGGATGATTCATCCTACTGTCTCATCTCCAGTGATACTTTTGGCATATTTGTGATTTTCTTAGTATTTGCTCTGGTGAATACTAATGTGCCGGTCTTTCCTCATACCTGTGGGTGAGGTTTCCCTCAGAGGTTCCTGCTGAAGTGTAGCAAATCTGTTTTTCAGTGGGATTCCCACAGAGTCGAAATGTGTTATGGCTCAGGCTGGTCATTTTGTCCTGTGAAACATGGTGGGTGGAATAGTTCCGGCCGGTTTATTTTCCATCGGTGTTGAAGTTGGATTTGGGTTTCAACTCAAAGCTGGCCACGCTGATTTGTCCAGGTGAAGTGTTATCACCATTTGTCGTTTTGTCAAATCCAAGGTGTGTTTCGGTTCAGTTCCCAGAGAGTGCCAGGATGGGCTGCAGGGCATGTAACCTCTCCATTGTTTATAGGGAGAGTAGTTTAGTTGCCACAAAGATTGTTTTATCCAACCTTCACTTCCAGCAGCTGAATCTTCCTTTCTATTGATTTAAACCTGATTTAGACATAGTTTCTGAGCTGGGTGTTGTCTTGAATCTCAAAATTCCTCTGCAAATCATTTATCTTTAATTCTACCTATATAAGTCTTTGTATAAGGTTGCAGATATTGTCTGTGCTAACAAGAAGCATCTTGAGAAGAAGAAAAAAAGAGGAGTATCCCACAGTCCTTATTTTTGTAGTAGTCCAGTTATGATGTCTATGTACGCGTAGTTATAAAAATTATAAAAAGGTGAAATTATAAAAGTTATAAAACTGGATATACAGAATAACTTCAGCAGGCAGTGCTATCATTAAGGACAAGGGAGCAGAATAAGTTGTAACTCCTTCTGCTGTTAGATGGAATCACGGAAGTGTGATAATCTCTAGCTTTTTCAGGATAAACTTGCTGTAACTGACGGAAAATGACTTTGGGTGATGTCCAAAGTCATCACCCAAAGTTATCTGATATTGAAGTGTGACAAAAAAGCAAAAGCAGAAAAAAAATCTGTTAGGGAGGGAAATACTTTTCAACAGTACACCGGTTTCTGTGAATGTGAACATTAATTATCTATCTTTTGCCATTTTCTCATCATGATTTACCTTGAAACTTTGTGTTATAATGTACAGAGTGAAGGTTTTTCTGTCTGTTTTTTTATTTTATTTATTTATTTTCCAGATAATCCAGAGCCAAACAACCAATCATTGAGATGCCGAAGAGAAGAGATATTCTTGCCATCGTGTTGATCGTGTTACCCTGGACTCTACTCATCACTGTTTGGCACCAAAGCGCTATAGCTCCACTCCTCGCTATCCGAAAGGGTACGCCAAACACCACACTTCACTGGCAATATCAGAACTGAAGTGGGTCCTTGAACCTAACACTGCACTTCAAGTTTTAGACAAAAGGCTGTTCATGTGGAGGCACTCATCAGACATGACCATAAGCTCCAGCACAACTCAATCCCACTTATCAAGTGACTATAAATCTCAACACAGAGAGTTGTGCACCTGAACAGAACAAAATAGCCTTGCAAACTTAAACGATTATGTCCAACTGTCAGTCAGCTGATAGGAGCTGATTGCATAGCTGCATTTCCTATACATTTGTTTTTTCTGTTAATGTGAATCTGCCCACTGCATATGAGCTTATACAACAATGTCCTCCCACAATGTGACCACCCACATGAGTCTTATCGGTCAGTATCGTAGAATATGCTGCGTCCACGTCTCGTATCGTGTTTGTGCTCCCGCCTGAGTCATTAACACCTATTGAGTGTCCTGATCATCTGCAGAGACCACTAACGAACTGTGTAAAATGTCAACTGCGATGCAGAGTAAACATCCAAATTAGAGCGACCTGAATCAATGAAGCTGTTTGCTTTCCACTCGTGGTGTTGAAGAGGGCAAGTCGAGGGATTAACAAACAAGCCACATTCACTCAAATGATCCAAAACAGAAGATAATGCACATGTATGCTGTCTGAAGTTTGCTTGTTTTTTCAGGTTTTCTAATAATTTTATTAGATATATGCTGGAGGACATTAAATAAAGCGCCTTCATGGGTATGCCTTCAGGAAAGCAGATAGCCTTAATAAAACACTAAGAAAAGTTGGGTTAATTTATGTGTAGAGAATACAATGAAAAAAAATTTTTTTTTGTTTTGTTTCTTTACAATAATATCTGATGTAGTTTTTTCCTGTTGGCTTCAAATTGTGTACTCCTTAAGAGAAATGGTGCTGATCTTTTATTTTCATTTTGGCAAAGTGCTCCCTGGCAGCTCTGTTGAACATCTGGCTATCAGCAGGTTGGGCTAATCTTTGTGCTGCAGAAAAATCTTGGAGTGTGAAGAGTGACAAAGATTTTTTTTTTTTTTACTTTGGCATGACAATAACAAACAATGCTGATGATGCTGCAGTCATATTCTGTCCTGTACTGAAATATATGCAGGTAAAAGCTACACAAGCATTCAAAATAAAATTTAATCCAAAGGAACAGAATCATCTGTCAAAATAAGCCACACCTTCGTCACCATGCAGATGATAAAATAGTGAGTCATATGAAGTCATATTTACAGTATTAGTAAAAGAAATGTTAATTAGGGCATAAAAACTGTCCATTCGGAAGAGATGCTCAGCATGATGTCTTCCACTCCACATGGACAATTTTTTTCTCAGGAAAATTTCTCAGCGTGTTTTCAAACACAATCTGCAGCTTTTCTAGGCCTGCAAGTCACAGATGCAATTAAGATGCAACTTGTCACAGATTATGCTGGAAGGAACGTTTAAGAGCTGGCATAAATGACAGGCTCAGACTGATTAAATAAAAAACCCAAACATTTTAAATAACAGAAGATTGCAGAATATGAGCAAATACCAACAGAGAGAAGGAAGAGGGGTGTAAGCAGCAACACAATGGCCTGGCAATGAAGCACTTTGTTAGCCCTGTAGATATTCTACAAAAACAGACAAATGTGATATTTAACTAGATACTGGCAAAAAGAACAATATACTTTATTTCCAAGACATTTCATATTTTACAAGAACTCCGACATTGAGTTCTCCTACATCTGATAAAGCAACCTGGATTTTCTTAATTTGGGAGATCTGTGATCGCCCAATAGTAATAATAAAACCGATCTTATTTATCTCTGCAAATGTCTTAAAATCAAACACTGTCCTCCTTTGATCTGCTGTGAGAAAAGCTTGACTAACAAACCCTCAAATCAAATCATGTATTCATGTTTGTTGTAAGCAATAGTCACCCCACTGTTGCTAATTCAATGACATTATGGCTATATTCAGTAACATTTAGCCAAAATCGGAATTGCTAAGCCAGCTTCATAAAGATTGGTAACTGGCAATCAGCCAGAAAACTGCAATCCGTGCACCCCTACTACGAAGTCTTCATAGCTCCCTACAATTGCAGCAGATCTGTTTTATATTTCCCAGACACATCAAAAGGGATACAAGAACAAACAACACTGAGAGAGAGCACAAGTTATCTGTGTATTGGGAGTATGCATTGGCCTTAAACCAGTTTGTTTTGGTGTTTCACATATTAGCTTTATTTATTTTTTTATTAAACTGACATCCACAGCTAATCACTGTGATTTTCAGATTTATTGAAAATGCACAATAGTGCTCCTGGTACATCAGCTGTTAAGCATCTAATTTTCTCATCAGTCAAACAAAGCCTGAGGGTATAAAAAATTATAAAGGAAAAACCAATCTGATCATTTTTCAGATCCAATTCAGGGTGGTCTCCTGCATTATAGGCATGGTGGCGTGCTATATGGCCTTTACTTGCCACTTCACTGTGCCTTACGTCAGCTCTGAATGTGACAGCATTACATAGCTTGCTTTAAGACGAAGTCAAATTCTGATTACTTAATTAGGATTCAACTGTAGAGCATAAAATATAGTTTTTGTGAATGTTTTTTTTAAGAGTCTGCAGTTGTGTGTTTAAGTATTGTCAACAATATCTTACAATTAACACTGTCATTAAATTTTTTAACTTTTAAATTTTTTTTATTTTTTTACACAAAAACATGATGTTGGTCAAGTTGTCAATATGTGGATCCACATTTAAAACTACACCAGCTGGTGATATTAAATGAAAACAGCCAAACAGAAATCAGCGTTGTTTATCAGTCCCCAAAAAATTAGGATATGCAAATGAAACCCTGTTGTCGGCCTGGTCGTCAACACTCGGAAGCGGGGTGGGGTGGGGTGGGGGATGGGGGGCAAACTCAATGAGACCCATTAAATCCAATAAGTCACATATAAGATGAGAGTATTCACTCAACCTTGGAATATTTTCTGTGTCCGCATGTGTCACCTCCTGACATTGTGCAGTATGGATCTAGTGAAGCTCAGGACAGATGGTCAGGATGGCACGTTTCTGTGTCGCTCATTGCCAGAGGGGCTTTCAGACTTTCTGGTCACCTGAAGAGCTATCTTGTTTCTGCCACTGAGCAGGGACATGCACAGATAGACACTAGGCACAGATAGAAGGGCTCTGTTTTCCTCTAGACAAAACAGAGCCCTTCTATACTTTACTTTTTTTTTCTTACAGTTTATTGGGTGTAGCCAAAAACATTACATGGCTATTGATTTAAAATTGATATGTAAAGATGATGCACAAGCTGTGCCTGAAAGAAAAAAAAAATCTCATATTACCAAGGCAGCTGGTGGTTTCATGTGCCACACAAGGTGCCCTTTTTTCCACTTCAGCACCTGCCCTTCCCCAACATGTCTGTACATGACAATGCCACCAAGTATCTTCCAGTAGGTTCATAAAAGCATGAAAGTCACTGAGTTCCCTTATTCCATGTTGCCAGAGGTGCAAACAGACATTTCGGAATCCCGAAGTGCCATCTGGTTCAACGGCATATCACTCCCACTTCGGTCTCGGGTAGCTGCACATAAATTTCACTGTAATGTTTTAGCACGCCCCAGCTTTTTGATGTTTGACTGTTCCACATTGAAGCATTCAAAACTCAGAAATAAAACCTTCAGCAATTTAGTTTTTTTGTTTTTGTTCACTCCAATTTCGCCTGTCTCTCCTAGTTCCTCACTCATCCCATACTCCTGCTGCTGCTCCCTCCCTTCAACCAATCAGAATTTAAAGTTATGCATTATTCATGTAAGCATCCAATCACAGAGAGGCAAAATAAAACTCAATATACATTTTTAGTTGCATCACCTGTGGAGAACGTTTTCTCACAGTACCTTTCAAACAAATTATATAAACAAAAGGAAATGAAGAGCCCTCTGCTGGACAAGTTACTACATTGGCTATAGACAGAACAGCTCAAGTCGACTGTAATTGTCAGAAAAATCCTTTGTATGCTCTCTCTGTTCAGAAATTGGTCAAATATCTTCTCAGTTGCTGTAAAATATAGCAGGGCTGCACTTAAACAAAGCAGTAAAAGGAAAAAGAATGGAGAGGGAGTCTGTGGTGGAGTCTGGCCCAAATAACTTGTTCTTATGATTAAATTTGAATAAAAGTCCATAAGCAATGCTTTGGGAATCGCTGAGCTCATGTTTCCCCTCCGCTGTCTCCCTCTCCGCCAGCTGTTTTGTCCTCTCACGGTGCCTGCTTTCACTTCTTGCAGCCTGTCACCACCTAGTAAAAGAGATCTTTATCATTCCAGAGAGGCTTGTGGTCCACCCCCACCGACTCTCAGGTACACTTTACCCCCATAGGGTTTAAGTCACCTGAGGCAAATATTCAGAGCAGCTCAGGATTGCACTAATGCCTTTCCTGCCTTCTTATGTCCATATCTGCAGATGAAGGCGCCGAGGGCAGGAGGGAGGCTGGTGGTCAGGACTCCAAAGAATACTGTGCCTCAGATAAGGACATCGTGGAAGTGGTGAGGACAGAGTACGTGTACACGCGGCCTCCACCCTGGTCAGATGTGCTGCCCACGATTCACATCATCACTCCCACATACAGCCGGCCGGTGCAGAAGGCAGAGCTGACACGTATCGCAAACACCTTCCTCCATGTCCCCAACTTGCACTGGATTCTGATAGAAGACTCGCAGAGGAGAACTCCTCTTGTCACAAGTCTCCTCCGAGAGACAGGGCTGAACTACACCCACCTCAATGTGGAGACTCCCAAGAACTTTAAGGTACGAGGTGACACTCGTGACCCCAGGATTCCCAGAGGAACCATGCAGCGGAACCTGGCCCTGCGTTGGCTTAGGGAGACCTTCAAAAACAACAGCCAGCCGGGCATCGTCTACTTTGCAGACGATGACAACTCCTACAGCCTGGAGCTATTTGAGGAGGTAAATGCCGTCGTCAACCCTGCTACTCTACCGGTGTATTTTCTGGTGTCTTTCACAATTATTTATGAAATTTGAAATGCTGCACTTCAAATTTTGGTTAATGTCTTTGCATTTTTTGAGCGTGGCTATGTGTTTTGTTTTTTTTGCTTTATAACTTTTCTTTTCACGGTTTGCTCTACCGAAAGAACCATGACGCAATTTCAGCACTGCCTCGCAGCTTGCTTCATTTTCAGTTGCCACGGGCAACTGATCTCAAGTCCAGACGACATATGATCCAAGCAAAAACTGTTCAGTTTTTAAAATTCTCCATTCTGTATGCAGAAATATTATAGAAATTTGGTACTTTTGAAAACTCATGACTTTCAGTGTGTGGGAAGCTTCTGCACTGTGTGTTTTGCCGCTGATGAACCAGGTTAAAGTTAGAAAATGCAGTCGCTAAAAATATTTCCAACATGTCTTTTTTTTATTAATTTGTTGTGTAGTTTAGTAAACTTAGTCGTCTGTGCAAGCTCACATACTAGATTTGCTATGTTGTTCGAAGGGAATAACATGATTTCACAACCTGCAAAAATACATTTTGCATTTGCATGACATATAAATTAAAGCTGCTTTGATGCAATTTCACTTTTACACACACACACACACACACACCCCCCCACACACACACCCACACACGCACGCACACACACACACACACACCCCCACACACACACACACACACACACACACACACACACGCACACACACACACACACACACACACACCTATTACATTATTGTTTTGGCCCCATCATACCATTAGCTCCAGATTTATATGTCTTTTTAATTTCAAACAATAATTCAATCTTTTTAAGCTGAGTTGCCCGTTTTGCACAGGTTGACACAAGTACCCTTACTGCTCAATTTCCATTTTAATTATTTGTGTAAGAAAATATACACAGTTTTTAATTTTAGATGTTGCTTCAAAATTAGGGCATTGCACAAAGCAATTATTTCATAAGGTTCACACTACACTTCTTATATTTTACATCATCACTTTTCTATGCAGTGTATTTATAATATGTTGCTCAGCTACCCTTTCTCCCTTCTGTCAGACAATTCCTTGGCTCACAACAAGTCCGGTCAGGGATCTGAAGCTGCCCGAGTGATGTCAGCACATGTAATCAGAACATCTCAAGCCATCCGTTTCGACATCAGTCGAATTACCTGAGCTGAAGCAGTGTAGGTCCTGCCAGTATTAACCTCGAGTCTTGTTAGTTTTGCAGACGTTGTCTGTGGCAAATGGAGTGGCCGGTATTGATAGTGACTGTCATTACCTTTCTCTGGAAATCAGCCAAAGTGCTCTGCCTTCCTCTGAGATCCTCCATCACCTCCAACAAGCTCATTCAGAGGCCAAAGTTAAAACCCTGGGGGGCAAAGACAGAGCTACGGGAGTGTGAAAATAGAAAAAGGGAAAAATAAAAGGCGACAGCTGAATAGATGAAACTCCAGTACAGTGTACTGAAATCTTGACAGGCATTAGCAGACTAGATGTGGGTCAGTCACATATGCAGGTTACTTATTAAGACTTGAAAAACTCTGTATTTATACTGCAAGGTCATTTGAAAAGATTGCATAAAACAGAATTAAACACACCTGGGCAAGTTAACTTTGAGCAAAAAGTAATGAAACACTGCAAATCATGATTGCATCATAAACAGAGAAAGCAAATCACGATTTCAGTTTCAGTAAACTGCCTCTCTGTTAACTAAAACTCTACTAGTCAGTGTTCATTAGAGTTCTGAAGGTAGGCAAATCCCTCAGTCTAATAGTTTTATATAAAAAGCACTCTCAACAGGCTCCTCATGTTGCTGATCCTTTGAGTCTTCCACTTCAGACATTATTGTCCCCAAAGGAAAATTATCTTCCACAAATGAGCCCCAGCACTCTCATAGCCAAAAAGTCAATAACTACCAATGCTAATTCAAAGTGTGCTAATTGTGTGCAAACCAGATATTGCTCACCTTCTAAATTTCAAATTATATGCAAGAAAGAAAAACAAAAAGCATTTATGAATTAAAAGTTTCTGATTTACCAACATTTAAATTGACTGATGAGTGTTCAAATAGAAGAAGGTTTGCTCATGTTTGTATATGTTTTACATTACAAGCATTACAAGGTCTGCAGTCTCGGACCAAACCTTTGGCCAAGATGGTCAAAGTCATTTAGTGAAAAGGTCTCAGAGGCCACAAAAATCTCACATATGTTAAAATAAATTTATATTTTTTAATACTCCAAAATATATTAAACAAAACAAGATACTAAAAAAAACTGTTGCATTTTTGTAGAAAATGTTTGATCCAAAGTATAAAAGGGTCTTGAATCAAAGAACGACTTATAATTTTAAACTTTAGGAGGTCAATTAATTTAGTTTTTGGGCTAGCGTTTCTATATTCTCAATAACAAGAATGTGATGGGTATGGGCTTACTGAATTCCCCACACTGGTAAGTGGGGAATATTTAAATAATTGAATTTTTAAATGACCAAAGTTCTTTACTGAGATGAACAAACTAGGCATGTCAGTTAGATGTAAACTGAATAAATTATGTTTTTTGAAACAAAGAAAAGTTTGAGAAACTTTTATGAAAATCTTTCATTTGGATAATATCTCACAGACTCCACAAATTAGAACAACGTACTGCAATAGTCTCCCTAAATATCCTTGAGGTCTGAATAATTGAGGAGAATTATTGGTTTTTATGTATTTTCAACCAAAGGACTTTGTTTCTCTTTTCAGTCTCACATCTCAAACACAGTACTGTGTCTCTGTAGGGCCCTTGCAAACTGGAGCAGGAAACTGAACTTAAATCCCAAGACTGGCATGCATTCGCAAAACTGGAGCAAAACCACACAAGAAATTGTGTACAAACCCATCATATTCGCCTGAGTGAGGCAGGGGAAACTTGGTTGCATTTTCATTTGCTTGGCTGCCAGCAGAAGAGGGGATTTGTGTCAGTTTCACTCCGGCTGATATTCCCTCCAGAAGAAGCGAGCGGAACACTCATTTTCACATTTTTCAGTGTGGATGGGAGAGTGACAAACCTCTTGACACCACCTGCAAGGGGGCTGATTTGTTGTTTTCTCTTGTTGTGAGGGAAGGCGTAAACATATCTGCAAGAGGAAGCTGGCAAGTGACGTCGCAGCCAGACGAGACGGATTTACTCCCTGCCAAAGAACGCTCATCCTTGAAACGGTGCAAAGAGATACGGTTTGTGTAGCCGACAAAGCAAGCTGGAGACCGAAAAGACAGAATAAGAGTGTGATGAGAGATGATGTTGGATTGAAAAATGTGACCAATGGAAGAGGATATTTTTAACCCAACCATGCACTTAGACACATATACAAACCCAGTATCTCTTCAGTGTCACCATTACTTCCTAGAGCTCATTAGAACAGACTCAGCTACTTGTCTTTCCCAGGAGCTCACATTCACGAAATTCCCAAAGTTTTCTGCCGCTTCGTAATGTTCAAACTGTACTCCTCCTAAATCACCTGACCCGAACGCTCAGCAGAAATGGGAAAGATGCGAATGCGTCCGATGTGCCTACTTGTTCCATCAGTGCAGGCAAGCACTGCATCTTACCAGTGACTGCAGAGGTACTTAAGAGGCATCATTATTTCTGCTGCATTGAGTTTGACTGAATGCCTCTGCAGTTTCTAAATCCTCTTCGACCCTCATTTTAAAAATGCACCTTTTATTGTAGCTGCAGCTTTTTGTCAGAGTGGCAAGAACCCAAGGAACAACAGACAAAGGAGAGGGTGGTGAAAGTTCTTGATCGTAGAAGATTAAAGGACCAAAAAAGCGGAAGTAAAAAGGAGGATAGTGCAGTTCCATCTTAAAGAATTTTTTGAGCCAAGCATGAAGCTGAGCCATTTTCTCTAATAGGTCTGCTCCTGTAAAGCCTCCTGGCTCTGCCCGTGTTTACTCCCTTTTAAGATGGCAGCGCCTCATTATCTTATTGTACGGCAGCCCTTGAACAGTGTGTCAGCTGCACTGGTACAGCAGCACGGTCAATATTCACCATCTTTCAGAATGAATCATCTCCGTCCATGCTCTGCTGCAGCACTGCTGACTGAAGCTAAACTACTGTCTTCCTGTCATGTATGCTCCTTCAGATCACTAATATGCTCTCTCCCTCTGCCTCTTCCTCTCCTCCGGCTAGATGAGGTCAACTCGGAAAGTCTCAGTGTGGCCTGTGGCCTTCGTGGGTGGCCTGCGCTACGAGTCCCCCAAGGTAAACGCAGCCGGAAAGGTCTACGGCTGGAAGGCGGTGTTCGACCCCCACCGGCCATTTGCCATCGACATGGCTGGCTTCGCCATCAACCTGAAGCTCATCCTCTCCAAGCCACAGGCATACTTTAAGCTCCGTGGGGTAAAGGGAGGCTACCAGGAGAGTAGCTTGCTCCGAGAACTTGTAACACTCAATGACCTGGAGCCAAAAGCTGCCAACTGCACTAAGGTAACCTCAGGTTTCTGCAACTCAACTGAAACAGTTTAACTGTATTTCACACAGTCCAAAAGCTGCAAAATAAGGTCCAGGGTGTAAATGTATTTGTTTGTTTATTTATTTATTCATATGTTCAATGCTCTAATCAACATGAAGTATTAATCTTATAAAATACTATATTTTAAATTATTGTTCAATGTAGATTTAATTGAAATCTGCTAAAAAAATTTTAAAAAATCAAGTAAGAGTGGCAAAATAATTTACACATACTGCCATCTTAGTTACTGTATCTGAGCTTTAGCAAGTTGTGATGATTAAAACATCAAAACTTTATTTTTCAAATGATCTGTTTTTCAGCATAGTTTCTATTGGTGTCTTTTTTTGATGACTCATAAACACGAAAAAATGGTTTTCGAATGAACATACTTACATTCCGTATTCAAGTCAAGTCACTGAGTGGCTTCTTTTAACCTTAAAGTAGAAGCACGAGCCCTGCTGAAGACAAATATTAACATGGGGCTCACGGTAATTAAAACGACTGTTAATTCAACCTCAGTGGATCCCCAGTATTCACGGTGATTATTAACAAATCCTAAAATCAGCTAAAACTTGAGACTCTCTCTGAAAGCACTTATATTTGTGCATTTCAACAATCCAAGCACACAATATGGGTCATTATGTTCTAACATGCAGGTGCAGAGGGGGGTAGAAGGGGCTTGAGCCCCTGCCTCTTTGATTCTTGAAGCCATCAGTGCAATACAGCATAGCTGTTGCTCGTTGTAGAAAACTTTTTTTTTTTTGGTTGTTAATCAAGCAACAATCAAACCTTTTCTATATATATATATTGCATTTTATATATAAAAAATGCATTTTATTCCCATAAGCACTTGGTGCAGGATGAACTATTTTCTCTCCAGCTTTACCGCTCCCTCTTGCGGTTGTTGGTCTGGGTCACCTTGCTAAGCTTTCTCTCTGGGCAAAGAAGAGTCAGCCAGAGGCCTTCAGCAAGCCAGTCCTCATCACAAGCACCCATACACACACAGACAAAGATAGAACGGAGAAGAAAAGGAGGGAAAAGGAAGGGACGTACTCTCAGCCAGGTTTTCATCCTGCTCCTCTCCTGCCTTTCACAGGCCTAAATGAAAAGAGGGGATTCAGGGAACTGCTCGCGGAACTGAATTGGATTCGGTGAAGGAGACAGAGACGTCACACTGATTACAGATGAGTGCAGGAGATGGACAAAAAGGGTGGTAAAGATGGAGTAAAGGGGAGGGAGTGGGGGTTAAGTCGTGTATATGCATGTTTTTTCTTATAATCGTCCACTTCAGATGCGAGCGTCACGGTTACCCGCCTCCTCACTACACCTGAGCAGAGAGGGAGTGGGCTCCTGGCACGGCTCATGCATATTTCATGACTCCTGCCACGGAAAGATGAAAGAAGGAAGGGTACCAACACAAAGGAGAGAAGAGGGAAATGAGCTTGACACTTTGAGTTTGTTTCCCTCCCCCTCAGCCCCCCTTTGCAAGCGTTTTCCTGCGTGTTTGTTCTGTCTCTGGGGCAAAAGCAAGCCAGCATGAAGGCTTTGGAAGATGTAATGGAACAAAAACGTATCCAGAAGAACTGGGGAGAAAACTAGCAATGCCACAAAGGGAAACGTTTGTACAACAAATAATTTAGAGCTGTCAGTCATTTGAAGGAAGCAATTATTCTGTGGTCAGAAATGGACAAGCTGAAAAAAGACTGTGCTAAATTTGTAAGAAAAACAATGTTTCAACGCTGCTTCTTTTCACTCTGCAGGGTTCACGCTCAAGTAGCTCTTTAGACATAGATAGGCCCCGTGGTGGTGAATGTACTGCTGGAGCTGCTTCCAGAATCGACTGTAGTTGAAGAACATAAGGCTGAATCAGTGCATTAAGGGAACAGCATGTCACTAATGTTTCTGCTGTTTGTGTTTCCATGCTATCTTTTTTTTTTTTTTTTTACCAGATACTCGTTTGGCACACAAGGACAGAGAAACCCGTCCTGGTGAATGAGGGGAAGAAAGGATTCACAGATCCAAACATGGAGATTTGATTGTACTTTCCTCAAACTCTGGTAAATATTCACATTTTTTACGCATCAAAGGGCGGCTTTTTTCTTTTCTTTTTTTTTACTTTGTCAACTGATGTGCAGAAAGAGCAGTACCCCTCTTATATATTTCTTTTTTTTCACATTTTAATTTCACCAATCTTCCAACAAATTCTATTAGATACAGATCACCTGAGAAACTGCAGTATTTTAATCATATTTAAATTTGGACTTTGACAAAACCAAAACCATAATTTTGCTCATTTTTGTCAGGCAGTCAGAGGTGGACTTGCTCTTTTGTCCAGTCAGTAAACAGAATATTTTTCAGTAATTTTGGGGATGGTCTACTCTAGATGAGGAGATCCTTGTGTCCCTTTTTGCCAGCGGTGGATTTCACCTTTGAACTCTCCCATTGATACCATTTTTTCCACAATCTGTCTCATTGTTGAGCTGGGAAGCTTGACATTATTTGAAGGCTTGTGGTGCTTTAGATATTATTCTAGGGTTTTTTTTTTTTTTGTACTTGGATGACCACTTCATGCTATATTGGAGCAGAAATGGACACAGATAGACCCTTTTTTCCTCCATACAAGTCTCAGAAATATCTGTGTGATCATTTTCTGACCATCACTAATTTTGTTTTTTATCCACCCCTGGATTTATACAGCTTGGGATAAGATGTGCTCTGTTTTGAGGTCTTTTAGCCTGCTTCCTGCTGTCTGGGCGCATCTATTTAAGTGATTTCTTGATTCTACTAGTTTGGCAAAAAAAAAAAATAAGGCATAGGTGTGGCCGGTAAAATTCAAGTCAGCCTTTTGTAATTAGTTATAGATTTTTCAAACATTATAACGGGGAAACACTTCTTCACAGCACTGCAGCTACAGTATGAAAGGAACAGGTGTTTTAACGTTTTCTAATAAAATGTGCAGTAACTGTAACAAATGTTCTTTTATTACAGCAGCTGCTCTCTGAAATAAAGAGGGTAATGGAGTTAAATTAAACATGAATGCTACTTCTCAGCTAACTAATTGTTTTGTTTTGCAGATGGTGGGCCTTGCAACTGCAGTGGGGGAAAACAGTCAAGTTTCTATAGAACTGTTCAACTGTGATGAAGTCTTAATTCTAAGGAAACAAAACGGAGGAATATGACATGGATTTAAAAAATATTTTTCAAATATGGACCAAAAACATGTCAACTATATCATATCAAAGCACAGCAGGCAGAGGCAGCAGTCGTTCTTCAGATCTACCACTGAAGAGCAAAGAGGATGGATCTCTAATGAGGTTTACCTCCACCTTCTCCGGGGTTGGGTGGGACAGCACAATATGAAAAGCATACAGCCAGCAGACTGGAACAAGCAAACAGGTCTGAAAACTACCCTTCCTCTGCAAATAATGCAAAGGATCTGAAAGAAATGGACCAGCGTCTACACATTGCACACAAAAGGAGATTCAGGATGTGGTACACATCATCAGTGCTGGATTTAGAAAAAAAAAAAAAAGTTGAGTTCAATTTCAGCAAGGAAGAAATGTTTAAATAACTGCAAATGTTTGCTGTAATTTAATTTAACTGGTTTAGGAGTTTTATGAACACTTGAACTGCTAGTTCACCTGTATTGACTCTTGTCTTCATGTCCTGTTGGGTTTTCATTGTCAATTTTACACCATCATTAAAACTCATACATATACAGTGGGCCACATAGGCACGTACAGTTAAAAGAGAAATTCAACCTTGGTGTTCAACTTGAGAAACATAGTTATCTAAAACTTAACACTCTTCTTAGCATTTAAAATTAACAAGGGGTTTTCTCTTGAGGAAGGGTTTATAGATAGTAAACAAATATGAGACCAATCGGAGGCCTGGGGGAAAATTTTGACAAATGCACTGAACCATTGTATTTATGTGTGAATGCAAAGCTATTAAATTATTGAAACTGAAAGATAAAACTTATTTACTGTCTGCACTCGTCTTATAGAATACTGGTGGAATGTGTGAGACTTGATTAAGAGAACATTTAGTTTGCGGCACCTTCAAAATGAAGAATCTTTCATTCAAGCTCAGATTCATAAACGTCAACTCCTACAGAGGCCCAAAAGTGTCACATTGAAATTCATTTATTAGATGAGAGGAAAAAAATACCTTCCCAAATACATGATTAAGAAAACATGTCATTCATTAACTAATGATTTTGTGCTGCAGTGCAAAAATCAATTTAGTTTTTTCTCTTCTTTCTGTATGCCTGTCAGTCCGCAGGCGGAGCTGATGCAGATATTCTGAAGTTGACCCATTTGGTCTGAAGGAAATTCTTTCACACACATGGACTCTCTTTGGTTAGGTATCTTTCTCATTGCTGTGACAAATGATGATAAACAAAATATCTCTCGCAAGGCAAATAGAGATTAAAAACATGTGGGAACACCACCTTTAACAAATTAAACAGTCTTTCATAGGAGAATCTTCATCATTTAGTTGACTGAGCGTGCTTCTTCTATCTTACCTAGATTAATGCCATAGCAGCACCACCAGGAATAGGCTGGATGTTTAGTCCTCCAGAAAGTTTTTTAAACAGTGTCTAGATAATAACCACTCATAATTTTGGGGGTTGATGGGATTTCAGAAGATTTGCCTTGGCAAGCTTCTATGGCTGGAACAGAAATTTTGGTTGATTCAAATAAAAAATTAACACTCCTTAGGTTTTTTAAAAGGAAGCCTATTCTTTGTAATGTCATGTTATAAAGAGTCTACTCACTAATGTGCTGATCTGATGCAGCTATTTAAAAAAGTGTTGATGATTCTGAAATATTGCAGCTCTTCTCATTTTACTGTCCAGATTCTGGATTCCGGTAACATTTGAAGATGGGACTGAGAGTGAATGACCGATATTCAAAGTGTCTTTATGAGCAACAGAAAAGCAAGTAAACATCACAAAACAAATAAATATTGCTACTAATCAAATATGGTCTTTTGCTAAATTAGAATCCATTCACCACTAAAGTCTTATTGTTAATCACAATGACAAGTCAGACTACTTTACAATGCACTGCAGTACATTAACAAATGAAATGACCCATTTTGGTAAATTCTGTTATATGTCTTTATGTATTACTTTGTGGCACTTTTGGTCCTCCACATATCTAAATCCTCAGTCTGTTATTTTATTTTGTCTGGGCGCGTCAAATCTGCGTCAGATATTGGCTAAATGCCATTATCTATGAATATTAAAAATAAAATAAAAAATGATCAGAAATCGAGTTTAAAAAAGTATAAACATTAATGCATGGCCCTGAAAATGTGATATATGTAAACAAAAAAAAAATTGAACATTCAGCTCTGAAGTCAATGTAGGCAAATGAAAAGCACAAGAAAAATAATAATGTTTTTTTTTTTGTCTGGTTGCAATGTGGACCCAGTATCTTTAGTACAACTGGTAATATCTGATGCATTATTACGTAGGCTCATGTCAAACATTAACTGGACCACCGAGGAGAGTGTCTGCAGCTCTAACGATAGACATCAGTAGTAATCAGGCAGTACAGCTGATCATTTTTACAAAGTTATTCCACACCTCACAATATAATGGAATCTCTCCTCTTCTGGACAGATCATCCATCTGCAATACCCAGTGGTGGTCCTGATCTATTGCTGTCCCGCTGTAGAAACTGGAGATAATTTAAACACTTAAGCCTCAGTGCTTTACCTGACTCCTTCTGTGTAGCTCCCTAACTTCTGAGACAGAATGTAATGTTAACTGCTGCACAATACAAAAAAAAAGAAGAAAAACGTAACCAGATGTTATTCTAAAGCTCAGCAAGAGAATCCAAGTTATTACACATTTTACTTGGCACTGATTAGACACACATGCAGAAAAATGGCTGTATCTCTCTAACCACGCTAGGCTGCTTTCATTGACCGCATGATATTACCCCTGCACAGGGATTAGCCATGAAGATCACCAGCTACCCTCCAGTTATTTATTCAGTGTCAAAATTTAATATGTTTATTTATATATTTATTTCAACTTTGGATGTGCAATTTAATTACAGCAGCTGCTGTTTTTTTTTTTATCTCTCTAGAAAAGCACGCTCTCACACAGCATACGTGGATTATGTAGATCGTTATTAACAGAATGGTGGCACAACGCTGATAATCATGTTCCACCTGAAAGCGTTTCTTATGAAAGAATCCACCTGAAGTGTTTGGCACCAAAACAAAACAATACTTGTGGTCTGAAGTGGAAAAATGCCAGGGTGTATAGAAACATAATGACAACAGGTGTTGCTTGTTCCCCCCTGACCAAGATTCAGGGGGAAAGTAAATTACTGTTCTTGTTTTCTGGATATTGCTTTTGTCAAGGTGCAGACTGACTAATGATACTGCAGTGTACAGATCAGCATGTGGTCGGACTGGTTGAATACGGTTATGTGATGTAATTTTGTGTGTTGTGTCATAGAGCAGCAGAACAATTGAAAGGGCTTCGCCTTGAACATGTTACAAAATTTCTTCACGTTTTTTTTTTTTTTTTTTTACTATTTTGCATAAAGCAATAGTTTACTTAACCAGCCTTCCCACAACAAACACCAACATCCTCTAAGGCACAATACACTTTACACATAGTCTTTTTTTATCATCTCCACATCACCTGTTCTCATTCACTTTTTATGCATGTGACTCTTAAGGTTGTTTATTTGCCACAGCAGCTCTCTCAGACAAATGTTAGTTGAATCAAGATAAATAAATAACTGAAAAAAAAAAAACACATGTAGCCCAGAGTGTTGTTTCCAGATGTGGGGGGTTTTAACCAAACTGTATGTATTTCAGTCCCAACGAGTCAATCCTTTAGGGATGCAGATTTAAAATGGATTACTGACCAAAAAAAGCATGTGAACTGTATAAACTGTGTTTTTTTTTACAACACAGAGACAGCGAATCTGAATTGACATCTAATATTTATCACTTCATTAATTATTCATTACTTTTTGCATCTGTTTAATTAATAATAATATAAAAGGTGCTACAAGTAATACATCGGATTCCAAATATATTAATTACCTCAGAATTTTTTCCCATTTGTTTCTCACACTACAACTACAAACTTTGACATATTTTACTGGGATTTTGTGTGTTGGAATGAGACCAGGTTGTATGTTGTGAAGTGAAAGGAAAAGGATATGAGGTTTTTCAGTAAAACGGTTGAGTCTATAAGTGTTATAATCCCTTTGATCCTAGATTTAGCCATCTCACAGAGCACAGTCCAATCCATCACCTGAAAATGATGCGGCTGTTAAAAGGTTCTACAAAGTATTTACTCAGAGCTTTTGAATACAAAAACATGCCATCATTTTTATAAATTATGTAGGCCCCCCAAGAAATCATGTATTATTAATTTTCTTCCACTTTACAACTGTGCACTAGTGATATCAAATAAGATCCCAATAAAACATAGTATCATGAAAGTTCTTGCTTCAGAGATGTGAATACTTTTTTAAAAGCACTTTAAGGTAGTTGGAATCAAGACAGATATCTAAAGGTTTTTTTTTTTTTTAGCCAAAAACAAACGCAACAAAAATATTTCAAGAAACAAGCATCATGGTGTAAGGTTTACAAAAATAATAATAATAAAAAATAAAAAAACATCCTCAAAGCGATTTTGTAACCTTAATTTCTCTGCAGACGCTTTCAGAGCATCTTCAAAGGATAAGGTAGGAAGGAATGGAGAAAAAATAAATAGCTCACAAGCTTCCCTGGCCTTGGTTAAAAACAGAGGGCAAACCAGACTTTATTGATTTATCTTTTCAACAAAGAGCAAATAATACCTATCAACTAAATATAACAACATGCCATGAATATGGTCAGTAAGACAAACTAGGAAAATCAATTAAAAGTTTTCTTGACACCTTGGTGCTGCTGACCAGGGCAGGCAGTCCAGATCCATGCAAACATAACCAACAGCAGTCATGTTTGCTCTGCTCATGCTTCCTTAACATACGCTCTCCTCTTATCCTCACTGGACATCAACAGTCATGCCATAGTCAGGGCTGCTGGTGAACTGAAGTCTACCATCTGCTTCCTGCTCTTCAAACACCATGACCTATGACAGCAAAGGGAAAAGAAGCTCAGCCAAGGTCATGAAAGGATAGTGAAAGTGGGTGGTTTTGTGTTAATGCAAGCACATTCTTTAAAAGAAATAGAAAGTAAGATGGACAAAGACTGGTAAAGTCGCCTAAGGCATTTATGAGAAAGTACATAGTGGTAAAACTTTTAAAACTTTAAAAAAAAAAAAAACTTTTCAAAATACTAAGCATGGATTCTTTATGTAAACATGCTGTTCATATTTAGCAAGAAATTAAAACCAAAATTATGCACACATAGATTAATAGATTAATTATTTGCCTGTCTCTAAATCATTTTCAGCTGAATAGCTTGTAGACAGAACACTGCTAAAATTATTTGTTTTTAGGTCACAAGAAGCTCGCATATTAATAATATCTAATTATTTCAGAACATTATTCATCTTTAAGGTGGCATATTACAAATGATCCAGCTGAAGAATAATCTAACAGATCTGTTTGGGGGCATTTTCACTTGAAAGTAGCAACAACCAGAGTTGAACACTAAAAAAAGAGGGCTTTGTTGAAACATCTTTTAATTTAATTCCTCAATTTATCTTCTGGATACCAATAGAGTCACCCCCCAAAAAAAGAAAAAAGAAAACTTCCACAAAAAGATGGTTTAATCAATGGTTAGTTAAAATGTGTGCACAGTTATGCAACCACCTATTTTCATTTTTGTGTTCTATTTCTCCCCCAAACAAACTTTATTGTTTTTCAGTTTGATCGTATAGAGCAAATGTGAAATTATACATGAAAAAAGTTTGGAGTTGATTTATCATGACCTCGTTTATATGTCACTAAGAGCTGTCTACTTTTATCCCCTGTAATTTGCTGCTATTTCAGGAATATCTTGAGAAGCTGTCACCAGAAATGTCATGAACCAGTTTGGGGTAAAAATATAGACTGCATAAGTAGCGCACATCTTTTGCTCGATGGTGTTACATCTTAATCTAATAAAATAATAAATACCCTTTAAGTCATTTTGACATATCAAATAGTTTACTTCATAAAAGGCAGACTCTGTTACAAAACTCAACCTTGTCACACTGTTATCAGTCTTGTGTTTAGAGGCTTAGGAAGATTGACAGCTTTAAGGACACTATGCTCCAGCATCATCTCCTGATACTTGTATTCACACACACTTTACCTGTAAAGAAAAGACTGTCTGTCACGTTGTTTTGAAATATGTTCAAAAAAAATCCATGGCAAATGTACACCATTTGTAGGGTCAATGGTGCGGCAATGACCCAACTTTATCACTACTCAATCCCATGTTCCACTATCCAGATGCTCGGCCCGCACAGATAAAGACTCCCTACGTTCTGCATGTCCAATGAAAGAAGGGGCTCAAAATTATGGCAGCACCGCCTAACTTTTGATTAATTAAGCTGAGTATTCAACAGCATGGATGAACATTAATCCACAGAGTGTCAGTAAATCTTTAAATATATTTTTTAAAAACTCAACAGAAATGGATGACTCTTTCCTGATGCAGTAAAGCAATGTCTTATCCTCTGTCCTAATATAACCGCACTATTCCAAACAGGAGACAGAAAATAAAAGACTTAAATATGTCACGCACATAATCAGTCTAGATGTTTAATTTTTTTAGGCTTAGATGAATGTAAGGTTAACAGTTTGATCTCCCAGCATACATGGCAAAATATATAAGAACTGATAAGACAAAATTACTGTTTTCATATGCTGCAGTATACTGTAGTGTATGAGTGTATATTACACAGTACCTGGTTGTCTCCTCTGTGCAGCCAGGGCCCTGGCACATAAAGTGTCTGTTGTGGTCCGATAGACCAGTATCGTCCCAAATTCCTGCCATTTATAAACACAACCCCTTTGGTCCATCCCTATGAAACAAGGTTACAAATCAGAATGTAAACATAAAACAGTCCAAAATGTTATTTTTGTTATGGCTCCTTAGTCACATTCTTTCTGAGAATATATTAGGATTCCAAGAGACCCAATAAATATTTTAGAACCCACGAGAAATTTTGTGGGTAAAAAACAAACATCACCAGCATTTTATGGGAAGACTCAGAAAGCCCAAAAAGGGCACAGCAAAATGTTTAGGTAAATTAATCCAGCGAAGTAGAACTCAATGTAGACACATTTCTCTAGATTGTGTGTAGTTACAGAAATGAACTGTAATCTTTTTTTTTATGTTAATGTATCTTACAGCACATTTCTATGTAATCAGTAAGCCACAAAGAAGATGGCACAGTTGACTGTTCTGTAGTTTATCAAATTAACATGTACTTGATTGTTCAACTAAATAGGTGTCTTACTGCTCCTTTTTAAGTTAAGATGAGGATATGTTAACAGGACTTTCAAAGACATTTTAACTGGTTTCATTTTTGACTCCAAGCCCCAACTTACCGGAAGTTTGATGAAGGTATCTTTAGGAGAGCTGTTCACGTAAAGTTTGCCCTGAAAAAAGGCCGGGAATGAGGGCTGTTGTTGCATAGGCACCCAGGAGCCTGTGGTCTGAAGGCTGTGTGGGGAGAAAAATAGATGAATTGTTTTGATGCATTCACTTCCACTTTTACCTAAAATAATATAGTACTGTATGGTTGCTGGTGAGCCAGCATGATATTCCGTCTATCATAGAATATTTATCGGCCAGCAGTGAATGCCAAGTGAAAGTTTGGAAATGGATTCAAGGAAAGAATTCATATTCAACAAGACTGTAGGGTATGCTTTGCCACCGAGCAAATTCAAAAGGCAGTCATAATAGAATACCAACAGTTCTTCCTTAAGTAGAAATTTGTAGTGTTTGATTTTAAGGGGCTTCAGGCCTTGACATTTCAGAATGGTACTGACACACATTCACAAAAAAAAAAAAAAAAGAAAAGAAAAAGAAAAACATCTGTACCAAAGAAGATTCATAATGGCTTTTTAAAAAAAGCACATCCACAATTTGTGTTCTATTAGTTTTAATTTTACAATTTTGAGGAAAACATCCACGTTGTTATTGTTGTTCCAAACAGAAATGTATTAAGCATACAGTAAAGAAACACAATTCTCATGTAAACGGTGTGGTAATGAAGAGGGGTGTATTCTGTTATTCCAATACTGAAATATTAATGAGGGAATAAGACTTGAGCCTTGGGGTGAATTTATTCTTGCATAATTCACCTGAAAATCTCAGCCCTAATGCTTCGAAATATTAACATTATCAGATGTAATGATAGTTGTGAGATGTGTAGTACACTTAATAATGCCCTCCATGCTCAACAACAGTAGAAAATATAGATTTAGATGCTTTCAAGAACCTGAATTGCTAAACAAATATAGACTTGGCTTGATTTAAATTTAACAGACATCTGCTTTAGGGATTCCCTCTCTGTGGTCTGTCTCTGGCTTGCAAGACAAAAAAAAAAAAAAAAACACACACAAACACTCTCACAAGAATTTGGAGAATTCTTGAGAGAATGCTCAAAGGTGAAAACAATCAAAAGAATTCCCCCAATTCCAGCATAATGACAACATCTAAGTAAAGAACATGGTCACATGTTTCCTGGATCACTCTAAAATTATCTACCAGCAGACCGCCTTAGAGATTGTTTGATAATGCAACAAAAGATCTCTTGGTTATATTGCATTAAATCACAGAAAAAAAGTTTAGCTTAACAACTATTTTCATCCAGCTTCTATAACTCCATCTTGCATTTGTGATTTAATCTGTTTGTCATAGTTGTCTAGTTAAGTAAATACAATAAATTTTGCCACTTAATATGAAAAAAAAATAGTAAATACACTTTGTATATCTTTTGTACACAACATAATTGTAGTGAAATATAACCAGTGTAAAACAGATTAAATTAATTAAATATGTGCAATAGTATCAGGTGCATAATCCTAGCAGGAGCTCAGTAAAGGTTGACACTGAGGCTTTGATAAATCTCTGTTCACTGCTTTATAAACAGACCCTAATTTTTTAATTTAGACAGCAGGCAAGAATGCTCTAATGACACTTTCAGTTCCCTTCACAATCATCAGTTATATTGCAACTGGAGCTGCTGGATGACAAGATGTTGCTTGCCAGCAGACTCACCAATACATCTCTGCATTCTGTTGTGAGAATGCTAGCTGGCAATGGCACTGGTTTCTCTTTTGCTTGTTCTTAGATATGAATTAGTCGTGATGGGCAACAAAGATTAAAGGGCAGCATAAGCAAGATCAGTCCCGTGCCTCTTTGATTACAATCCTGTCAGTTTTACACGCATTAAGAACAACATTAAGAACTTGTATTATACTCTATCAATTAAACCACTAAGCAGCAAATAAAAAGAGGGGCATACAAATTTGAACTATAAATGGGAATTATTTGTCTTGCTTCAATGCTGAAATCACCGAGAAAATTATTGGGTTGATAACTCAAGAAGGTTTAAAAAGTTAATGTGTTTTATTTTGTGAATTTTGCCATTTTGTTGGCTCTTTCATCATACTAATTGGAGACAAAATGTGCTGGGATGAATGAGAGGATGGCAGGTGTAGTGAAAAACAAACAAAGACATAAAGAACAATAAAAGTGTAATTAAAGACACAAACCTGTTTACAAAGCCTGGTTTCATATCCAGACTATGAATAATGAAGCCTCGGAGGACGTTCGAGTTTAACTCAACATCACCAACAAGACCTGAAAATATGAGTCGTCTTTTAGTTTCTTCAAAAAAAAAAAAATATGGCATGTAGTTGATTTTATTCAAGATTTTCTGAAAATCTTGGTTCCTCTTGAGCATTTCTAAAATCACTAAATTTTTGATGTTTTTGTACCTTTGCGCTGCTCATCCAGAGTCGTCCCATAATTCACCCTTCCACAGTTCTCCACCAGCAAGCTAAGAGTTCTGCTTCCCTTCAGTATAAACATACATAAAACATGAGCTGCATTCAAGGAAACTGCAGCAGTTTACAAAAAAAATATAGAAAACAGGCAAGCTCTTATGAAATTTTAAGCAAGTTCTTTCTAAGAAAGATTGCAGATTTTGTCCATTTTTTTTGCTAAATAAATACTTAGAAGCCGGTTTGCTGCTGGCTTCACACTTGCACTTTGCTGCCAGAAAACATCTATCAATATCCCCTGAAGCATTCACATGCTGCAGGTTGTTAAATATTAAAAACTTTAGCTCTCTGTATCAGCACACAGAGTCCAACATATATAGAGAAGAACACAAAAACTCAGTACCTTCCCATCAGGTACTACAAGTTCCTGCACCTTACAGTCCAAAACACCAACATATTGTTTGTCCACAAAAACCTAGAAAATGTGGACAGAAAAAATCATATTTAGAAAGACAGAAAGAGCTACATAAAAACAGCCAGCCACTTAAATCACAAATTAATAGAAAATGTGCACAAAACACAGATGTGGCAATTATTTCAAAATAAAATCTTTGCTTTAATTAGGTTGAAACTCTCTAAGCTAATCAGAGGTGTGAACTTCATTAAGTAAGACTACAGCTTCCTCTGAACAAGTGTTCTAATAAGCAAGAGTAAAATGTGTCCGATGCAATGTTCTCACCAGTGCTCTGTCTTTGATGTTGTTCTTTGAGTTGAGAGTTCCTCCATTGGTGATGACTGTCTCATACAGTGTGTAGCCGTAGGACTGGCCATTATTGTTGTTGACAGGGAGGTTCTCCATGTTTATTGGCCTCTCAGATTTGAAAGGCTGCAGAGTATGCAAAAGCATAACCATGGAGTCAAACAAACAAACAAACAACAATTCAAACAAGTAAAAATGGGCTGCAGAAATGTTTTGTTTACATTGATTTACACATGGTTTAAAGTGTCTACTTAAATTGGGCTCTAATTAAAACAGAATTCACCCTCGGAGTATGTGTTCTCATTTTTTCCTTTAGAGCGTGCCTTCCTCTGAAGTCATGGTCTTTACTAAAACTTCAAACTAAGAGGAGGGGCCTCATGTACAAAAACTGCAAGCATTTACAAATTTTAGATGTGTCAAGAACTGATAGCGGAATTCCTTTGCCTCACATTTCTTTAGTCATTTGTTAGCTGGTGACCCCTAGAGGATGGGCTGGAATTTTTTTTGTACACACCTACAAAACAAGATATTGTATACAAATTGTACTCTATGTACCTTGTCTGGATATTAACATTGGAATATCCGTGTGCACAACATTAATATTGCAAAGTCAATTGGACTATTAGACTATCTGGAATGCAATGTTTGCCAACTAATTAAGTCCCAAGTCTCAGAGGTATACCATGCAGTGTTGAATAAGAAATAAGAGAGAAAAATGAGGATTTATCACACTTTTTATCACAATTTTTTTATATTTACTATGTAATGGTATTTGTTTTGTCAAGAATATGAGAAATGTAGATCATATGACAAATGATGCAGAGCATTTTGTTTACAGCAATAGTATTATTATTCTTTATAATCATCATCAGCATCATACAAATAACAATATAGTAAAGTAAAAATAGTGCAGTGCCAATTGTTTTGGCAATGTGCTAAGACACAGCAAGGGGCAGTGTACTGCTTGTTCCCATACAGCTGCCAACCACACTGGGGTTCCTATAGCAGCCTAGATAAAATATTTCAGAAGGAACTGGAAGACTGAATGGGAATGTGCCAGTCAACCCTGAGCCAAGCCATGCCAGCTGTGTTATAAGGAATAATGCAAATCAGCCAGGTTTTGTCAAACTACAGTTAAATGAGTCAAGATTAAAAAGCACATTTCAGTGACAACCACTAATTTCTAATGCAATTAGTGGCTTGGATTGCACAGACAGACAGACAGACAGACAGATATATTCGCACTTCTTGAGTTGTTTTTGTCAGCATCTTTCAGAAGAAAATCCATGCAAGTCTTCATACAGATTTTTTACTAAGCAACATTGTCCTTCATACCTTTAGGAAGAACATGATGCATGTCCAACAATCTAATCTCAACACTGAAAGCTACAACACACTTCACCACACACCTCCAAACACACACCTAGATAAAATATTATTGTCACAACAGCCTACTCTATAAGTGGAGAGAAACCACTCTTTTTAAACAAGGGTGTGTGGCTGGTCAGGGGCAAAGTAATTGGCATCTCATAGGGAGCAAATTATTGCAATGGAGACTGAATAATTAATGGAGTTGGAGTCACCAGACGTGCTACACCTGGCTTGAATATAAATGCCTGTAAGGGGACATGCCATAAATCCTAAACCAGTGGACATAAAAGTGGGAAGGAAATAGGACACAGTTCAAAGGGGATATTCCACCAATTGTTTTGTTTTTCATCTTTTTTTTGGCAAGGGAGAACTCAAGGTTTTTATCAGACTATTGCAACAGCAGGTTACTTTACAATCATAAAGCTTCAGATGGTGGAATAATACTGGTTCCCACCTTACCAGTATAACTTATGAGAAATGTTTTGGTAAGGCCTTGAAAGTCCCCTTGTGTCAGACTGTCTCATATAAGTATTAAAAGCAAATTTAAAGTTAATCTGAATAAAAATGATCCCATATCAGAAAGGCAGAGTTCAAAAGTGACTATAAATCAAATATCTGTTTGACTTAGTCAGTACAGAAAGAAAAAAACACAAATATTCCACTATCTACATTTGCTGACAATGTGTACATAATTTCAAAATTAATTAAAATTATTACAAAAACACAATTTCACATTGAAGCTGTTACTGAAATACCATTAACAAAGATCCAAGTATTATAGTGGCTCACAAGCCCATTTCTGTTTTCTACTGGCCACAATTTAACAATTTCAAACTGAAGTTAAATGTAACTAAATATCCTCTAATTTCACATTTTTATCCCCTTATTTTACCAGCCGAGTGAAGAGGATGAAAGAAGAAAAAATAAAATCTGCAAAGTAGAAGCTAACTGCAGCAAAGTGTGGCACCTAGGGGTCACCAAGACTATAAGGACTTTAAGTCCTTTTCTACTAGACAGGCAGTTGTTTAATAGGTGTGAATAAAAGTTGACATTTATTTAGCGAATTAAACCTCATCGCCTGTCTTGGACATAATGACATTTTCTGGGATTTAATATCTGACCCTTTTTGTAGATTCTATGACACAATACAAGTACTGTATCAGAGTTTTCAGATTAAACTAAGGTTTATTTTTTCAGCAACTAACAAACCAACCGGTTTCTAGCATAAAATGAATGATTATTATGATGAAAAGCACCACATGCCATGAGCAGGTGGTCTTTTTTGTCTTTCAAAATTTTCACAAATGTTTAGAAATGTTAGAATGTTTTTGACTATGCCTCCTTGAACATCTTTTCCAGAACTTAACTCCCTGAAACTTTCTTATTTACAAGACCAGGGGTCTGTTGCTTGTGGCTCTGGAGCTCCAAGTGGTTCTTTGGACTGTCCACAATGGCTCTTAATGACTCTGGCTTAAAATGACTCGTTTTTATTAGAATGTTGTTCCTTAAAAATTAAAACAAATCTTCTGAAGTTGATATTTATAAAAAAATTATACATTTTCCTTGTTTGAAAGGTCATGTAGCACTGCAGCTCTAAATAAGTCTTACTTTGCTGGACTTCTACAATCCTATATAGGTTCTTAGGATTGTAATGATTGCAGGCCCCTGTCCCAGACTATAATGTTTGTGTGCAACTCTACTGTAGGGTTGGAAACAGTTAGATTCAGTTTTAAGTCAACTGTGCTGATCTCTGAAAATAGAGAAAAAACATTGCTTTCATTAAAATTACCATCTACAATTTAAGAACGTCATTTGTGACAGTTTCAATTAAGCTCTCAACTAAATTAAATCACTTCCATCTCACGAGGTTAAATAATTCACAGATCTTTAATGACTGAATCAGAAAGTTCTGTCACATAGGAACATGATCACACAGACTTCTGTCCCATTCAAACTAAAGGATGGTGAATCACCAATAATCGTGAACAGGTGAATAATTTATTCTGTACCTCAGAAGAAAAACACTGAAAGTATTTTTCATTTAACTAGCTAAAGCACAAATGTCAAACTGCAATTCTCTTATGGATGTGTCTCTGCTTTAACACACCTGAATCAAATAATTAAATCATTAGCAGGCTGCAGTAGAAATTAATGGTGAGGAGACAATTGAGACATTTGATTTGGACCAGGGACACATCTAGAAGCTGCAGGACACTGCCCTCTGAGAATTGGCATTTGTAGTTAATGCAAAATGTGACTTACAAAGAATGATAATTTGGAAAATAACTGCAGAAATTGCTGGGACTATTTAACCAGTTGCCCGACATTTTGAAAGCTTTACCTTTAGGCTCTTCTGAAGGTACATTTCTCACCTTTTCAGCTGAATGGAAACTGTCCCAAAGAGAGAGATGCTGCTGGATGACAACAGTCTGATAGGCTCTCCTTTCTTGAACGGCAGGTAGTTCAGGAAGTGGTTGGTCTGGAAGGAAGGAAAAGGGGGATAAAGGCAACTTCCCTTTTATTTATGTGTGAAAAGATGACACATCATTCTGAAAAAGCTTCAGAGTTAAAAGTGTCAGGAAGAAAAAAAAAAAACTAACTCTTACATGAGAATCAAAGTAACTCAGGCTTTCCAGTAATTCAGTCATAGAAAGAGATTTTCATGTTTTCCTTCATATGTATGACTCAATATCAAACGTGAAAAAGTAATATCAGATAACCCTTTCAAGGCTTTGTGGAGGAGCATTTTTGCCAATTTGTTTTCCAGTTTCTGAAACGGTCTCTCAACCACTGTTAACAGCATTTGTCCGGAATCCTCAATTGCTTTTAAAGCTGTTAAATCTCACAGGTATATATATACCAGCACTCCCACTAGAAACGGCCTGACAGCATTCCCCTTTCATCGAGTGGTAAAAGGAGGCTCACTTATGGGAAACTTTGAGAATAATGGCCAACATTTTATTTAAACAACTCTTCCTGGGTTCAAAACTCGTAAGTCTGAGAACTGTGTAACATTTACCGCTCTTACATTCTGTCAAATTCATCACAGCAAGAATTAAAAAATAGCTCTATGAAACTGTGCCACAGACTGAACCATACAGACTATTTCACTCTCACTTTTGAAAAAACAAACAAACAAACAAACAAACAAAAAATAACGCTTCATCATAAAATTATCACTGACTGATTGGAGGAGTAATTCTTATGCGATGACTATTTTTTGTTTGTACTATATGTTATTACACAATAGCTCTACTTACACTGGTTTCTATTCATTACATGACATCTGAAGGTAATAGGTTACACTGACCTTTATTTAGGGGTCTCACGGTAAGGTGGGCTGAATACAAATGGATATCACTAACTTAGGATTCTTAGTAATTAAAACAAAAAAAAAAACATGATTAAATTATTTGTACAATCTCCTCTCATTGCAATTACAGCTGCAAGTTTTTGGGGTTGCATCTACCAGCTTTGAGAATGTGATAAGATTGAAAATTCTGCCCATTATTCTTTTCCAAAAAGCTCAAATTGAGTCAGATTGAATGAAGTGTGTCCACAAAGAGCTATTTTCAAGCCTTGCCCAAAATTCTCAATTAGATTTAGGTCAAATCTATTATAACACAGCTTTGACATGAATGCCTGGCTCTAATCTTGTGGCTATTGTCCTGATGGAAGGTGAAGCACATAGCTCAAGAAATTTGTAGCTTTTTTTCCAGATGAACATAATAGATTTATGTTCATCCATCTTCACAACAAAAAATGCTATTTCCACTATATATGACAGTAAAAATTGTGTGTTAATGGTGATGTGCAGTATTAGACAAGAAAATCAGTATTTGTCTCATTTGATCAGTGCATCTTCTTCCACATGTTTTCTGTATCTCCCACATGCCTGACAGAAACTTCTGTGGTTTTCTGGAGTTACAGGAATAGGTTTTCATACAGAACAGTAACTGACATTATGTACATAATTTGACAGCCAAACAATGATAAAACATGTAGATGATCTAATTAAAGAATTAGGTCAGGTCTTTGTGGTGGCTGGGCAGAACACAGAAGATTCTCAAACTCACTGTCATATTCAGGCCAATGCTTATTGTTCAACAAACTACAAAGCATAAGGATGCATCACGCTCAGGCAGCCTTTCAAACCGTTTTCAATCTCCACAGCAGCAGGCAAATTATTACTTTGTTATGCTGGATTCATTCTCACGCTGACAAAAGCCAGCCCTGGCCACAAAACACTCAAGACTTCTGCCCCCAATCACAAACGACATGTTTTACAAACAAGAAAAAACTGCACAAACAGTGAGCAGAATCCAAGACATCTATGTTATTTTCACAATTGCCAGTCATGCCGAGGGACCCTGATTAAGGCAGAGAGCTCACACACGAGGAAAAGCACACAAACCCTTGAATCTAATCCCTCCTTGTAATCATATGCAATTTTATCCTGTCTGAGCCAACAGAGAACAGGTTCTACAAGAAGAATTAACTTAAGTGGGGAGATGAAAGGGAAGAAGAAGACAGAAGAGAAAGAAGATGCCAGGCCTGTCTCAACCACAGCATGCAACACTCACTGTGGTAGCTGCTGAATAAATTCCTCAGAAGATGATACTTGGTGGTGTAATCCCCGGCCTCAGATAATGGAGCATCGTAATCTGAAAGATAATACGCTATCAGAACAGCAGGTTTGGGAGCAGGAGAGAGGCACGGATGCCTCTTACCATGGCAGATGCTTTCTCTGTGCTCCCCTATCAAACATCTTGAGGCAGCAGCAGCAGCCCGAAACACATTCTGGGTTTATCTGGACAGAAAATGAAGCCTTTCGGAGGCAAAAAGGTAAAGGGCATTCAGGGAGTAGTAGCACAAGTGGAAAGACCTCTGAAGGTCAGAAGTGAGGTTGTTGAGTCTTCCGAATGAGAAAAGAAGTAATTGCAGTGTTGCACTCTTTTTAGAGTGCATTACACTTGTTTTTCTGTCTTCAGATTAGAATCGAAATTGTCATTATTATCCCACAGTGGGGAAATTCAGGAGCAACAGCACCATCAACATGTGTAGGTTCACACAAAAGGTCAAAAACACCAGTTCACCAACAACTTTATGTATTAAAAGAAACCATTTAAATAAAGCACAAAACATTATTCTTTGGTATGTACAAAAGAAAACATAAGAATGATTTGTGTATCACATTTCAACTTAGGAAATTAAAACAGTCAGTGTCTTTGAAATGAGAGACAGAGTAGGAGATCAACAGTAGAAATTGTTCATCTAAAAGCATGCTGAGGAACCTTTTTCCAATATAAAGAATTTTTCAAATAAAAATCTAATTAGGTCTGTTAAAAACACAGCTCTACCCAGGACAGCTGTGATCATGTAATGTCAGAATGTCAGAATGTTCTGAGCCATCTGGCTTACAGTGTGAAAAAAGCGCAGACCCACAAGGTTCATATTTTACTTGAAACGCTCAAAAAAGTTTATTGTTAAGAATTTCGGTCACACATACCATAGCTTGTCACCATGGGTTCAGGTGCTGGGAGCCCAACAGCAAATGCACCATTCATGAAGCCAAAATTGGTCCCTCCATGAAACATATACAGGTTGATTGACATGTCCAACTTCAGGATTTCTCTGACAACCGAGATCATGTCTACCAGAGAAAGAGACAATAGAGAAACGTTAAAATTTTCTTCATTGCAACAATACAGAGCACGTGTCCATGCATTTTCTCCTAGTCACAGTGAACAGAGCTGCATGGCTTCATTTTATTTTTGCTTGCAATGTCCCTGCAATTTTACTAAAGAAAGCTAGCATTGGGCACTAGCCTCTGTTAGTACTATGTCTGGCTTTACGATATCCACAATATCTCTGTATTTACTGTCACACTCACAGTAAACTGAAAGTGATGGCCGACATTGCGAAGACACAGTGTTTGTGAAAACACTCAGTCATCACATGTTGAGAGAAGTGTTTCTCTTTGAACCTCGCACATATATATTTTTAAAAATGGCTGCATTTGTGGAAAAAAAAAAACAACTCAGTTTGTGCTGAATTATAGTGCTGGTGTCAGCTGCATAACTTCACTCTGCCCAAAGCAAAGCAAAATCCTCAGAATTTGAATTAATAGCATAATAAATATATACCAGATCTGCAGCTTTCAACCCTCCAGTGGTTGTGGCTTGACGGTTGTTCAAGAGGTTCCACTTCTTCTACCAAAGATATACATACAGTTGTACCACTGTGCATCTGCTTGTCGCCATTTTCACATGTCTGAGGTGCTAATGTAAACACTGGGTTGAGAGGGGTTGGCCAGCAACAGCTTATTTGCATAATTGTGATGTAGCCCCATAACAACACATTCCTAAATGAGCTCAAAACAGGCAGAATTGATTGAGTGAAATCTCAATATCTGAGAATAATTTTGTGTGTTAGATATAATGAACCTGTTTTGTAAAGCCCACAGACCTATTTTAGTTTATTCAAGGAAGCATAATAGGACCTTCAGTGATTTGCATAAAAAATCACAGCCTCAGTGAATATCAACTGTCCATTGTGAGCAACAGAGAACACTAACCCTGTGGTGGTTCCAGCTGCTGGATGTGTGGCAGTCTGTAGAGCACTGAATTGTCGAGGATACGAATCCCCTCCCCATGAAAACACCAGACTTTTTTTTTGTCTGTGACATTTTCTGTAGGGGTGAAACTCTATTTTCAGCTCCTTCTCAATGCAAGGCAGGCAAGACAGATGGCCAACAGTTTTGATCATACATTGTGTAAGCTGCTGGTAATGACAAAAATACAATCCTACAGTGATGCAGTTAGCTTCATCAAGCTGTTATAAAGGCCTTTTCAGATGATGAAGTATCTATTTCATGTTTAGTTCAGTGGTTGTACCAAATCATTTCTAAAGGATTGCTTGATACACCATTTAACTCTGGGCTATAAATCATTCGAGCAAATGACACATTCTTGCAATAATATATTTACTAAAAATAATGAAACCAAAAATATGCTTTCAACTTTGGCACCATTTTTATTAGCATTGACCCACAAAGGGACAAATCATATCTATTTTTGTTTGTGCTACATAAGATCTTAACGTTTTACATTATCCATACCTTTGGCAGCACTATTTTGTAGTTCCCAGACACTTTGACCAACTTCAAATCTGAGGTATAAATTGCTAAAATAACATTTATTCTACCATTAGATGCCAATGGTGATTTTGCAAATGTAAAATGGGATTAGTATGTTCAACAAAATGCTTTTTTTCCCAAAAAGCACATTTCACATGGGATGTTTTAGTTGCTTTAAACATGAAGTAGGAATATCATCATTTGATGAAAAAAGTGAGCTTAAGCATGCAACAATTTATAAAAAGAGACACAAATACATACATAAGCAGAATTAGCAGATGAGCAGCTCTGCTGAAAATAACCTACACACAATATCCCACAGTCTTCAGTTTTTCTGACCTACTTTTTCTCACCTGCATAAATCTCACCCTTTAAATAAAAAAAAAAAAACACTCTCGTGTGTGGTGCTTCTTTTCTGCAGGAGGATAAGGTTAACAGGGAACAAGGCTGAGCTTTAAATGGGATACAAAAGGTGGATTAGTGAGCTCACCATTAACAATCATTAACTAATGTCGGTTATAGATACTAAGACCAGCTCAATTCGTTACGATTGTGCTCAACAAAAATCCATTTCCCCCATGGGTGTTATTTGTCTAAGTCCTTGCCTGTTTGGGGCCTTTTTGACGACTGCAGGCTTAGACTGCGGTCTGTTTACATTTGGATTTCTTTGTTTGCTCAAATGCTATTTTCCAGTTTAGAAGCCGACGCTGTCAGTAAACATAGCAAGGGGGCTTTCTGTGTGCTGCTTTTTGATGACAGTTTGATCCTTTATGCGACAGCCCTACAGAGGTGTATGTGCTATTTACAGGCACCTTTAATCTGAGCACATGTATTCAGTAGAGGAAAAAGTTGAATTAGTAATCCAAAACTGTCTGCTTTTCTATGGTATAATGAACATGACATTGATGTTTATTCCTCTTAGCTACTCTTCAGATGGGGAAAAAACAAGAAATGATGTTATCCATATAAAGCAAATGGGTGTTAAATCAAAACAAATTAGTAACCGGTTGAAAAAAAATATTTTTTAAATAATTACAAATTAAAACTATTGGAACTGAAAAACAAGGCTAAATTTACCTTGTGAAAGAATTCTGTGGCTATGGACTGCATTTGGTTTCTAACAAGAGACAGATAATTTATCTTATGCAACCCTCCATATACTGATTGTTTTCTTCCCCAAGCTGTTCCTCTGCAAACAAATTATCTTATTCACACTGCAAAAGACTGGTCTGAAATCTCTGTTTCTCCTGAGGCACAGAGACTCCATCTAACCTGAAAACAGGCTCTTTTAACTTTACCTTTAGCACTGGTTTGGAGCACAGAAAAAAACATCTCTCCCTATCTCAAATTAGCTGGAATTATCGACTCTCTGCACAGAGAAGAAAAGCTCCACTCTTAACAAAGAATCCATCACCCAAGAGCTTGCCTTTCTCTTGTGTGAATGTGCCTGTTAGCAGCTTTGAGTGTCTCTCAACAGAAAAAAAAAAAAAAAAAAAACATTTCCCATCTCATGTGTTAATTATTTCAGTGAAGCTAAAATAAGGCTTACCCTCAGCAGGGAACACATGATGAAGGCCTCCCCAGAGATCGAACCAGCCAGACCAGTACTCCATAACCATCTTTGGTTTCTGAGGCTAGAGCAAATAAAACGGATTAGAGCCAAGAAAAATGGCAAAGGTTGGTAGAGCAACAAAGTGAACAAGGAAACATGTCTGGATGACCTTTCTCTTTCTGCACAACAGAATGCACTGAATCCTCTGGTACAACCTTTAAACAAATTGCCTTAATGTATTCTTTTGTGTTTCCAACTTTTCTTTTAAACAAAGGAAACATCAAGTGAAATTATTGCTTTGTAATGGAGACATGTTCAGGAATTAATCAGAATTTCTAAATACTTATTTCAAAAGCACACCAGCAATACTAATAAAAAAAATTAAATATAAATAAAGAAGTAGTCAGAAGCAGTAATACTCAATGAGATTTTCCTTTGCCTGTGATAAAACCCTTCACCATTTTAAATGATGTTTTGGTCTTTGATTTCACTCAAACAAATAAATTCCAAAATCTGCCAGAGTTAATGTTAGGGTAACATATCTAAATGCTCAGTTTAAGTTTGCACCAACAGAACTTACTTGAATTTCTTCCAGATACTTGATCTCGTTGATGTCGAGTCTCTGGAAATTGATCGTTTCCAGTGCTTCATAGGAAAAATCAAAATAACAACAAAAAACAGAACTATTAATAAATTCATAAGCTGACAATTGTCTTTATATCAACACTGAACAACTGTTTAATTTAAAAACTAGAAGCAGCTTTATGAAAAAATGTTCAAATTACTTGATTAAATTTCCATCATAACAATATAATTTTAGATATGTAAAATGGAAGCAGATTTGCGTTGAAATGATAATAGTGTGTATTGGTGGCACCAACTGGCAGGAGGAATGAACTGATACACTCCCTTTTCACAAAAACATCTATATATGATGACAATGCGTAAAGATACATGGATAACTACAAAAAAACCCTTTATAACTGTCACTAATGCATACATATCAAAACTATAAGTGTGTGAAAGAAAAACAACTGCATTTAAAGATTGTGTTTCTTTTCGCTGAGCTTTTCTGCCAGTGGGATGCAAAAAGAGCAACTTTCTGGGGCAACACAGAATCCTTTGTCGACAAATTGGTTCTGAACTGCTGCTGCATGACACTGTGCTGCCCTTGGATCAAACCTCTTGCTACTGTGCAAGAAAACAACCCACACACCAACATCGGGTACGTCTATGTGTGTAAGAGAGAGAGAAAGAGAGAGAGACCGTCGGTGTGTTAGCCCATTTGACAATACCTCCTTTCACTCCTCCGAGCTTCAGCCCGTCCTTGTTGTCAGAGGTCAGCAGCAGCTCTGTGATGCCTCTGGACAATAATGCCTAAATAGAAGAAGGATTAAAGAGACAGCCCAACAAAACAATAGATCCATTTCCTCAACAAAGTTTGAACAATTAAAACAAATCTGATTTATTTTAAGTGTCTCTCACCTCCTTTATGAAAGGCATGTACTTGTCATCTTTAGCGTAGGAGCCATATTCATTCTCAACTTGAACTGCTATAATCGGGCCACCCTGGGAGTACTGCATATGAATTTACCAAATATAAACAAAACACATTAAAGGATTTGACACCTGCACGTGGACCTATCTTACCCCTGATACAGTTAAACACAGTTAAATGTAAATCCAAGTTGTTGTGTTTTTTTCAATTTTTTTTCCCAAGTAACACTGAACAAAGGAAAAGGAGAAAAAATCTAATCAGCCACTGAAAGAGTTTGTTTAAGCCATGTTCAGACATGGACATATGGCCCAGATATGTGTTTACAGATATTCTTCAGGGGTTCAAACAAGAAATAATTATCAGTATTACATATATTTACCTTCCCACCTCCACAGTACTCATTAAAGAAAATAATGCATTGCTTTCTATTCTATTTTGTTGGCCTGTATCTTGTTTTTCATAGATGTTCATAGATGGGCACAGAGCCTTGTCGGCCATTCTCAGATGAAGAAAACAAAACACTATAATTTCCTCTGCATACTTTCCTGACCTGCCGTTTATGCATTCTGTGAAGTTGACATCCTACTTTCCAATTGCAGGAAAACATGTTTGAAATACCAACTGAGGGGGAATATCTCAACATGAGTTTGAAGAAGTTCTCTTCTTAAGACAGAAAAATGGGCATTTTATTCATTTGGGTTCTCCTGTTCTGTAAGGAGAACAGAAAATGGGAACTGAAAACTGACAGAATTCTAAAAAAAATAGTTCCTGTTAAGATATCGCAGCAGGAAATAAATACATAAATCAAGATCTGAAGAAAGGGAAAGTGATCTGCGCAAAGTAAAAGTGCATATTTTATCCACTGAAAGGACCTTGTGAACTGTCCGAGTAATTACAACTGAAGATCTCAGGCATATTGAGAATATTTAATATATTCTCACCAATTATTTTAGAGATAAAAAGCCTTTGTTAAAGTGCCTGCTGTCATGGTCGAGACATTTTGAATAATACTAGTTGCTTTTGCAAGACAACTGAGAACAGTTCGACATTGGGTTTTCCAACAGCCAATCAACACAGAAGCAGCACATCATACATCATCTGCCTCAATCTATGACTCTGGGCTTAGTCAAAAAAGAAATTCATTATTTCTTAACTTAGTATGTTTTTGCTCATAGAATAAACGAAAGGTTTGCTTTTCAAAAATCCTGAAAGAGGTAAAACAATTTTAAAGCTTTTTACACAAGATTTCAGAGGTGCCAGTTAGTGTAAAGGCGATCTTACACAAGCACTAGTTTCAGTTAGACAGAAAACAATTTTTTCAGGTTGTTTTTCTTTCAATAGTTACCACTTTGTGATGCTATGAGAATCAGAGTTACTATGACTACAAATCCCAGTACACCAGAAGCAATTGTTATAAAATGTTTACTTTTTTAAACTTCCTGAAGCCACTAGATGTCCTGCAAAGCTCACACCAGCTTGTACACATAAAAGAACAAGTGGACGTTCGGTTTCAGCTTTCATCTTTGGTTTATAATCTTTGTTTTGGGTTATTTACAAACTGCACTTCCTGCTTATTAATATCTGAAAGATCTTAATATCTGAAAGACACTACAAGATATATCTAAATATGAAAGTCATCTGTCAGTTTGAGAAATCTGAACATGATTTCATAAATCATCCCATTTATTCATCCACTCTCTGCTTGACCTTGAAGGGTGTTCAGGTGGGGCAATGACAGTTCAACTACATGAGAACACATATTTTAAGTGATGAGAAATGTATTGGTTGACAGTAAAATAAGTTTTTTTAATTGTTTTTTAAGTAACATATAGTCTCTGGTGGACTGCCAGCATGGCCAGTGCGTGCTCTGCCTCTCAACAATTGGAACCAAAATCTATCTACAGTCCTGCAGTCATTAAGCAAGTATTGAAAAGTACATAAATAAATTAAATAAAAAGTACCTGAAATGGAGTAACTTTCTTTATGAGTTCATCAAAAAATGAGTTGACTGCATCTGTGAATCCTGAGTAGGTCGTTCTCAGCTTCATATGTCCATCTCTTAGTAGCCAACTGTAAAACAAGCCATGTCAAATAAGATCTTGACATTCAAGTCAAGAACTTTCTTTGGGTTTCAGACTGAAAAGAAACGTGGTAACCTTGATAAAAGGTCAACATGCTCTGCTGCATGTCCTTTTAAACACCTCATAATAATGCTCATCAGCTAAGCAGACTCTAAACCTAACATTCCCACAGGCAAGAGCACTCCAAAATACATTCTTTCAGTCTTGTTCAGCCAACAATTACCCAATTATTGGTCTGAGCGTATTTTGATTACAGAAATAAATGAATTCATCCTTTAAGGGATAAGGCCTGCCAGATTTAATTATTGCCTGATCCGGTATCACGCTAAAAGTCATCAGTGGCTTTCAGCAGAGTAATGGAAGTGCTTCACTGAAATGGTGTGCATTTTACTGTCTTCTGTATGCTGCATATTCAAAAGTGGGTATGTGGGTATGAGATTCCCTGTAAAGTGGGTCACTGAGAAAAATCTTCTCAAATAGACACACAACTGCTAAAATGCACACTTGCAATTCTTTTGCCTTTTTTACCCTGCAGTAAAGACACATCTGAGAATCTGATCACCTGCATGAAAAATACATTTCCTGTCAAATTTTAGACGTGCGCAACTTGAGATCAATCAGTCAAAAGATATATAAACTGATTTGTTGTAGTTTTTGTGTTTTTACCTAGGCAGTCCGCCAAAATCCCATTCAGCGCAGATGTATGGCCCAGGGCGCAAAATCACCCAGAGGCCCAAGCTGGCTGCAATGCGAAGATAGGCTCTAAGAAGATATGGAAAATTTAGAAAAAATATTTTAGTTAGGAGAGGCCATACATCTTCATATTTACAATGCTGTCAACAATCAATAAAATGTGGAAAAGAATAATTGTTCTCAAATTAAGAAGAAGCTCATCTACAACAGCAAATCATTTCTAAAATACCCCCCGCCCCCTAATTTTCCAATAAAATAAAGCTCTGAGACATTTGTTTCTATTAATTCCTCGGCAACAATCAACACATTTCATTGATCAATGACCTCACAATCAGAAAACACACAATTACTGACTCAAATGCAAAGTGCTTATTAGGGGTAAATGTTTTTTTAGCAGTATGAATGCAATAGACAGCCAAACTTTTTTCCAATGCAATGGTTCCCCCTGCTGGACATCAGCTATGCTTGTGTCAAACCTCTCACTGAGCATTTTACTTCAGCAGTCCTTACTCTAAATCCAGATCATCCTCAAAGTCAAACACCCCTCGCTCTGGTTCATGCAGGTTCCATGGTACATAGCTGAGAAGACATGAAAAATAGTTATTTTTGTGTTTTAAGCATTATTTTTTATAGTCAATTAAAATGTTGCATTGCACTTTGCATTACAGCTCTTTACATGAGTGTGACTCCTGAGCTTGATCGGCTAGCTTTCATGTTCAGATTAAAACAGTGTTGCATGTTATCTGCCCTCCTGCTCTCTTGACCTTTGTGCTCCGACATGTACTCAGTCATGGCCTAGTTGCACAGGGAGCTCACGTTGTAAGAGTGTTGATGCCGCAGGCTTTCATCTTCAGCAGTCGGTCCTCCCAGTAGGTCCTGGGGACACGGAAGTAATGGACAGAGCCTCCCAGGATGCGGAAGGGTTGTTTCTCCAAGCTGAACTGTGAAGAGTTGGCTCTCAGTCCTTCTACGCGGTTCATTCTTGCTCTTTGTGGATAGTCTCTGAGGAGAGAAATATGACATAAGACAAACATATTTAGAATTACAAAAAAGAATAAATAAAATTAAACATTATGTTATTTTTTTTTTTTGCTATTCTGATTATTTAGGTTCACCTGCTGCAATATCTCCTTCAAGATAAATGGTTGTGTGTGCCTCTGTATTATCTTAGGTTTTATTATAGGTTTTATCTATAAATCATTAAGGGAAGGCCACTCCCATTTGGTGATATAAGGTCTGCAAGTGAACAGTACCTAGGGAACCAGTATCAATAAAATAAATAGACAATTTTGACATATTAAGGCTTTTTGTTTTGGGTTTTTAGTTTTTTTTTTGTTTGTTTGTTTATTTGTTTTTTTTTTTTTTTTTTTTTTTGCGTCAGATTGCATGAGATCACATGCAATCAGAGGTAGTCCAAGATTTTACAGAGCCCTAAAAAGATACTTTCTTTGGATCCCTACTTCCAGAAAAGACCAGCACCAAAATCCCCTGAACTTCGTGGACAATAAAGTTTAATTGAATTCGGTAAAAAAAAAAAAAGAAAAAAAAATACAACTACTACATATTAACATAGTAATTCACTCAATATGATAAACCTCACAGAAAAAAAAAACAGGGTATCACTGTATTTATTTATTTATTTTTGCTGTGCTTTGCTCAGTATGCAAATAAGTCAACTAGATCTCTGTCTCCTAAAGTGGGAGCTCAGGTGTAACTTGGTGAAATGAAACTCACCTTTGAAACTGAACACTTAACAGATAAAGAACAGAAACATATTAAAGTTCACATACAACAAAGCTGATCTCTTTGCTACCAAAACAGTATCGGAATTTTAGACAATTTGATCATGTTATGGTAATTTAAAACAAGTTACCAAAGCAAAACTGAACGGTGTTTAGACACACTTTATCTCTGAAGAAAAACAAGCATACTAAAAAAGAAAAACAAAATCAAAAGCACCGACACAGATGTTCATTTGAACGCGTAGAATCAGACCGTATTGGCATTTTGGACAACTTGATTATTATTTTATTTTATTTTTTCCATTTCAATGTGGTCACAGTAGGTTACATTTTGTAATCTGTAGCTTGTGGAAGCAGAAATAAATTTCACCCAACGCACATGGACTGACTCCATGCAGTGGGCGGAGTCCTGCAACAACGCGTACCTTCAAATGTGAACTTTAGGGAACCTTCCTTACCTTGCAATTTGATAAGCAACTATTGCCAGAGCGCCGATGCAAAGCAGGAGAAAATATCTTTGCTTTAAGGACAGACGAACACCAAGTATCGACGAGATTTCCATGGACCAAAACAGTGGACAACTGTTTCCTGAGCGCTTGCAGAGTGTCAGAGCGCTTATCTGAGAGGTGCAGTCCTCTTCACAAAACTGTAGCGTTTACACAACGCTACATACGTAACACTCTTTAAAAGAGCTGTAGACATAAATAAGTTTTAGTTTCCTCTTGGTCAAAAAGAACCAGCGTAACGCATACAGCTCTTCAACTATAGCTGTGTTTAGGGACAGTGACAAAATTACACTGATGTTGCTGAAACGCATAAGATATGGAAGCTTTCATGAGAGGTTTGGTTTGTAAAAAAAAGACATGTGTGTGTATGTGTATGTGTTTATTTGTAAGCTACATCTACATCACACTTGAACAATGCTTTACGCTTCTGACAGAGAAAGAGAGAAAAGAGAAAGGGGGAGAGAGAAAAAGAGGGAGAGCATTATGACACTGTTGTTCTCCAACAACAATAGTTAGCCTTATTCACAACGCTGTGTTCGAGGCCTCCCAGCACTATTTGACCCTCAGATGCTCTCTGATCAGGCTCACAGTGGTTTGGAAGCAATCTGGATTTTCTCTGAAATTTCAACATTTTGGACATTTAAGCTAAGGCTTGGTAAGGCTATCCAAACAACAATATCTCTCTTCAAAAGTCAGATTATTTAAGTGATTTTATGTTAAGCCTTTTGACATGCTTGTGTACAGTGTGAAGTTTGGTGATAGCTTATGAGACCTAATATTTCTGATTTTGTTCCATAAGATCTCATATTTAAGTGAGGACAATGAACAGTTTGGAGGGACTGAGGGCCGACTCCTCTCAGTTCACTCTGAGAGGGGAGCCCTTCCGCATCCTGGGAGGCTCCATCCATTACTTCCGCGTGCCCAGACCATACTGGAAGGACCGACTACTGAAGATGAAGGCGTGTGGTCTCAATACTCTTACAACGTGTGTATATCTGTAAACATAGATGCAAATGGATGAAATGTCTGAATGGTCATTTTTTCTCATGCACTGAAATTATGCAGTGCTGATCAGTTGTTTATATACAGATATATTTAATAAATTAGGAGAGAATTAAAAGTACATTTACTGCTTGTATATAATTACACACAAGCTATTGTTAATTATAATGATTTTCAGCTTACACGGCTTAATTTGTCATTAAGCTTAACAGGCTTAATGAAAACAATCTTATATTATAATATAAGATTGTAATATTACATCAGATTTAAGAAAAAACATTTTAAATGCAGAAATGTAGGCTAAATGAAGATGTTTGGCAACTGCTTAAAGGCTGATATTTTTAAAAGGTACTTTTAATCTGGCAAAGGAACCTCATCACAACACATATTCAGAATTATTGAATTTGCTGCTTCAAATCAACACCTTCAGAAACAGATGAAATTTGCAGATGCCTACATGGAAAAGCCAAAGTCAGTGGAAAAACACTTTATAATTAGAGCAAAGTTATTTCCACAACTTTAAACCTGGGTGGATCAGAAAAAACACAAAGTGCAACAACACTGATTTTCAGACGTCATTGTACTTGGTATAGCCATATGACCCTGAAAAAAAGAATGGTATTACAACTTCTGATCAGCAATGTTGGATATATCAGAATGTTTTTCTGGATTGTGTAGTCATTTAACATCAGTGAAGCCATTTCCTTTTGTCTGTTTTTCAGATATGTGCCATGGAACCTGCATGAGCCTGAAAGAGGGACATTTAACTTTCAAGATCAGCTAGATCTCAGGAAAGGCTCTGCATAATCATGTTTATTTTTATTTTATTTTTTCTGGAATACAGCAAAAGGTTTTATGAGTTATTAGTTTTGAACAGAACAGAACATTTGTGTGTCTCTTTCAGGGCCTATATCAGCTTAGCAGCAGAGACAGGTTTCTGGGTGATTCTACGGCCAGGACCTTACATCTGTGCTGAATGGGACTTGGGTGGCTTGCCAAGGTGATGTCACATTTTTATTCTATTTGCTGTATCAATGTCAAATTAACACTGTTTTTCTTTGGGGGTGTGGGGCATTTCCCAGCTGGTTGCTACAAGATAAAGACATTCAGTTGAGAACAACTTACCCCGGATTTGTAAATGCTGTCAACTTGTACTTTGACAAACTTGTTTCAGTTGTCCAACCTCTGATGGTAACTTCACTTTTTAATATATTTATAGTAAATAATAGCCTATTTTTTTACTAACACGTAATATGTCTCTTAGTTTGAGAATGGAGGACCAATCATTGCTCTCCAATTAGAGAATGAGTATGGATCATTTGCAAAGGACGATGAGTATATGCCTTTTTTAAAGAATGTGAGTTAATTACAAGCTTTTTTTGTTAGCACCCTTCTTTTATTCAATTTGTTAGATGCACATTCTCTATCTTCTTTCATATAGTGTCTCCAGTCCAAAGGGGTCAATGAGCTCCTTCTAACATCTGACAACTGGGAAGGTTTGAGATACAGAAGGATGGAGGGAGGTAACTACATGACAAAACATAATGTGTATCTCAGGAATCTTTTTGGTGATACATGTTTGTTTTAATGTCATCTAAAAAGCTTGTGAATTTGATCGTTTCAGTTCTAAAAACAATAAACCTTCAGAGGTTGTCATTTGGAGCCATTCAGCACTTAGCATGCATGCAGGTAAGTAGTGATGATGGATAATTTAATATTGTTCTTGCATACATCAAACTATCTTTGACAAATTTGCTTGTAGCCTTTCATTACATTTCTCTCTTATTCCAGTAGTACAATCTCACATGGGAAATGAAAAATGTAAAAAGAAAAAAGAAAACTTTAGGAATATATGTAGCCATTTGTTGGAAAAAAATAAAAGTTAAGAAACATAAATTTTTCACAATGTCACTGGTGGCACAATTGTTGATAAATTGTAAATTGGTATATAATATATATTTTGACTGTATACTTTTAAAAGTTGATCTAAGCTTCAATGTAGACAATATGCATTTAGCGTATATCTGCGTGTTTTTAAACATTGCCATTGGTGCCAACATTTGTGTGTGTATGTTATGAATCAACAAACATTTCCATTGTTCAGGTTAGCCAGTGTTTGATGGATTTACTAACATTACTTTTACATACATGAATTCCTTCTAGCCCCAGAAACCTTTAATGGTGATGGAATATTGGTCTGGGTGGTTTGATGTCTGGGGAGAGCATCATCATGTGTTCCATGCAGAAGGTACTCACCCTTCTTTTTCTGAGCTGTTCTTGTTTCCACTCATGTTTTTGAACATGCTCAGAGTGTCTACTTCACCTCACAATTATTCTTGCTTTTTGCATGATTAAATTTTTTATCTGAACTTGTCAAGAACACAATAAATACTGAATGTGCTGCCCGAACAGACATGCTTGGCGTGGTGTCAGAAATCCTGGAGAGAGGTGTTTCCATTAACCTGTACATGTTTCATGGTGGGACCAGCTTTGGCTTCATGAATGGAGCAATGGACTTTGGCACCTACAAACCCCAGGTCACAAGTTATGGTAGGCAGGTGACATTAGAGTGCCAAAATAAAATGCATTTCACAACAATAAGCAATAAACATTTCATACTGGGTGTGTAATCTGTTTCTTGGCAGATTATGATGCTCCGCTATCTGAAGCTGGAGATTGCACTATCAAATATGAAATTTTGAGGGATTTATTCAGCCAGTATAACTGTAAGCTCTTCAACATCTCATTTAAACATCCACCAAAGATCATATGAAATAAACAAATTGCAATCAATTTCTTGTTCTCGTTATCCACAAATGCTGAAGGAGGCATGATTAGCTTCAACTAAATGTTTTGCCTGCTTATGTTCTAGCGGAGCCTCTTCCTGAAGTGCCTTCTCCTCAGGAGAGGAAAGCTTATGAGCCAGTGTACACACAGCTGTACCTTTCTCTGTGGGATGCTGTACAGTTCATAGATAAGGTAAACACCTGTCTGGTGTGACAACTAGAATAATAAACCAAAAATGTCCAATTATTTGATTCAAATGCTTCATTTATTAAGGCAGCTTACTCCTATTGCTAACTATTATTGATGGAATATTTGTGAACAAACAGTGAGAAACAGGATAAAGTTCTGTAAAAGTTCGAAGTAAGGTTAGATTATAAAATGATATATTACGTCCTTGAAAATTCACTGAAGATCATCCAAAAAGAAAAGAGGTACTGAGCAACTGCAAATGTACCAACATTGCATCCATCTGAACCAAAAGTCAGGCAAGGAGAGCATTTGTTTTAGAATCAGACAAGACAGCAATTGTGACTGTAGGGAGCTGAATTTAGCCTCTGTAAAATAGCTGCAAGAAGAAAGTGTGTGTTCAGAGAAAGTCACAGTTATTAAAACTACAGTGGTTTGGATCAAAGCCCAGTCAAGCCTTAGACTATATGCAACAGATTTTCTGTTTTTGATAAAACTTGAAAATCGCTGTTCATAAATGCTGTTGAACCAATCTTAAGTTGCAAAGATGAACAGGAAGAGAACTTAATCTCTACGTGTTCAAAGTAGGGAGATATACCTAAAAGATTTCCAGCTGTAAATGTGGCAGAAGGCAACAAAAAGTATCATCTTATAATTGCAAGACATTTTCAAAACAAAAGACACCATGTCTTGCACCAATAGTAACACACAATGCCATTTAAATTCCCAAATCTATTATGTTTGACTATTTACTCATCAAGCCATGCAGGTCAGAGAAGCCAATAAACATGGAGAATCTCCCAGTCAACAACAACAATGGTCAGTCATATGGTTATACACTGTATGAAACCACCATCAGCAATGGAGGAGTATTAAACTCTGGGAACAACATCAGAGACAGAGCACTGGTGAGAACAGTGACCAAAAGACCAACATAATGTTTTGACGTAATGCAAATTGATATTGCACGAGTTATATCTTGGATGCTCCTTGATGTTCTCCAGGTGTTCTTGGATCGAGAATATGTAGGATGTTTGGACTACAAGACTCATGAAGTCATCTTGCCTGATGCCAAGGTAATACTTATCACATTTTAAGTGAACATGCAATTACTTGTTAGTCTAGTTGAACAAAAACTTTATAAGTACAAGTTCTAAACATTGTGGTCTGCTTGATTCTATTCTAAGCTTCATCAATCAACATAAAATGTAGTTTTTTTTATTTTTTAATTCTGTATTTTTTTTTTGTCAAACAAGACTTTCAAAACTTTCTGCTTTCTCATACAGTTCACTTCACTGTCAAATAACCTTTTTAACTGTATTGTTCATTAATAATCCTTGCCAGAAATTATACCGATTTGTGTGTGCCTCACAGAGAGAGAGGACCTTGGCTGTACTTGTTGAAAACTGTGGAAGAGTGAATTATGGTAAAGCACTTGATAACCAGCGCAAAGGTATTTATTGATCACTTTCATTTACTGCACATTATGCTTCTTACTTTTATATTATTATATACTCAAAATCATGTTTTAACCATTTTAGAATCATTTTCACAGCGAGGGTTCCAGTTTTACAAGTTAAGAATTGTTTTTCTGGTATTTTACATAAAACATAGCATAGGAACTTACAAGAAATCTGACCTTTTCATCTAGTGTCCCAGGGTGTCCAGGGCATTTTTCTAATTCAGACACTTATTTATCTGTGTATCATTTTAGTGTTCACCCTACTCTAAATGACGTGTTTCTCTTGTAAACATGGTTGCAGGTATTGTGGGAGACATTGTACTTAATCATACACCACTGAGAGGATTCACCACCTTCTGTTTTGATCTAAAGCCAGCCTTTATAAAAAGGTATGTCTTTTGTGGTTTTTCAAATTTATTTGAATCTGTTCATGACATCATGTTTGTATAAAATAGCATAACAGACTTGATTATATCAGTCTGTTATGCTAATAGTTTGTGTGCTGGATTAAACATCTGCATTAATTGTTTTCTATTCACAAGCCAAATGCATTGCATACCTCTTGTGTTTCTTTGTAGGTTGTCAAGTTCAGGTCAGTGGAAAACCGACTTCAAGTCAGTGCCAGTTCCAGGATTTTTCCAGGCCAAGCTCATTTTGGACGGTCCTCCAAAAGACACCTTCATCAAGCTTCCTGTGAATATGATAATTTATTAATTTGTGTGGTAATCTAATTTAAAATAATACGCAAATGTACTCTTTTTGATTATCTTTGTTCAATGAACAAATCAAGCCAGAATCAATTTTTCATTTCTGTTCCAAAAGAGCTAGGATATTCGGACATATTTGTTGCTTGCATTTGGAATTTCTTTGGAATAAAGAGCCTGTGTTTATATGTGTATCCACAGAACTGGGGTAAAGGAGTGGTGTTTGTCAATGGCCAGAACCTTGGTCGTTACTGGTTCATTGGTCCCCAGCATTTCCTCTATCTCCCAGGACCTTGGCTAAGAAGCGGAGACAACCAGGTACAATGTTCAACTTGAAACTATTGCTCAATTTATCTATTATCTTCAGAAGAAGAAAAGGAATTTGACTTTTGCTCTCTACAACAGTTTTCTTTCTTTCTCTGTGTGTGTTTCTGTGTGTGTAATCAGGGTTAAATTATATGTATATTTCTGCTTTCTTTCAGATCATTATTTTTGAAGAAGAAAAAGTTGATGGAAAAATTATGTTTTCTGAAAATCCTGAATATGGAAAAACTATTGATGTTTACAAACTTCCCTTTTGCAGTTTGCTGTAAACATTGTACACACACACTAAGAAATTATTATTTATTGTTACTGAAATTTAAGATGAATTATATAAACCAGTTAACAAAGTAGGGTTGTTTGTAATTGCCCATTGTAGCAGTTTAACATAATTTATTCAGAAGTTAATGTTTTTGCTATTGATTAATTTAGTTTCATAACTTGTAATGCTTTGCATTATTATAAGGCCTGTTGGGTGGAGTACTCTTTTAAACAAATGTACACTAACAATTCAACACAACTTAATAATAAAGCGTCTATCATTCTGATGATCATTTCCAGTTTATGTTATGGCTTCATATGGCTTTTATGAAAGCTTTTCTCCAGACATTTTCAGATGTTTAATAAGGCCATAGCAGTCTTTTACACAAGCTGCTTCCACATGTTTTTTTTTCTTCTTAAACACCCATGCAGTGTTTTCATATATCACTAAAATATTTTGCTATAGCTCATTAAATATACACAACAAACCGACCAGTTTGTTGCCTTATGTGACGTTTTGCGAGGCAAAATTTTCACTCTACAAAATAGTAATTCAAAACAAATCAGCAAAATGAATAAAAGACTTGATCATGACAAGTCGTGTTACTGTGAAAGGTTACGTCTAAAGTGAATCTGATTGATTCTTACCGAATAGTCTGGCTAGAAGCTTGCATTTTGGCATGGCCTTTACTCTCATTAGACATGGATGTGAAAAGTGAGAAGCAATAAGGTTTCAGGGAACAGGGAAATCGTCAATTCCTTGGATGTGTGGAAATTGCCCCGCCCACGCTCAAACGACAGACTCACAGGAAGCTGTGAGAGCAAACAGGAAACGTATATTGACTTTCACAATAAAGTTGTTGTCTTCGTCACGCTATTTATCATAAAACAAAAGTACGGATATCATCATAATAAAACGTAAATGTTTTAAAGTTGCGATAAAAATGAACAAAATATGACACAAACATCCAGTTCATGCTGTTAAGATCTACAGTTTCTGGATGGATTTTTATTTTGAAATATATTTTCGGAAAGATGTGTTATACTCATAGTTGGCTTGACCTGAATATAAGCACTGACATTTCTGCAGGTGAAGGAGTGTTGTTCCTGTAGAACTTGTTTAGGAGTTGACAAGATGTCCTTCAAAGCTTTTATTTGCTAACATAAGACGAGGCAGTTATGCTTTGAATGTACTTTCCAAATATTACGCATGAAATGAGTCTATATCAGCTGCAGACTCATTTTTGCAGTAACATAGCCTAGCATAAAAAGTGAGCTGCTGAAGTGGAATAGTAGTGGGTCATTTTTTTTTTCCTGAGCGTGGTCGAGTTTTGTTTTGACAAACAGGGTTTTGGTTCCTCCTGCCGACATGGAGTCGTTCGGATGGACTTCCAGTGTTCTCGGATGCGCTGCTTGCGTTGCGCTGACTGGGGTTGTATTTGCTGCCTACAAACTTGGTCTAATCTACCAGTTGTTTCACAAGGTAGGTAACTGGAAATCATCAGCAGCTTCGCAACATTTTGTCTTTCTGGGCGATATAATTCAAAGATACTTTCCAATGTCCTGTTTGTGAGAATATTCAGGGATGTTTTTAGTCCCTCTGTTCCCTCTGAGCTGTTAGGGAAGCCTGAGCTGCATTCATGTAAACTTTGACCAGCCTTGCGGTTGTCTCATAAAGGCTATTCAAACACCTGGTTGTTAGTGGGACTGCACAAAGTAAAGGGGCACATCACAGCTGCATGCCTGAACAATGAGTTCTGTTGTCAAAGGGAGATAATGTGACAGGTGACCTTGGGAGTGTGACTGGGACAGCAGTCTATACAATGTGCTGCTTTGTTTTGTTTTTATTTTACACCTTTTTTTTTGTTCTGATTAAATCAGTGAAACAATGCGTAAATGTTAAATCTAGATGGTGTGTTTTGGGGCAGGCAGTACAGTTACCAAGTTGAGTGATTCTATCACTAGAGAGTATTTTCAAAAAAATCCTGGGGTCATCTGGGAACACCTGATTCTGAATTAAAATTATGTAGTCAACTGGTTTCAATGAATTGTATTTAGGACAGTGCTTCTCAATGCTGGTCCTCAGGCAGGGGGGCTCTGCATGTTTTAGGTGTTTCCCTGCTGCCACATACCTGGGTTGACTCTATGGGTGATTAACAGGCTTCTGGAGTACTTGATGCCTGCAGAAGAGGTAATACAATCATTTGGACCAGCTGTTCTGAAATGGAGCTGCACTGTATCTAAAACATGCAGAGCAGGGGGGCAGGAGGGGAATTGAGAAGCTCTGATTTAGGGGTATCTGAGTAAAGGAAGCTGGATTCAAAGTGTGTTCCTTTCAGATTTTAATTTGCAGAAAAGTTACTATTCTTACTAATGAAGTCTGTAGTTCAAGTGATAAAGGATGGTAAGATGTCTAATGGGTATGCATTTGTTTCATTTTAGCTTCTTACCTTTTTTACATTTTTTATTGCAATTAGACTGAAACAAAGAGCCCCCGGCATGGAGGGGAGAGTGTTGCCGAAGTCCTCCGTGCGCATGGAATCCAGTTCCTTTTCACCCTTGTTGGTGGGCACATCTCTCCCATCCTGGTGGCCTGCGAGAAGGTTGGCATCCGTGTCGTTGACACCAGACACGAAGCCACTGCTGTCTTTGCTGCTGATGCTGTGGCGAGGCTCTCAGGTACACACACCTCAGTTACACAAGAAGAGCATGAGTTAATATTTGACCTGAGTGTCTCTTAACACATACCATGTTGTTAGTAGCTGTGGGGAATAAAGGAACTGAGTCTTTTGCAGCCTTTTTAGGGTGTGCCTTACTGGTCAACATTGTGACTTGTCAAACACAGGTGCAGCTAACGGAGATTTCAGTATCTAGTTTAGATAAAGATGTCTTACTAGCCATAAATATTAATGCACATCTCTTTCTGCTATGTTTCTAAGGTACTGTTGGAGTAGCCGCAGTGACTGCTGGCCCCGGCCTGACTAACACAGTGACAGCAGTGAAGAACGCTCAAATGGCAGAATCTCCATTGCTGCTTTTGGGAGGAGCTGCTGGTACATTACTGCAGGTACATCAGTGTCACTTTCTTTTCAGAATTTAATATATAGTTCATTGGTTTTTCTAAAGTACTAAAACTATTTGAACACAAGGATTCAGTTCCCCGGAGCCTTGTAGTACCGCATTTAGAAAAATACATTTTATAATTGACCAATGTAGTCATTAACTTAAGTCCTGCTTTTATAGGTTATCAGTAAATATAAGCATTTAATTACCAGCATCTACCACTTTCCTTCCAGAGACAGCAATAAGCTTATTACACAACTTGTTTGTGTAATAATTCGTCATCATCTGTGTTTAGTAAATAGCAAAATAACACTTGGGTTTAAATAATAATTCAAGCTGATGAAACCTGGTCCTTTTTATTATGTGCTAAAATCCAAAGAAAAGTCTAACTGAAAGACCGTGTGAATATGATATGAATGTGCCAATCTAATAAACTACCACAACAAAACTTTAGTTAGTAGGTAGTGCTTGTCTTCGTTGGTACTCCTTTTAGTTGTCAAAATGAGCTGTTTTTACCCTTTGTGTCACAGGGCAGAGGGGCATTGCAGGACATCGACCAGATGTCTCTCTTCAGGCCTCTTTGTAAGTTCTGTGCCTCCATCCGGACCGTCAGGGAGATCGTGCCAACACTCAGGAAGGCTCTAGCCATTGCTCAGTCAGGAACTCCTGGTCCTGTTTTCATCGAGTTCCCCATTGATACTCTGTACCCATACCACCTGGTGTCCAAAGAGTTTGCTGTTAAAAATCCTCCCAAAGGGCTGATGGGAAAAATTGTCTCATGGTATGAGGAAATGCTGATTTTTGTATTGAAACAAAATTGGGTCATATGTTGTGAAAAAACAAGCATTTGTTGAATCTAGATGACAATACTGTATTTATGATTATTCAGTTAATAGATTGCTTATTTGTAAGGTACCTCAATAATCACCTCATGAACCTTTTTGCTGGAGCCTGGGAGACCAGAGATGTTTCCCCACTTCCTGTTCATATCCCTCAAGCCACAGTTGATGAGGTAATCTCAGATTTTGGTGTTCGCATCTAGTCGTTTTGAGTAAATATATGATCAGATAGCATCATGTTATGAGACACAAAGGGAACAGACTCACTTGAATGTTTTGTTTCTTTTCAGGTACAAAGGTGCATAGAGCTGGTGAGTCGAGCCAAGAAACCAGTCATTCTCCTTGGGAGCCAAGCTACACTCCCTCCTACGCCACCAGAAGACATCAGGTAAAGGAATATGTGTTTGTCTTTCACTAATTAAAGTCTAACAATGTCATTTTGTGTGAAGAGAGGTATGAAATGGTGCAAATATGTTTTTGTTTTACAGGAAGGCATTGGAGGATCTAGGTATCCCCTGCTTTCTTGGGGGTATGTCCCGGGGCATGCTGGGAAAAGACAGCCCTATCCACATCCGACAGAACAGACGGGATGCTCTCAAAGAGGCCGACCTGGTTCTCCTTGCAGGTTCATTTTTACCATGAAGTTAATTTAGTAATGATGGTTCACTCAGAAAAGTAAAGCTGACAGTGCCTTGCAAACTTATTCACCTAAATAAAACCCCCTGCATTACCTTGATAACAGAGTCCACCTAAATGTAACTAACACACAAAATTGAATTCTAAAGTCAAAATCCATTGAAAATCTATGGAAAGACTCAAATTGTTGTTTATATGTGATCTTCCAATCTGGCTGAGATTTGAGCTGTTTCAGAAAAGGAAAAGGGGATTTTTTTTTTTTTTTTACATTTTTAAGAGATTTATTTTTTCCAATAAAATAGATGATGAGGCAAAACAGCATTGCTAGACAAAATAATGAAGGAGTGTGAATATTTGTTGTTTATTTTGTAGGCACTGTGTGTGACTTCCGACTGAGCTATGGCAGAGTTCTGAACAGAAGGAGCAAGATAATCGCTGTCAACAGGGACAAGTCACAGCTGCTGAAAAACTCTGATATGTTCTGGAAACCAACTATAGCAATTCAGGGTACATTTGTAAAATGCTATATTTATTACAATTAAAGTACTATTTTATTATTTTCCAATAATTGGATTATTTATGAAATTGTCAGGTTTCTTGCATAGTATTAAAAGTCTGGAAAATGATAGAATTGGCTTTTATAATTTTCCAGGTTGGCATAAGTATAAAAATTAGGTTTATAATTCTTGTTCTATTATTTAAACCATCAAAAATAAAAATCATAATTAAAGTGCACAAACACAAATGAAATGGCTCATCATCACACAGTTGAAGCTGGCATTGTGTCACTTTATTATTTCTGTAACAGATGTGCAGATAATAAGAATTCTGTAAAAACATGAAAAAAATAAAGACATTTTAATCTGGAAATCTTGAAGTTAAAAATGTGCAAGACCTCTATTGTTAATTTAATTATGGTTATTTATTTTCCTAACTGGATTCTTAAAACAAATAATGCCTTTTGAAGTTAGGTCTGATGTTATGTATGGTTTATTTTTTATTTCTTTTAGGTGACGCTGGGTCATTTATTGTGCGTCTCTCTAAGGGCCTGAAGGGCCATCGCTGTCCTGAGGAATGGCCTCAGAGCCTCAAAACTGGAGATTCTACCAAAGAAGATGCAAACAGGTGGGCATTGGGAGGGGATGGGGTTCTGCATAGTTATTGTAGAAAATATAATAATGCACTGTTGGTTACAAAATCATTCCTCAAATTTTCTACTTCAGGGCTAAAGCTAATGAGAAGACAGAACACCACCTAAATCCTTTAAAAGTCCTCCACTGTGTGGATGAGCTGATGGCTGAGGACAGCATCATTGTAGCAGATGGAGGAGATTTTGTGGGAAGTGCTGCCTATATAATGAGACCAAGAGGACCTTTGCGTTGGTTAGATCCAGGTAATATACAAGCAACAAGATGATTAAACCAGCAGAATAAAACTATTAAACTCTTGCAGTTAATTTAATCAGTGTCTTAGCTATGTTACAGAATCACTAGTACCAATGTGTTGTGTTCTCTTTCCTTTGAAATGTCTTAATTCAGTTGGTTCATGTTCCTGCAGGAGCCTTTGGAACTCTAGGAGTTGGAGGAGGTTTTGCTTTGGGAGCAAAACTGTGCCGTCCTGAGGCTGAGGTATAATGTTGACATTATTTATTTTATTAACGCTCATGTTTCATTCCTTACCTAAAAGAATTACTTTTTTGCATGTTTTGCAGGTGTGGATAGTCTATGGAGACGGCTCCCTGGGATACAGTGTTGCAGAGTATGACACATTCACCCGGCACAAGGTAAACACATGAATCTTTGACTTAAACATGTAAGAGATGCAGATATTCATCTGATACAAGAAAAAGGTCACACTTTGTTCTGATTTATCACAGTGTGTTTGCTCACACTGAGGTTGCCATTCTGCTGTGCAAGAAAACATTTAATCTGAAACAGGCTTTCACAGAAACATTGCAACCCTACTGGTCAGAGCAGAGAAAGGTTGAGCTCACCATGTGAATATTTTGACCTTTTGCATGTGTTTGGTTTGACGTAAACTTTGTAATATTCTCTGTTTTTACCTTTGTGGTGTTTGATTTGAGAAATGTTGGACGTGTGGACAGTGAACACATTGGTGAGCTTCACCCAGTTGGTTTTAATTACTTGATGCCATTTTTAATGTTTCCTTTGACATGGGTACAGATAATGCTAAGGCAGTGAAGCTTACCCGAAACTGAGCTGAAGATTGATCTTTGATTTCTGTGTTTAAGATCCCTCAGCAGTGAACCACCTGATTTAGCTATTGATTTGTACTTCTCCCACTGAAGATTTTATATGAAAAAGATACAATTCTTGAGCCTTCAACTTGTCAAGGCTGATGAAACTGAAACAAAAAAATAATACAATTCTGATCACAATTTTTTTTTCTTTTAATGCATACATGGCAGCAAATGGTTGTGCTGCTACAATGACCAGATGGTGTACTGTGATTATATTACTTGATTGCTTTGCTCTTCAGACACCAGTTATATCTGTGGTTGGAAACGATGCATGTTGGAGTCAGATCTCCAGAGAGCAGGTTCCCATCCTCGGGAGCAACGTGGCTTGTGGCCTTGCTTTTACAGGTACGTATTTAACCACAGATGTGTGTTGTAATGTCCACAGTATTGCATCCCATAGCCCATAGAACATTGTTTATGTAGTTGTATATTGCTAGGCAATATACAACTCGTATATTGCCTAGCAATATACAACTCGTATACAACTCGTATATTGCCTGATTAACAAATCAGCAGCAAAACAAGAAAGAGGACACACTAATTTTATCCACAGCTCTAAGTGAAAAATTCATCTTTCATTTTTTACAGATTATCACACAGTGGCAGATGGTTATGGTGGTAAGGGCTACCTTGTCAGACGAGAAGACGAGAACCAGCTAAGTGACATCATAAAACAGGCTCAAAGGGATGCAAAGGAGGGCAAGGCTACTCTACTCAATGTTTTGATAGGGAAGACCAATTTCAGAGAAGGATCCATCTCTGTGTAGAGCATCTCTTCATAAAAGACACTTGCTATTCTTCTTTTCACTTTGGCTTCCAATGTATTTTTTATGTCAATTTCATAAGGGATTTCAGATTATGTTTTAATTTTGAATTGCATTTAATATATTCTTAGATATTAGGACCGTATTTTTGACAAGTTGACTCATGAGTTGCAGTAACTGTCATTCTTGTTTACCTCAGTGATAATAATGTCAACAACCCTCTCCAGACTTTGAAAGTTTGAAAATCATGCATCTGCTGTTCATCATGCTACTTTCAAGGTTGCAGAAAGCAAGTCATGAAATTTGGAAAGGGAAATGGTGAATAATCAAGCAAGTTGCTCTATTTAGGAAAATTCCTTCCTGTATTTTTAAAATTGAAGCAACCCATTGCAAGTTTGCAAATAAACTAGCTACAGGATTACATGTGCAGAGCGAGCAATGACTTGAGTTGTCCAAAGTGACCAGAATGCCTTTTTTTCTACTGTTTGGATATGAACTCTGGGCCTTTAATGGGGATTCAGGATATGTTGGAGCTGTAAACTCCAGCCTCCGTAAATGCTTAGAAAAAAGAATTACAAATGTTTCTGTGAATGTTGTCACCTGACAGATGGTTTGCCTTTCAATGTTTGATTGTATCTAATTATGCATTGATATGTGTATGTTGGAAATCATTGGTGATTCAATAGAAATTAAAGATATTTAATACTTTTTTTGAAATTGTTTTCTTTTTAAAATGCGACTACAAAAAAATGTTTTGACACCAAGGTCAAACCTTCAAGTCATTTCACTGCTCTTTGCTGCATTATGAAAAACAAAACAAATAGGCAGTAGAAACATTTTTTGAAATGTGAATTTTACTATAGTTTTGACGTAGACGGGCCTGCTGTCTGGGGGGAATATATACCACACAAACGGTAGATGGAACGAGGTTTTGTCTCTCACTAGAATACTTATAAAATATTTATTGGTATGAAAAGATAAGCGCATTTTTCCACCTTCACTTTTGCTATATTTGAATTAAGAAGTATAACTACAAAAATTTTAAAGATAGTCTCGGGTTTTATTTCTCTTTTAAAAAGGGGTCTTTGAAGACCATCAACCTTCTGAATGTAGTTTATTTTTCCAACAGCAGATGGCAGGCTAACCGTGGGATTTGCCAGATTTGGATATGCTGACGTGTAAATTCCTAAAAGGAGACTGTATGGATTTTCTATGGTGAAAGAGGCCAATTGAGAAATAAGTTTTGTGGCGAATGTGTTTCTTCTCTACTTCTTTTTCAGAAGAAACGTAAAATACTTATTTCAAAAACTATGTTTTCAAAATGAGCGCAATGAAAGGTATTGTGTCATACTCGTGTTTATCAGCTGCACATCCTAAATGATGTAAGCAATGCGTGTTTGCGTCTCAGCTATATATGGTTAGGCCTCATGCTATGTTTAAATGCGTTTTGTAAACATTTAATTTCTGACTTTGGAAGTTGGAGGGTTTATTTTTTATTTATTTGTTTATTTTATTTTATTTATTTATTTTTTTTTTTGCTTTGCTGTTATAAAACTATCCAGTATAAGTAAAAAAAAAAAAAACATTGTTGCGGAAACATCTGTTCTATTGCTGAAAATGGCATGGGATTGTGAAACGACGTCGAGTTAATTGAAATATTTTACTTTGCCAGGCTTACAAAACATTAAACATGCATTTTATGGTGACGTTCTATTACGGCAGCGCAACACAGATTTACTATAGCACGTGAAAGCGTCATGGAACCTTGTGCACACTACGGACCGCGGGCGGTCACTTTTAACAGTCTGAAAACCGTCAATATAGACAGAAGAGCTGCGAGCGGCTCTGGCAGCAGCAGAGGTCGAGAGCGTTTGTGACCCATTACGCATGGGGAGAAGACATTAACTAAAACAATTTTTATTGGAAACAAATATTTGAGGCGCTAGTTATACTGTCACAATGACCGGAGGCAGTGGTGTCGAGGGAGTTTTACGAGTTTAACAAACCTGGATTTTTTTTTTTCCTCTATTTTTTGGACTTTGATGAAAAAAAAAAAAACATTAAACTTACTCCGAGAAAATAGCGAGGCTATTGTCCCTGAACTGTCAGTGGTGAATTTTTATTTTCCCAAGTTACAGCTAAGAGCGGCCATTTATCAGATTAACATCAAGACTTAAAGAAAAAAAAAGGAAGGAAGAAAAACGCCACGAAGGCTTATTGATTTCCGAACTAAAAAAGAAAAGTGGATCAAGTTCAATCTTGATTTTAAGTCAGGTTGACTATCTGACTTAAAATCGAAAAGCACCTAAAACTAAGCTGAAGTGAACAGTGGAGTTACCTGGAGCAAGGTAAGTGACGTTTACATTTTCGTTTCTTTGTTTGTTTTCTTCACTCGGACATCTGAAGTTTATCTGTGTCCAGACACAAACACAATTTACTCTTGGGCATCTTCTAGGAATACTACGGTAATTAAACTGTATTTCTGAACTTACAATTGAACTAAAAGATAATATAATATAAAATTATTTGAACCAAAATATTTTGTTATAAAGTTAAAAAATGTAGAGGCCACAATGTTATTGACAAAAAGTGTAAAGTCCCTATCATTAGGTGAGGTGTGTTTCCGGAAGGAAATGAGTAAAATATTTCCTGGTTGTATGGCGTTGCACAGTGCTGGGTAAGGATAGACAGGATGAATGAAGTGTTTATTGGGATCTTTGACGAGAGATGTCACTGATAATTTGATCAAATAAGAGTTTATGTATTATTGTGTTAGGATTTCACAGTACATCACACTGTATATAATAATTGCAATATCACTGTAAAGGGCTGTATGGAATGCAGTAATTTTTTATTTTTTATTTTATTATTTTTTTTAAGTTTCAGAAATTCATGTGTTGCAAACCAATAAGATATTCAGTTTATTGGAGTATGGAGAGTTGAAAGGGACAAAATAAAATAAACATGCCATTTCATCTTTTAATAAATAATGTAAATAATTGAAATACTTTATGTAGTAGACAAAACATTACTTTAAATCATTCAAATGCAAACTTGTACATCTAAAAATTAAATGCATATCGAATTATTTCATGGGATACAGTAAAACTCACCCCTCAAACTCAATGGGCAATTTAAACCACAGCACAGCAATTTTCTAATGGCAGCAAATAAACAAAATATATTCATTGATTAGTGTTCTCGATTTGATACTCCTTCACCTTCTGTGAGGACATTGGTGTCCTCAGACCCCTTAGTTGGTGTGACAATTAAGCAGAAATAAAGTTTTTCTCTTGGGGATCTCAGATCTCTCTTCCAAGGGAAATCCAGCTGAGAGAGTAAAACTTAAAAATCACACAAAATAACAGTAAGTTATAATAAAAACTTAAATTCAGACTTAAGATTGTTCCAATCATCTCTCGCCAAATCCAAGAATTGTCTTTACCTGGTTCAGTTTATAGTCTCTGAATCACTATTTTCAAAATGCCTTTTGAACAAAGATTGTGACTCCATTGTTTAATTTGTGGGATAAAATCAAGACGTAATTTTACCAGAATTTATTTTTATGTGAACACAATGTCTGAGGTGATGACCATGTAGGAATGTCTAGTTTACACTATTGTGGAAAAGACAAGATTTAATGAGAAAACCACAGTTAATGGTAATGTCATTGTCCTGTGGTAATGTCATTGTCCTGTGACCTTCACTACATAAGATACAAAGGCAATTGGCAGATATAGTCATGTCAATTCTGAAAAACAGTTTTCAGAATGACTTTTGAAAATAGAAAAGAAGTGCAGCGTTTGTCTTTGATACAATCCTAATTAGATCTTCAACTTTGTTGTGCATCTTCCTTCCATTAGCATTGAATTGAAAAACTGAGCTCAGAATGGTCTATGCTTAATTTACATATAAGGTAAACTATGAGAGGCAACAATTTAACTTCATGAAACACCTACATGTATTTGTAATAAGTCTCACCTTAATGTCCGGAGTTAGACCTATGACATAATTTCATAGTCACTCAGTTTCTGGTTTGGAAAAACTATTAATGTGGCAGTATTGACACCGGTCTAAACCAGCCACTGGGTAAATTGGTCAAACCAGCTTTTATAGAGATATTAAGTAACTGGTCATGTTTTTTTACAGGAGCTGAATGGCCTCTGTTGTAGCAGTGAAATCTGAGAAGCGTCCTGCAGTTGATTCTCAGGATGCAGAGTCAAATGCTAAAAAGCCCAGGTAAGCTCAGGTGCACCTGAATGCCAATGCTGTTACATATTCAGGATTTCTTTGCAGAACTAATTCAAATCATTAGAAGTGCTAGATGAAGGTAGATGCTAGTTTCCAACTGCAAAATCAGTAGGCATGAAGGCTTTGTTTAACCTTCGTGCTGTCAGAGGGATTAGTGAAGCACCATCATCATTTGATTTCTGCCTGCCCCAAAGGAAATTGCTGCCCAGCCTGAAGACCAAGCGAGCCCCCGAGCTTGTTCTGGTGATTGGTACAGGGGTGAGCTCTGCAGTGGCTCCGCAGGTTCCTGCTCTTCGCTCTTGGAAAGGGCTTATACAGGCCCTCCTCGACGCAGCCAATGATTTTGATCTGCTGGAGGAGGAGGAGAGCCGGCGTTTCCAGAAGCACATGCAGGAAGATAAGAATTTGGTGCATGTGGCCCATGACCTCATTCAGAAACTTTCCCCGGTAAGACCGTCTGAGTCTTTTTTCTTTCTTTCTTTCTTCCCTTTCCTAAAGTTCTCCTTTGCACATGCACAAACACATGTCTGGCTGTGACCTTTTCTGAACCAGGGATGTTGTGTTTTTCAATTTCCACACATTCACATCCAGACATTATTCATATTTTGTCATGGTGTAAAACTTGATTGTTAGACTTCTTTATTAAAAACAATCAATGCAAATACACACTACTGTCATTTTGTTCACTTGGTTAACAGGTTGAGTGTTTCTTAAATGCAAGTCTCTGCAAAAAACGTGCATTGAAACCCTCCTTTTGATTCCTTCATGGATTGCATCCAAAGTCTTGTGAAGTGCTTCTCTGTAGCACTGACTGTAGTTTTCATCAGACTTTTGCTACTTCATCACTTTTTAACTATTTAGTCATTTGGCCCTTTATGGTATATTGTAAACACAGCGTTTAATGTTTAGAAAAGAAAATGGAAATAATAGGAAAACTAACATGCTTTCTCAAAGTGATGTCTTGAAATACAGCTGCATGTTTTGGAAACATGTAGGTGTGGCTAAAAAATAAGATCATAATTGTGCTAATTTATGAATTCCACTAAAGAAGTTTTGACCTTAAGTGTTTTTGCTGCAGGATGCTTGTTACACACATTTGTTTTAAAATCATTAGAAAACACTAGTTCATCTTATCAGATTACGATCCAATTTACAACAGAATGATTCATCGGTCAGATATAAAGTGGTGAACACAACTCATTCCTCTGAAAGAGGTCATTTACTGAATGTAAATGAAAATGTCCAAAGGAATTGTTCAAGATTACTTTTGGGGAATAAGATTACTCATCTGTAAAGAAAGAAAAAGTCATGGATTCTAAAAGATTAACATGATAATTGGGGTGAAAGATAAGGGTGATTCTACATTTCCTCTCAGTAACAAATGTAGCATTTACAACTTGTTTAGTTGTAAATTTTCATATTAAAGAATAAAATGGCCAGTTCTGCAATAAAATTTTAATCGTCAATGAGTGTCTCCTGGTCATAGCTGAACTGTGTGTGCTTCAGTGTCTAACGCATAGCAAATCTAATTTGGACAGTGTTTCTACTGTTTTCAACAGTCTCAGAAACATCACAGTACTTTATACAAGCCCAATACTATGAGCCTTTGAATTATCATGATCTATACATTGCATGACTGTTTATCATGAAGACAATGACTACTTTCACTCCCAGAGGAAGTAAGAGAGGACTTACCACCAGGGACATGAAACACAGTTATTTGGACTCGATCTTTGTACGCATTGGTAATTAAGGTAATTTGTCCTTGAAATAAAAAAATTGTTTCCTCAGTCTTGTTAAAATGTCCAGCAAAATGTTTGCCATTTAACAGCATCTGTCTTATTTCTACGGAAGAAATTAGACTATTCTAAAATAGTCTGTTGTGAAAAAAAAAAAAAAAAACGTCTTAGCCATTGGAGACCTTTTATTAAAATTTGTTCCCCTTCACTTATGTTGAAGGTACAGGTTGTCTGTTTGATCTTTTGGCCCAAGTGCAAATGAAGCCTTGAGACAACTTTTATCAAGTTTGCCACATTTTAGAATGTGCAGTGTTTTTTTTTTTTTTTTTTTTTTTCTTGTTTATGTGTTTGATTTTGTTAAGCGCAAAAATTGTGTTCACAGTTATTGGCTGAAGTTTCCCTTTGTAGAACTGAGGTACCTCCATTTGCTGTGTGAGTAATCATCAGCTTCACTTTAGATTTGTTTAATGCAAACAACTGAGTAGAGGTTTAACACGGTGAAACTTTTGACTGAATTAAAAAAAAAAATGTAACTCACATCAAATGAAGACATCAAGAGAAATATCTACTCCCAGAACTGTAATAAATGTTTATACCCTTTTTGCAGAATCTCACTTCAAAATTTCTAACCTCTGTCTTTAGTATTTGACCCAAGAATCCCCTTTTACTATTTGATTTGACATATCCTTGAGCTATATTGTATAAATTGAGACTCAACAAGATGATTTTATATACAAGATGTTTATATTGATTCTAGAAATGGAACTTATCTAATATACATCCTTAAGCATAGAATAAAGTTTTCCAGTTTGTCAAAATTTCAAAACATTTTCCATGTGGTCAACCAATCAAAGTCAACTAATTTTTATTAAAAATTCAGCAATTTACTGCTGCAAGTTGCTATTACACGTCCTCACTGTGACCATTTGTATATCTTTAAGAAATCACATTCATTTTGAGACCTCCACTACTTTGTGGAAGGTATCTCATAAAATTATGTACTTTAACTGATTTTGCCTTTCTTGAGTTTTTGGTGGTATTAATGGATCTGTAAAAAATCTGTAGTATTTACATACAACCAAACCGGTCTGATCTGGAGCGGGGCTGGCAGATGGGAGTCTTAATACCGTTTGCCTCCTGTGTTAGTCATGTCTCATCGCACCTTTGACATTGATAAAAACACGCTTTGTTTCAGCTCCCAGCCTGTCGGGACAAAGAGAACAAACAGTGCCTTTATGGCTTTATCCGTTGTGTTTATTTCGATCCACAGTCGTGCAGACATCAGCCCACTCCCCTTGGTCACAGACACAGCGGGGTCCAGCGCAGCCGGCCGGAGGGAAGAAGAAAAAAAAACAAACAAACAAACAGGGAATAATGTGAACACCCCATTGCCTCCCCTCCTGTAGCCCAGATTTTCCATTCAGACTTAAAGCTCCACCTGTGGGTCCATAGTAGAACATAATTTTTAGTCGCTCCATTCACAAAACCTGCGTTAATGTTTTTCTCTTGTTTTATAGAGATACTTTTACTCTTCTGTGTGTGACTTATTCTCTAAAAGTTACTTTCAGACAAAGGTAACCTACTAAATGAAACCTTATTTTTATGACTGTGTTTTACCATTTCCATAATCCGCACTCGTTGTTAATCATTTGTACTTGGAATGCTAACATGTGTCTGGGTGTGAGACACCTGCCTTATAGCCAGTTAGAGGTTTAACCCACTTTCATGGATTTGTGTACCGGCCAAGTTTCTGTGTGCTGTAGAAGTAATGAGTCTGGCAACAGCAAGGCTCTTAACTTGTGCTGTTCAAAGCAAAAAAGAAATTGTTCATTCATCTGTTATTGTTTATAGATTAGTTATCACCTGCTATGCTTGTAGTAATTATTTAAATGGTAAAAATGTATTTGTTGAAAGCAATTAGTGAGTCTTCCCTGTGAATGAAAGATCATTTTATCAGTTTGAGATGGATAGTTTGAACAAGAAGAAGAAGAAGGGTTGCTTATTTGTCTATTTGTTGGTTATTGCATAAGTTGTGTCAGCCCAAGGACAGGGTGATCAGGATGGGTGCTGCGGACACTAGCTGTGGATAATGAGCTTCTTCCTGTGGAAGGGACTCCTGCTGTTTAGCCCATTAGAGCTGTAATCTGTGGAAGGCGGTGGAGCATTTCCTTCCAATCTCAGATCACCTTGGTCACTGTGCTAGCCTTTGCTATTCTTAGATATCAGCATCTTTCTTGCTCTTTTTTTTTCTGGGGCGGGGGTTACAAGACCCTCCTCAAGGTAAGGATGAAAATGATGCCTCACACTGACAGAACATAAACTTTACGTGGAGTAATGCAGTGTGAGTTGCTGCTCTTGTGGTTAGATTAAGGATCAGAGGGGCAATGAAGTGGGCAATGGACGCTTACAGATGTTTAAAAATCTAACACACAACTATTCATTGAAGATTAAATATGGAGTTTTAATTTGCACCTTGAAGAGTGCAAGAATGTGAAAATGTATATTTTCACACTTTATCCCCGATTCTATTGTTTCATTGTTTGTCTATCCATCATCCATTCATTTGTCCATTATCCTTTCATTTGTTTCCAGCCAGTGGAAATAGCAGATTCGTTGTTGAAAGCCTAACCTCTTTACGAATATTTCCCGAAATATTTCTTTTCTGAAAATTGTTGAGATCTCCGAAAATATTGGCTTTGTAAAAATGTACAAAAATGTGTTGAAATCCTGATTTTTTTTCTATTCAAAAGCTAGGAAGAATTAACCCCTTTTTCTTAGAATGCAAGATTAACTTTTTTTCTTTTTTTCCTGCTACTCTGTTTAGCAGTACTTAGAGTGAATAATCCTTCTTCAGGTCACTTCAGTCCTTAGATACACATTTTTATTCTACAAGACTTAATTCCTACATGGACTGGTCACGTTGGATCATAAGTCAGTCTGATCTAAAGGCATTTTGTTTCAAGTTAAAAATTTGGCTTCACTTTTGACCAACTTTGTTTAATGGCCTAGAGGCATTTTTATGTACTTTAGTTCATCTTGTTATGATCTCTTGTCATATGAAAATATATCATATACTTAACTTCGTTATATAAGGTATTTTCAGCTCTCGGAGAACAGTATTTCTTCTCCACTCAGTGTTTAAATTCTGATCTCAGACTCCTCTAATTACTTAAACATTATCATCTAGGTTAAGTGGTTAAGGTTGTAAAGCTAAATTAATCCTTTTTTTTTTTTGCCTTTTATGCAGAGGGAATTCTAAGTTAATTTGTTTGTGCTTTAGCACTACTACTGCCTGAGGGTACTCTGGCTTCTTCCTGCAATCCAAAGTATGACTGTTTGGTTAAATGATCTCTAAATTGCCCTTAGGTATACCATAAAGTAGGGTATGATCAAAGATGTTTTTATTATTAATAATGTAGTCATAGTTTTGCCTTAGCTTCTCTATAAACATTTATTTCAGGGAAGACATTGCACACAGACAATGTGTCTAACTTCTAAAACAATTCTGCAATTTCTGGTGGCTTTGGGGTTTTTTCAGTCTCATCTGTTGGTGACATCCTTTTAGTTCAACTTTGTTAATCAAAAATTTAGAAATAAAATCTAATGGGAAAGTGTATTAAGGTGCTTGACATAGAATATTATGACTTCTTCAAGCATTTTGCATGTTAACACTTATACGATGAACTTAAGCTTAATTGTTGTGGAGACTACAAAGACCTGTATGATATATATTTATCAACATAACATAAGCAATTTAAAATGCAGAAAAAAGCAGAGAATTTAAATCACTTGCATGATGGAGAATAGACGTGCATTGTATTCACAGAAATGAGAAACTGTGTATTTGATGTGCACAAGTGAGTCAATGATTTCAAGACTGAGCAAGTAGCTTTGAGGATTCCAACTCTGTTTTGAGAAATGCACCAAAGGGCAGTGTGCTGTGTACAAAGACCTTTTAAAGAAGGGATTGCCTTGTGTCATTATGTCTCCTAGAGAACGGGAAATGTTCGATCCACGTTCTTCAAAGACTGTCTATACGAAGTGTTTGACGACTTGGAATGCAAGATGGAGCACGCAGGGAAACACCTCCTGCGATCTGTGCTGCAGTTGATGGAGAGCGGCGCATTGGTGCTTACCACCAACTTTGACAACCTGCTGGAGATCTACGCAGCCCACCAGGACACCAAACTGGAGTCTTTAGACCTGACTGATGAGAAGAAGGTAAGCTCTGCTTTGATTGTATTGTGGCACTAATTGATCTCTCCTGTAACAATGCATGATGTCAGCTTTTTTTTATCATTAAAGAGTCCAAAGGTCATTCATGCATGTCCAACAGTAAGCAGTGAGTTGTACTTTACTACATAAGTTGCTTAGAGTTGCTTCAAAATAATGACATGTGGAAAATGCAAATTTATTTTTGCATTTTGCATTGCACGCACAGTAATACGCCTGAAATAATACGTTTCATCTAAAGCATGATGGTGAAATTTCATAGAGTGATGACTAACTTCCCATTTATGACATTGCATGTATATGAAGTTCTTTGTTGGTAGCTTTAAGAAAAACAAAGATAAGCTGTTTCTGTTTCTGACAGGTGGAAGAAAGTTAAAGTTCAAGCCACTGATGTCAGATTCTACAGATCTTATTGTGTTTACTTTTGGTTTACCACTGCGCTGAACAGGAATCAGTCTTTCACAAAGAGTTGTCCTGTCATCTGCATTGGCCTCAGCTTAGAGTTTAGTCATGCAGATATTAGATCTGAGAGTGACCTGATGCTTTCCCTCTCAGCCCTGGTATTTATGCCTTGTCTCCACTGGGGCTAATGTTCTCTCACCACTACTTGGTGATCTTACTCTCTGCCCAGCCAGAACAGGATTTTGTGCAATGGACTGTTAAGTGTACGTGTCTTGTTTGTAGGTGTTGGAGTGGGCTCAGGAGAAACGGAGGTTAAGTGTTCTGCATATTCACGGTGTTTACACTAACCCATGTGGCATTGTGCTGCACCCTGCTGGCTATCAGAACGTACTGAGGAACACAGAGGTTATGGTGAGTCCTGGACTTTCTTTTTTTTCTTTTCTTTTATACTTTGGTTTGCTTAATTAATATTCCAGCGACAGATTAAAAATGTGTTTTGTTTTTCTTTTTACAGCGTGAGATCCAGAAGCTGTATGAGACTAAGTCTTTTGTGTTTCTCGGCTGTGGACGCACGGTGGACGACACAACCTTTCAGGCTTTGTTCCTGGAGGCGGTCAAACACAAGTCAGACCTGGAACACTTTATGCTTGTGCGGCGGGAAGACGTGGGAGAGTTCAAGAAGCTGCGTGATAACATGTTGGACAAGGGCATCAAGGTAATCTCATACGGCGACGAGTACGCTGACCTGCCTGAGTACTTTGAGAGGCTGGCCAACGAGATCTGCAACCGCGACGTCTCTACCAATGGCTGGGGTAAGCTGCATGAGAGCCAGTGGACCTGGTTTTAGCTCCTTAAATCAGTTATTGTTACATTTTAATTGGGCCAGTTTGTGTGGGTGAGGAGAACTGAAAAAAGGTACATGCCATCTCTAAAGGAGAATGAAAGACTTAAGTAACAACATACTATTCTAGAGCTTGAGTTTTGCTAGTCCCTGTTTCATCACATGGTTTGGCTCAGCTCCACTTTCTCCTTCTGTAAGCAGGGAGATTTTTTTTTTTGCTAATCTTGATTACAGCTACATCTACTGTGCTGTAGATGTTCCTACTGAAAGCAAACAAATGTTACCAAAGGTAGCCTGGGTAAATGCAAAAAGCAGTTTTCAAATCATGATTTCATTCATTAAAGGAGAAATGCAATCCAAGCACAAGCAAAAACACAATTATGAAGCATATGAGATAACTGGCTTTGAGTGGAGGAAATCTGACCTTTTCTTCTTTGCAGAATTTGTCTAGATTTAAAGGTTCTTGAGGATTAATATCAGAATTCATGTTATGCCTCATCTTCTTAATTTAATTTAAGTCAAGATTTTAGCTTGCTAACACCAAATCTTTCGCTTTATTGTTTTAAGCTATTCACAAGTATCCCATCTCCTGGTACATAATCCAAGTTAACTTGATCTTAAAATCACAAACTGATAGCCAGATAGCCTTCAGGAATTTATGGTAGAAAGCAGAGATCATCCTAAATTGCAGCAAACTATCCATGCTTTGTCCATGTTTTCTTCATTTATCTCACTGTGGTGCACTTAAGTCCCAAAACCTTACAAATGGCTTTGTAAGAATTCTCAGATGGATAGATGCTAATGATTTTGATTCTCACCTGGTCATGAATGTCTTTGGATTATGTCCATAAAGACAGTTTAGCACAGAGTTTAGATTTGTACATGAATATTTATTTGTTCAACATGCAGTCATTCATAAATCTGTTGTCGTACACAAAGAGAACTTTAGGTTTGTGTTAATAATAATAAAATACCATAAAAAACATAATAAAATACCTCAAAGTAAACAGTTTTATGATTTTGACCATGACCTTCTCTACTTTAGCTTTTTAAGACCAAGTTTCTCTCCTTTTTAAGAAGTGTTTTATATAAACAAAGTCATGAGTTAAACAGGCAGGTCAGGTTGAAGCAGACCTGAGAGGATTTAAAAACCTTCATCATACTTTACTCCAAGTTATTCTCAAATTTTTCTACCTTCATGAAAAATTCAGATCTTGAAGTCGAACACAATTAGTTAGATTGCAAATATCAATGCAATATCAGTGTGAGCAACATTGCAATTACACAAACTTGCTCTGGATCTCATTACTGACTGGTTTATTTATAGCTCAATAATCTCATAAATTTACAGGGATATTGTGATGGAGGAAAAATATGTTATTTGCTACAGATATGCTGATCGTAATACTTCAAGTTGAAACTGTACATTTTTTTATGTGCTATGTTTTTCCATGTAAAGAAGATTCCAAATAAATGCTGAATATTATATGAATAAATCTTTTATTTTGATCCACAGGATCACCTTCACAAAACGCAGAGGAACAGCAGAATGGCTTCAGCACACAGAAAAGCCTCCTACAGGGCTAAGAGCAGATGCAACTCCTTGATTCAGAGAAGATGCCACTTTAAATAGACATTTTCAGAATAACACAACTTAAACTTGGCCCAAAACTCATTTCCTTAATGCATGAAAATGAGTTTTCCAGAACGTGATTTTCTTAATTTTTCAAATTCTTTGTAAGACTTTTGAAATGTCTTTCTTTTACAGCTTGTGGTGGATCCAGTTCACTAAGTGCTATCCAGTCTAATATTTTATTAGATGATGGGTGAGCTAAAAGCTGTCAGTATTTTCCCCCAATGCTCATTTTATTTCATTTTTAAATGAGTTGAGATAAATCTGTCAATGCCAAAACCATAAACCTCAAACCCCAATTTCCCAACATTTAAATGCTGTAGAAATCCTGGTGTTTCTACAGCTTCATGAAAACTGAAAACCTAAATGCTGATGCATTTAGCATGCAACTATACTCAGATGACAGATTGCTATGTTCTCCCCTCAGATTTGGCAAAACTCATAGCTCTGCAAATTAAATATGCATTAAAAAATGCATCACCTTGAAGTACCTTACTGGTATTTGCTTCAAGGCACAACATGCGCTCCTAACTGAAAACAAGCCTTGCGTTGATGGATTGAATCTGTCACGCTGAACCAAGTTACCAGAATAATTAAGGAAAGGGACGGAGAATATAACTTCTCCAGAAATATGACAAGTAAATGAGACTGTGTTACATAAAAAGGTCAGGCCCCTTTGCTTAAAACAAGTGTTCTTTGTCAGCTTTATATATTTTTTAAAACCTGCATGTGTTTCTGGTGTAGTATTTATAAGAACTATTTTAAAAATAAAGCTTTTGGTATTCCACTCTTTTCATTTGTGACACTGAGGATCATTGCATGGCTCTTACTTTCATTTTGTAAAAGTAACGAGAAAGTTTCATTCTCCAGACCAACTAAGCATATAGCAGCTTTATTAAAAAATGTTTACAATCATAAATTAGTTCAAAATGCCAGTATGACCCTTGATTTTCTCGTATTGCACTACCACACCTTAAAAGGATGGTCTAAAGATCTTTAAAACTTAGATTTACTCTGAATATGTAAGGGAAAATAAAATAAAGGGGTACCATAACTTTGATAGAAAACAGCTTAGTCTCAAATCTTTAAGACTGACAGACAAAAACAAATTCATCGCGTCATATTACCACAAACGTCAGTGTATTTTATCAGATTTTTATGTGAAGTTGCAGTCAGTGTGTAAGTTTTAGGAAAATGGTGGGGGAATGTAGAAACATGTTCTTGGTGCTCTTCTCAGATGAAACCTTTATACAAAAACCTGTTTGTATAAAGACAAACAGGTATATAAACAACACTGTACAACATGCTGAACACACCATCTTCACAGTAAAACATAGTGATGGCAGCATCATGCTGTGCAGAAGCTTTACTTCAGCAGGGACAGGGAGACCTGATGTACGTTAAAATGATACCAAATGTATCTAATCTTGAATCTTTTTTCAGATCGAAGCTCTGGAAAAAGCTTAACTCTGTAAATATTGTAAGGCTAGTTTTACTTCTTCAGTGCAGATTTCTCAATTTTTATAATAATTTTGAAGACCTATGTAATTTTTCATTTACTTCATAATCCTGAATTCCTCCATCACATAAAATCTGGGTAAAATATATTGAGGTTTGTGGTTTTAAGGTGTGACAATGTGAAAAAGTTAAATGACTATAAATACTCTTCCTGTACAAAGTAAATTGTCAGTTTGGGGGATGTAAAAATCTCTAAAAGATGGTTTTAATTACAAAACGTCCAAATGAAAAAAAGACAGCACAGTTGTTAATTTATGATTTAGATGTACTGTTCTGATTTATACAGAATCACAATTAAGACTTTGCCATCCTTAGTTTATTTAGCTTCTTTTAAGCAGTTTAGTTTACCTGTTAACCTGCATAAATACTGATTTTAACTCAGGCTGGTAGGTAATAATCCTTGTAATGTATTAATCAAGATATCCAAAGAGAGAGGCACTACGGTTGCTGAGCTTTCCTTGGGAACAGGAAAACCAATTTCCATAAAGTGGAGATAACTGAGGGACAAAATACACAAGTTCTGCTGTGTGAACCAGCAAACTGGGGATCCAACCAAGGTCCAGTTAAAATGCCATGTTAGTTGATCTGAAATAGACTATTTTGGCCCCAAAAAAAAAAATTATCCAAAAGGAAGGTTTCACTGCATTAAAATGGAAAACTTTCTCTTGAAGTGCACCATCTGTCCGTCGCTCGAGTTTATTTAATGCAAGGTTGGGTGGGCGAGACACGAGCATGAAAGGGTGGGTTTGAACATCTCATGGCAGTGTCGCAAATGGTACCGCCGACTTCTTCTGAAAACCGATAAATATTCAGCAGAGTGTGCAGCCGCTTGTTAAGCCTTCATTAGGGCGCCGACGACAGCGCGGGCGTTGAGGCTGCGCAGGTCATTGTAGGTCTGCCCCGTGCCCACGAAAACGATCGGCTGGCCTGTGATGTAAGTCATGGAGATGGCTGCACCAACCTGTGAGGGAGGAAAGAGACTCATGAGAGGCTATTGGTTTCCCAAATGCAAATTATTTACAAGACCAGAATCAACTGGAAGACTTGCTCAAGTGCAGTACAAGCAAGTGTGAAATAAAGAATAAACAAAAAGGATCGATACCTTGTCATCAATCGTGTCAAACTTTGTGAGAACAATTCCATCAATGAGGCGAGGCTTGTCAGACATGGAGTGGTCCGCCAGAGCCTGATTAAATTTCACCTGAGGACACAAACAGGAGAACACTGAAATATTCAGCTGAAATCTGAGGCCGACAGGTGGAGAGGGGAAGAAATGCATAAAATCATCTTTTCAACCATAGAGTAAAAAAAGTGTGGAGGACTGCATCAACAAAAAACTAGTTTTCACGAAGCAACAGGTAAGTAGAGCAACGCTGACCTCTGGTGGCCAGATTAAACATCAGACATTTAATCAAAACCAAGGATTAGTGGAAGATGCACATAAACATCTCTGAATAATCTCACTGAATTTTTAATATCACTTAATAATAATGAGTCATCTCATATTAAATTATCTAAACCTAACTAAAAATATAGAGGCCAAACTTCATAATTTAATCAGGGGTCTTACCAGCTGGTCAACCGCTTCATTGCCCACCAGAGCCTCTCCAACAAACAGAACTAAGTCAGGCATGTTGACAGCAATAAGTTTGGCCAGAGCTGTCATTAGAGGGGCGTTGTCCTGCATTCGCCCAGCAGTGTCCACCAGCACCACATCAAATGCCTGGTTCCGAGCTTGGGAGGGATGGGGAGAAGACAAACATCAATAGTTAGGTTGTAATCATAACCAATACACAACCTTGTAAAACTATTTATGCCCCTTACACCTTTCCGCGTTTACTAAAAAGGCAAACATTAATGCATTTTATTGGGATTTTACACAACAGACCCAGAACACGAAGCAGCACAAATTGTGAAGGAATCTCTCCCAGCTTTGAAGAGCAAAAAATGTTTTTTTTTTGTTTTTCTTGTAAAATGGCTCAAGCTCCATCTGTTTGCGTTTTGGAGGTTTTGTCTTTATTCTGCTGCTTCTGCCTATTTCTTACATTTCTGAAAGTCTTCTGCAGTTGACTTCAAATCCTTCTGCAATTTTCACTAAAAATATTCAACTTACAGTCCATAGCTTTCTCACAGGAACAGCAAATTTTTCTTCTTTTACTTTAACTTAATTATGCACTTCATCTGTGCAGGTCTGTCACAGAAAATCTCCAACACACTGAGGTATCTTATTACAACCAGACAAACTGGGAAAAAAAGTTTGCACAGCATTGTAAATGGCCCAAAATTTCTGCTACCGTAGGCAATGGCTTCCATTGCAATTCCAGCTGCGTCTTTCCCATAGCCCTTCTCATAGAGCTGGACGACCGGGCGACCCCCGTGCTTCTCTGGGGGGTGAAGAGAGTTCAGGCGGCGCTGATGGGTACGAAGCTGCTCCACTGCGCCCGCACGAAATGTGTCACAAGCTGCGATCAGCACACTGAAACCATTCTCAATCAGCCAGTAGGAGATCTGGACCAAAACAGGGAAAATGGAACAGAATATATGAGGAAAAACTGAATGTTGTCCAAATAGTAGGAGGAGGAATATGGGAACAACAGAAAGAACTGAAATAAATATTGTTTCTCTGTGCCACCACTCCACCCATAAATTTAATACTGTAAAACAACTTTATTCTGCACTAATCTTTGCCACATTTAACAAAAGTTTTGAAGTGCTGCCATACATATCATCAAGCACCAATCGCAACCACAGACCATCAAACTCACCTTTGCTAGGTTGGTGGACTTGCCAACCCCGTTGACGCCACAGAACGTGATGACAAACGGCCTGCGCTGGCTCTGAGCCTCCATGACGTCTCTCAGGATGTCCACTCTGCGCTTGGGCTGCAGGATCTGCACCAGGGAGTCCTGCAGGGCCTGCTTCACCGTCGAAGCCACAGCTATGAACACACACAAGCTTCTGTTGGAAACAGATTCTTTGGCGCCATTTACAGAGAAACTATTTCAAATCTAGTAGTCAGAATAACAGCAGATACACAGAAATGTATATTGATGAATAGCAATGCATTTACAAAACCATGAGGATGTAATATCTCTGCGAAGACAATGTTAGAATTAATAGCATAAAATTATTAACACTATGAGTCAAACACATTTTCAATGTCCCTCATTTTTCTGGGTAGTAAAATTCTGAGCATAATGCAATAATACAAACTGCTTCTTTGGTTTTGGTTTCATCTTATTATATTAAACTTCAATCTCAACTTCATAGATAAAGATCCACCAACAAGTCAGACTTTGGAAAATGTATCTAAATAAGCCATAAACACTAAAATAGATTTCTGTTTACATATCTAGTCCCCATAATACATCATTCAGGTGCCTTTGCCAAAACCCCAAAGACTGTTTCTGTTGTAATTCAGTTCACTTCAATTAAAAGATCTTTACTCATCCCAAAAGGAGAAAAAATCTCTAGTAGCAGTCGGTGTTCCAAAGAATCTTAAGAACGCTCTGACTGTTGCTGTATAGCAGTCTAATGATTGTCTTGATATTCCAACAGCTTAATATCTTGGCAGCAGAGACGATATTTCACATTTCTCCAGGATGACACTCAGCATTGTTGACTAACACTGCTAATCCACCATGTTTGCTTGCTTTTGCCGCTCCTCTTTAAAACTTTGTGTGGCTATGGCCTGAGCAAGATGTTAAGAGTCATGATCATCGGTCATTATGAGCATGGATGGAAGAGAGGATTTGAACTTCCTCCGTATTGCTCTGCTCTTTGGTTTTGCTATAAACCCATGAAGCCTCTTCAATGCATCTGGAATTCAGGGTTATAGTTCAGGTATTATTTGAGTTACTGAGATGCTAACTAATCAGCTACTCCCAATTATAATCAACAACAAAAAACACTTTGTTACCATGGTTAGGCGTAATGAAAATTGTCAGAAAATAAAAAAAAGTAAGACCAAAAATCTTCCAGCTGCACAGCATCCAAAGCCAAATGGAATAATTGTTCAAAAACACAATGCCTCAACTGAAAAAATGAGCAAAAGTATGCCAAGAAGAGCAAAAGTCTACAAAATAAGAAAAGCAAATTAAAACTGACAACAGAGCTGCACCAACATGCTGACACTATGAGCAACCCAGTTCTTACATACTATAGGATTACCTAAATCTGCACAGATTTATGTAATGAACTTCAGCTTATGGGTCCAGACTGAAGATCAAACTTTACCCAGACTGGTTGATTATGACCTGCACAAACTTTTTGTTGCCAAATCCTAAGCTACCTATGTGCTACTTTTATTCAGGTCTACAAAAATAAATCCAAATGCAAAACAGAGTAGAAGATTTTTTTTTGAAGAAGAAGAAGACAAATGCACTGTTCCCAGGAGATGTCCAGCTCTCAGAAAACACAGCAACCAGATCTAATTTTTTAATAAAAAAGTTGCATCACCAGGGGATCAGGACTGGGTGTGGGTGTGGTGAAAGGACTTACTGGTGAATGTGCCCATGACTTTGCCCTCCAGTTTCTTGGCCACAGACTCACACAGCTGGGAAGAAATATCAGCTGCAACGTTCTTTGCTGGAGAATCAAAGCAAACACATGAATGGTTAACTGAAACATCAAATCATTTAGTGTAATTCCAAAAAACAGAAAGGGGCATTCAGTCCTACCAATGAGGTGGTCCTTCATTTTCTCCAGCACTGGCTCCATGTCCTCTCTAGATAGACTCTTGGAACCCACAAGACCCTTCAGCATCCCAAACATCCCCCCAAAACCGCCACTCTTTTTGGGACTTCGTGGTGAAAACAAACAAAGGAAAATTATTAATACCTGTGAGATTGATATTTGACATGAAAAGTTAAAACATAGAATCAGAATCATCTTTATTGGCCAAGAGTATGTGCACAAACGAAACCTTGTCTTGCTTGTTTGAGTGATAACCACTTCCTCTTCTTCCTCTTCTATCTCTCCCTCCTCACTGGACTCGTAGTCCACAGCAAGCAGGTCGCCTTTCATGGAGCTGACCTGCATTTCCTGAAAGACATCCCAGATCTTAGATTGTGTGAGCATTACTGTGTGAGTAATGCTGCAGACAATGCTGCACCAAGAAAACCTCTAATGGTTCAGACCAAGGTGAACTTACTGGGTCAAATTGTGCTTCCAGGTTCTTTTGGTCTTCTCTGGGAGAAGTCTCTCCATTCTTGTTGCTGTAGTCCAGGTTCTTGGTGCTGCTGCCTGCGTTGTCCCAAACACGGTTCACTTTCTCCTTTGGTTTTTGGGGCTTTGGGGACTTGCTGTGAGTAGCGAATATCATCATTTTGAAAAGAGTACAATTAAAATACAAACAACCACTCTGCCTCTTGCATTACGCAGTTTGGAGCAGATGAAGTGGAAATTAAAAAGATCAGCTTCTCACCTCGGTTTTTCAGCAGGTCCCATCATACGCTTGCGGAAGAAATCCTCCCTCTTCTTTTGTATGATCTCCTCAGGAGTTAAGCCTTGGTTACCATTCATAACATCCTTCTGACCAGAAGGTGGGGTCTTACCTTGATCCCCTTTGGGAGGCTCAACTGCAGGAGCTTGAGAAATAAAATTCAATTACGCTCTGAAACATTCAGATTACGCAAAATGAGCCATTCCAGAATGTCACTTACCCTCCTTTTTGGTATTTTTATTCTTTTTGCCTCCTTGCTCCTTCGACTTATCTCCACCTTTTGTCTCAATCATTGACTTCACAGTTTTTTGGGATTTCTCAGATTCCTTAAAGGACCGCATGGGGGCGGGGCTTCGAGCTTTACTGGTTTCCTCCGCCTCTCTTTAGTTAAAACAGGGAGTTGAAATGAGAATGTACAAGGACAAAGCAAAGGTTTTGTCATGTAGATTATTACCTATTGGACCCAAGCTACAAAGAGAACCTTCATGTCACAACACATCAGCCCATTTCAGAAACATCAGTGAAAAATAAGAGCCAAAAACACTGGAAACTGCTCCATTTCTTTGAGTTAACTTCCAGTAAAGGAATCTTATGAAATTGGGATACAATTAATTTAATTTCCCATAATTACTGTGGTAGGAGCCATTTCTTTGCTTCTTAATGAAATATATTTGTCCTGTTTGATGTTTGTTGTGAAAGGAACAACTTAATGAGTCCAAGTTTGTCGTGTATTGAACGTTCAGAAACTACAGTGGCTGTGATGTGGCACAGCAAAGGTAAGCAAAGGTAAAATAACCCGAACGGGCGATCAACTCAGAACTACTCTCTCTCTCTTTCTCTCTCTCTCTCTCTATCGTTTAAGCATACCAGTTGCTGTGGCAACCACCGCAAGTCGAGCAGAGATTACGTTATGTTTTTAACTCAGGCTTTGTATTTATTTCTCAATTATTAATAAGCCTCTCATGAACACAGTGGTGTTTGAGTAGCTAACTTAAACTCCTGCTCTGCTAGTCAGAGTCGGTCTTTGAGTCGCCTTTTTTTTGTTTTTGTTGATGCAACCGAAACTCACTGAATTGCGCAACACCGTGTTGAAACAATAATTACTGAGATTTTTAATTTTAACATGCTTCGTTGATTAAAAAAAAACAATTATTCTTTAATTAAGCTACAAACATTTAGGATCTTAGTGAGTATTTTTGATAAGCCTGTCGGAAGAGGAAGTGCTGGTTTCAGCGTCCTGGCGGCCTTCAGTTTGTCACCTGCTGCCGCGATCAACTCAAAACCTTCCCGGGATCTACAGCATAACATATTGCACTAGGTTGTGATGGTCTTTCACATAAAATAAAAATAAGGTTGAAAAGGCACTGTATTAATATCAGGTGTAAAATAACATAACACGATGAATAAACTGACATTAGTGCCACAAATATAAAACAAAGGACAGATGAACATCCTCCCAAATATATGAATTGCTTCAAAGTGGTGACGTTTACTTCCTTACCTTAGAAGTTTCTTGAATCTGTCCTCAAAGTCAAAGGTGTTGTTGAGAAGCTTCAGAGCTCCCTTTTGTTCCAATTCATTCTTATAACGATCCCTGAAGTGAAGCTGGACATCATCTATAAACTTGTCCACATAAGTCAGTGTCAGGATCTTTTGAAAACCCACCTGGTTTGAAGAAGACAAAGGTTGAAGCAAATTTAATCACAATTTCTATTGCAGTAAAAAGCACTAGGCACAGTTTAGGCTTCTTTAAATTGTGCCTCTGTTGTGCTTCATATTACTCTTACTGTTGTCTGTGTGATCCTTACCACAAATATCAATTCAAACTCATTGTCCAGTTTGTATTTTAGACTCAAAGCTTCGTGAGTGAAGGAGTTGTTCCCACCACGCTCCTGTTAAAACAACAAAACCCATGTTGACATGTAATCATGAGCTCTGGATTTTAAGAGATATGATGGGTCAGCAAGGTTTCCAGAAAGAAATGTGAATGTGTTGTACCAGAAAATGTGACAATTCTTGATATCAAAAGCAAACTAGTGCACTTCTGCAAAGAAAACTACGTTTGTTTTTACTCCAACCGTGCTAACAACTAGCAGTTGCTAACCGCTAGCTCTAGCTTAGCATTAGCTGCCGATTGCAGACTGTCATAAAAAAAAAAAAAGACAACAAACACATGTCTGCTCTCTCTGTTTGTACCCTCACCTGAAGGATCACTGAGCGGATCAGAGCATTGACTGGCCCCGTGAAAGACTCGCTAACCCCGGCTCCCTGAAAACACCACAGCACTATCCCCCCTTTGCTGAAGATGGTGAAGAAATCCAACATCTTGTCACCACGTATCTGGATTTGGTCAAGCACACAGACATACAATGTATTAAAAGCACAAAGGAAATACTGCAACAAAAGATTAGCCTGGTTAGCCTACAGTAAAAACGATCAAATCTTAGCTTACAGTTTACCGTCCGATCAATATCCCACGCGTTAAAAACCCCGATACCGGTGGAAAACTGTTTCAGACACGTCAGATGATCACGGGGGAAGTGACGTCCAGTTCCGGTGTTGCGTCACCAGAACTAGACGTCACTCTCACTTTAATAGGAACTGTCAATCAAATCTGGCACAACTGTTGTGTTTTGGTAAACTATCAAGACCCATTTTGTGTCGCAGACTAAATTATTTCAGTATGTTAATTGTTGTAATTCTATGTAAAAAGTTAAATGTCTAGATATACTTGGTTAAAATGCAACTATTTTAACAGTCACAACAAAAGTTGTTGTAATATGGTTAATTTTAATAATTATAATCATTCTGTTTTATATTGGGCCTAATCTAGAATTTTTATGGACAATTTATATTTTAACAATATAAATTAATTTACCACAGTATTTGAAAATGTCAATCCAGTAAATATACATTTGAAATTAAAGTAAATATATTTACAAACTGAGTTATTTCTTTAAAATTGAAATTACTGTTATTGTATACTGTTTGTTACTTAATGAAAACTTTTATTTATTTAAGTTTTTTTTTTTTTGCAATGCAACATGATCTACAAAGAAATTATGAAAAAAAATCAAACATCTATTTTGTGATTCATTTCAATTCACAGACCAAGCTTCCTGTTAATGTGATTTGCATTTAAAGTTAAAAACTTCAGTTTCCTTTCGCCTCCTGTGAATGTGTCTGGAAGGCCAAGTAGCATTTAAAAGAGAAAGTCTTTCAGAAGCTTCCTTTTTATTGCTGTTTTTTTTTTTTTTTTTGCTCAGTTTTACTTTGGTTAGCTGATGAACAATTTTCAAACCACCACATGTATAGAATTTAATATATTTTTACTTTCCTGACTCTTTACTTGGCCTACTTAAGGGTTAACTGCAACGTTAACTAAGCGTAAAACTAGAACTGACTTTGCATTAGAAAATTTGCCTCACATGTCTGGGCGTCTCTTTCAGCAAATTGTAACTTCCTCTTTTTTAGCGTGGTATTAACTGTCTGTCTGTTTGCTGAGATATGGTTTCTCTGAGTAACGTGTGAGTCAAATTAAGGTTTTGTGAAGTTGGATCAGTTATTTATTTGCTGGAAAGATTTTGGAGAGCTAAACAGACATGATGGTATTAACAACATGCATGGTAAGTTAAAGTATTTCATGTTTCTCATGCAAAGCTTACTTTATGTCTTTGATTATTTCTTTCCTTATGAAAGAAATAATCATAATCCTTTTAACAACCATGCAGTTGTTAAAATGTTGACAACTGCATGGGTTTGGCAAGTTGTTTTTGATGAAAGAAAAATTAAAACGAAAATAAGAAGGTTTTGTTTGGATGATATGTGTTACATGGCGTAGATTGTAATTCCCAACTTCTCCTTTAGCAAGACAGTGAAAGATTTATAAGAACAAGTATGGATTCAGTTGAGAAAACTGAAATTGTACTGGACTTCACAGAGAGGGCTCTCGAGTCATCTGAATGTCCCTGAGTATATGTTGCACCATACTATTGACATTATATTAAGTCAATGGTGAGTTTTATGTGCTCAAAAGGTAGTCTGGACATGTCATTTAGAAGAACAGATGTATCCTGGCATTCAATCTAATTTTCTTTTAAAGAGCATTCACAGTAGGTTTTAAAAGCTTACACACCCCTGATAAGACGCGACATCTCACAAAAGTGATTACTTGCCTCACACTTGTTTAATGTCTTTTTTAAATATATTTTTTCATGGGACAGCTCTGAAAATTTGACACTTAAGTACAATGTAAATTGTATGAAAGTCAGTAGACAGCTTGTATAACCATATAAATTTGATGTTCCCTCAAAATAATTTAGAACACAGCCATTAAAGTCCAAACTCCTGGCAACAAAAAGTGAGCACACCTGCTAGTGAAAATGTCCAGATTGTGCCCAAATAGCAATTTCCCTTCGCAGGTGCCATACTGTATATCTTGTTAGTGTGACATGGTCACAAGTGTGAATGAGCAGCAGGTGAGTTAAAATTGGTATTACTGCTTGATTCTTTCTCATGCTGGTCACTTGACTTTTAATATGGCACCACATGGCAAACAGTTCGGTGAGTATCTGAAACAGAAATCATTTTTGCCATATCTAAAGATGGCCTGAGTTAAAAGAAGATTGCCATATTTCTGAAAATGAGCAGCAGCACATTTGGCTAAGACCAGTCGCCCTCAGAACAGGCCATGTCATGGTTGAACGAAGAAGTTGAGTGCACATGCTCAGCCTTTAACCAAAGTTGTCTTTTGAAAGTAGACGTACAGTTGAGACCTGAAGTTAATAAGTGAATATAAAGACACATACATGTGTGACTATCTGAAGTTAATCACGCTAAACTTTTATTTTATGTGTTAGAATTACCATCATTCTTCACTAACTAATATTGACGTTGAGGAAATATTAATATTATTTAGTTAAGTGTATTATTATTTAATGTCTGAAAAAACTAAATGTTTACATAATAATCCATTTTAAAGCACACAAACTGTTTGCATAAGGTAACATTGATTTTTCAAACCCTGTCTTGTGGTCTGGTGAGATCAAGATAAACTTAGTGTGTCAAGGGCAACTAGGTGAGGAGCGTGTCATAAGCAATTTAGCGTGATGGTCTGAATGTCAATGTTTTGAGGCTACATGAGCTGTAGGGGCTGTAGGGAGCTTCATTAAGGATACCACATTGAAGCAAAGTATGGTCCCTTCCTTTGGGAAACCTCTCCTGAAGTGACCATTGCCTTGCTAAAGACAGGAAAGGAGGTCTGGCCAAGAACATCCCCAAAGCTAAATCCTATTAAGTATCTACAGAACAGAGTACAAAGTTTCTGACATCCACCAGCTTTGTACTGTCACCACAGAGGAATAAACAAGAAGTCAGAAACTCTGAATCTATAGAGCTTATGACTCTACAAATTCATAAATTTTAATAATGATCAAATAAAGTGATTAGATCATTTCCCTGACTTGATGAAACCACTTCAAAAGATGAACTACTGTGCTTTCATTCCATGTGCACAAATGCTTTTAATGAAAAACAGTTTCCTGTAAAAGAGTTGAGTGATTTGTCTGCAGTTTTGGAGGAAGAAGTAATGATGAAGCTGGTTCTACAAAAGGATTGCAACCCTTTTTTGTAAGCATTATAGCTCAGGAAGCAAAGATGACCCCAATGTTTCAGAGAAAAAAGGGTCTATCAGTGAAGGGTTGGAGCTGCACATCTGTCACCTCCAAACCACTGAATGGATTTGGAGGCATCAGTCCACTTGGTGAACAGATGTTACATTGATGTTGATGGTGCTTATAATCTCCCTACTGTACAAGATAATACCATAGAAATATTATACAGTTATCAGAAGTGGAAAAATCAAACTCAAGACCTGGAAATAGGAAGAATAGGAAGGCTGCGATAAATGAATGCCATAATCAGAATATTAATTTGTTGGAACGTACACAGGTCTTCAACCAGTAACTGTAAAGTGACTAGATTATTCAAATTAATTCACAATTAAAGATGAATAACTTTTATACTCATGGATATTCATATTCCGTCAGTGATTTGGAGGCGACAGATGTGCAGTTCCAACATTTTACTGTGAAACTGCACAGTAAAGTGTAATTTAATGTGAATTATATGGCTCAAAAAAATTCTTGACTAGGACCAGCTACATTTGGCCATCCTGGCCATGCAAGAAAAAACAAACAAACAAACAAATATTTTTTAAAATATTTTTGACTCAAGTGGTAGGCTATACGTACTTTAGTTCATAAATATTTAGACATTAATGGCTGTATCTTGAATATTATTTTTATTATTATTATTATTATTATTAATATATATATATATATATATATATATATATATATATATATATATATATATATATAATATATATATATATATATATATATATTATATATATAATATATATATATATATATATGAAATCAGTATATGGGTATATGCACTTGTGCAACTTTTTTTTTCGCTTCTTTTTTTTGATTCACTGGTAAAATGTATTTTCCCTTCAGGATTAACATACGTGAATATAAATGACCAAGTTCTAAATGTGTTTTTTATGCTTTTTTTTCAGGGTGGTTCCAAAAACTTTTTAAATCTGGAACACAAAACAAGAACAGCAAAACAGACGAAAAACCAGCAGAGGGTGCTAGTGTCAAATCTAAATCATCTTCATCAGAAGGAACATCTGTTGCAAAACCACAGCAGTTAAAGACTTCTCTGAGTTCAGAGCTGAGATGGAGACGGAAATATGATGTGTTTGTGTGCCACAGCTTTGCCCAGAAAGACACTGAGGAGGCTGAACGCCTGGTTTTGTTCCTTGAGACTCCACCCCGCAGCCTCAGGTGCTTCCTATGGCACAGGGACTCATGTCCAGGAGGTGCTATATCCACAGAGTTTTGCAAGGCCCTGGAAAACAGTCACATTCAGGCTCTGCTCATCACTCCCAGCTTTGTGCAGGATGATTGGTGCAGTTACATGATGCACCAGACCCTGGCAGAGAGACCCATGTCCAATACTATGATACCCCTTCTTCTTGACTTGGCCCACTCTCAGTACCCGCAGGAACTGAGGTTCTACTACTACATTGATCTGAGCAAGAATCCTGACAATGGCTTCAATGTCGTCAATAAGACTGTACAAAGTTGTAAGTACACAAATTAAGATATTTGGCAGTCAATATGCCCCGCAGCAAGGCCTTTTTACTTTGAATATCAAAATTGAAATGCCCTTGATAAGTAACCATCACACAAAAGGGAGTTTTATCAGAGGACATTAGTGAAAACAAACGTTTTATGGCATATGATGTGTTACAATAAACATTGAGTCCTCTTGGATTTGAATTACATTCACCCAATTGTTGCTTGTCAGAAAAGTAAGGAACATAGATTGTACAAGCATTATATTACATGCTTTGGGAGAAGAGATCTTTGTCTGATAGCCTTTTTTTTTCTCTTAGATTTGAAAAGGTTGATTCAAAGTGAAGAGGAACTGAACCACAGCTTGGGTGACTCAAGCTGTGCATCAGATAGAAGAGACAACACGCAAGAAAGCAACTTGATGTCAGTGCAAAAGCCGGCATCGCGTGGTGTAGATCTCGAGACTTCTACGCCACAAGAACGGATACAGCAGAGAGACAAAAGCATCAGAGACATTTGCTGTGACCAAGACTAAAATATATATACATGTGGTGCACTAAACACACTGCTGCTGATGACTAAACCCACATTACGGATAGTTTTGGTCACTTCCTGCAGTGTTTCGAAAAGCTGTTTCACTCTAGGGACTTCTTTAGTCATACTGGGTGGAGTGTTCAAGATGTTTTCACACTTCAGCAGAAATTCATCTTTACAGGGCAAAGAAGTATTACTTCTTTTCTTTGTCAGATCTAAAAAATGTTGTTTTGAACATGAAGCACCCACCAATAACTAATTCCTTTAAAAATATAATCCACTTTTATGCTTGGCCTGAAGTTAGAGAAAAGGTGATGTATAGAAATATATTTAAAAAAATAGGTGCTCAGACTCATCTCACCAAACTATATATCAGATTTTTTTGTTTAATGTGGGCTTGATTTTTTTTTAGAAATTAATGTTGAATATTTTTTTCTGTTTAAATGATTAGAGACTTGCTTCTAGTGTAACTATATTTTCACTACTTTTTGTGGTGATACACCCAAAAGCCAACAGGAAGCTCCAAGAAGCAGAAGAAGTAAGGTTATGTGAAGTTAGTCTGTAACAAACAACAAAAGAGAAGAAGACGAAAGGAAACTAGGATCAGTGGCTTTATAGCGAAACAAAAGAAGCTTTAAAGGAAACACAGCAATAACCACATAGTTGGAATCAAAATTATTCACACATACTGCAAATTATAATAGGTTTATTGGTATAACATACATTCAAAAACACAAATATCTTAAGACAAACTAATATTTCATTTGTTTTCTTTATTTAATACTATAGCAATTCATAATACAGTACTTGAATTCTTTGGGGAGTAGTAGTATGCATCCTAAAGTTCAGGCATTCAACCTTTCACCTTTTCATATGTGTAGAACTATGCTGATTAAAATCCCTGTGGTTGTTGCTGTCAAGTCTTGCTGCAGCTCTCTTAAAGTAAGTTAAGAATTTTTGACCAGTTGTCTCCTCAGAAATCAAGGAAAACCCTTGATATAATTGCCCTTGACCTCAAATTTATAAACTAGTTATATGTTTGGGAACATTACAACCTTTTCTGAATTTTAGTTTCACTCATGTTATTTATTTGCCAATTCTTTTGACTTGTCCATATTTCTAACACAAATGAAGTCTACAATTGGGTAATTGATTAATGAATGTATGCTCTTGTACAATTAGGGGGCTTGAAAATTGTAAACTCATTGAAAAAAGGGTTTAGTGCTAAATTTGGATAGAATTTTAAGAATATTAATGGTTTTCAACAAACTGTTCTTGTGATTTTTTTTTTTAATTAAAAAACCACTTTTGAACCATCAATAAACCTGACCTGCATAAACCTGTGTTCTGTTAATTACTGTGTTCTGTAAATACCAGGACACAAACCCAAAGTCAGTAGGCTCATGCAGTCATCGAAATGATTGAACACCTGCTGACAATGACTAATAATTTTGCTTAAGTCCAACATTATAAAAAATAGAGCCTGTTTCAACTTTTCAAGTCAAATAGTCCAAAGATCATTAAGGTTCACCAAATATTCTTGACAACGCCCTCTTTTCTTGTCAGACTAGATACTGTTATGGGAAGTAGTAAATGGTCTCTACTTGTAAAGCACTTTATCAAGTCCAGAGGACCCCAAAGAGTTTTACACTACATTCAGTTATTTAGCCATTCATGCATACATTGGTGGTGAGCACCATTACTGATAGAAGTGACTGCTGATAGAAGCGACTGTTAACATTTGCTTATTTAAATATACAATATCAAGTAGCCTTATCATTCAATCTAACAGATTATTAGGGAAGTGTTGTTTATAATGTGGACAGAGCGTTCTATATTTCCCCACATGGCTTGTGCCGCTTCCATGTCCTGGATTTTATTGATGCTGTCTAATCCTATCCACTTGCCAACCCCCCTGAACAACTGCAGAAGTTTAGATTCACAACAAAAAGCCTCTCTATAATCACCTATTTTGTGGTGAGCCAGCGTTTAATGGTGAAAATGTAAGTAATCTCCAAAAGGCACAGATGCGCTCAAGGGCTTTTAGAAATCCAATGACACACACGTACAACACACACACACCCACGCCTACCCACACACACACACACCCATCCATGCACACACACGCACAGAGTGAAGTTGACTGGTCATAAAATAGGAATACAACTTTGACATTTCAAAGGAAAAACTTCTAAAAGTAACTTTGAGGCTATCTTTCCACCACTCACAGTCATATCAAGCACTTTACTTGGATAAAAATATACAATCTTTAATTCACCTGAATAAAATTTATATTTAGACAAAAAAAAAGAAACCACTGAGAATCATTTTATGAAACCTGTCAATTTTCCCTTTTTTCTTTATAACTTTTTTATCCTCAAAACATCCCTTTAACTTAAACTTATAATGTTAAAAGCTTACACAGATATGATATCATTAGAAATGTTACTGAATATGATAAAAGCCTTTCAACCTCTAAACAGCATGGATTTATTATCTCATAACATCGAACACTACGATGTAAGATCTTCCATTTGTGGCACATTCTCGGTCTCATTTGATTTGATTTTAAGCTTTCGGTTGGTATTATTGTTAGATTAAGCATTTAGGGTTTGGCTAAAAATAAAGGGCATGACATCATCCCTTCCCAGTGCATGGCATGGTGTGACATGCTGTAAGCACAAAATGTGACGTTATTACATGCAACCTAACTTGATGTTTTTAATATTCCAACTCAGACCAACAAAGCAGCTTTGTGGAACAAGACTCTACATGTAAATAAGGTTTTTGAACTCTCCTTACAATTTACTTCTTACCTTTGCAGGTTTTGCTCTGATTGTTATAAAATCTACACAAAGGTCAGTAATATCAAGTAATTTCTAATGAGGAAATATTGTGTCAAAACGTGGGATGGTTGTACATTCTTTTAGTTGAATGAATGTACCTTCTTTATTGTATCAACTCTGCTTTTGTTTTGTTATGATTCAGGATTTTTTGTGCTTGTTTTATTTTGTCTTACACAAATAACCTCTTTCATGGTAAAGTATCTTGTGACTTATCTGTTAAAGACATTCCATCAGTGAAACTTTTCTTGCTTTACATCTCAGAGTGCACAAACTGCAGAAGTTTTAGACAAGCTAATGACTGACATCGTAACCTCTTTGTGTATTTTAGGTCTTTACCCTCTGTGTTCTTCCAGTCATAGTTCTCTTCAAGGGATCTTCTGTTTGGATTAAAATGTATTAGAAAGGTTAACTGTTATCCTGAACTTGTCATAAAATGCCAAATAATATGTTTCTGCCAGAATTTTATCTCAAAATTGGCTGAAATGTTAAAGGTTTTTGTTGTGAAAAGCTGTTGTTTCTCTTTAAGGAACAGTTTCAACTGTACTGAGGTAGACTGAAACATGCAACATTAACAGAACTTTCAAACACTTTCGCTGTTGAAATATTAATGAAAATTTGACAACATTCAGATTGGGAAAGTCCCTATCATCTTGTGTAACTATATGAGAAATTTTACTGTGAGAAAGACAGGAAGCAGGTGCACACACCAAATCAGTGAGGCCATAGATAATGAGGGAGAGTTTCAGTTGGTGATTCACATAAATTTGCACATTCAGCAAGTTCAGATGTAGGTAAAAAATGCCATAGGGTTGATTCAAAAGCAGGTTAGATAATTCACTGAATCAGTGAATTGTCAGATGCATTATCGATCATCATCTGAGATTTGTTTATGGTTTTATGTTTTAATTATTTTGGGTTGTAATTATTATTAAGTTTTGTCACGTTGTTAGAAAGATTATTTGCTTTTTTTTTTTTTGCTTTAGAATATATTATTCTTTGTTGTAATCAGTTGTTAAATTACTAATTTAGGTCCTTAACCTAAATTTAGTAGATTATCTTGTATTCTGCTTAGTTCCCCTGCACACTCATTGATTGTGCTCCCAAGTTTCCAATTCTTGTCACCCTCCTGCTGTATAGTATTTTGAATCTGATCATTGTACTCTGTTACTGAATGTCTCTGAATACCTCCTGAGAAGTTAAAAACTAAATTTATTACCTGCCAGATCCTTCCATTTACTTGATTTGCTGTTTTGCTTTCCTTTTGTGTTCTCATTGTTCTTGCTGAAGCTGTTGTTTAGTGTGACAATGTGTTCTCATTTTATTTGTTCTATGTGTTTGGATTTGTCTCAGTAAACGTAACTTCACTTTAGGAGCTCGCAGAAAGTGATGGGAGCACTTTCTATGCCAACCACAGGTGTCCCAATCATACCCATGACTAGCATGGGTATGCTGATTTCCTTCATGTATTCAGACGAATTTAGATCAAGCATGACTAAATGCAAGGGCCAGTGGAGCTCTTAAAATGACTTTCTTTGTGGGGGTCAGTTTAACAATCATACAATTTTCTCCTGCCAGCACAGGAACTGAAAGCAGAAGGAGCCTTTTTTTTTTTAAAGTGAAAGTCTTTCAATGTCAGGAGAAGGAAAATATTAGGTAAAACCAAAGTTTTTGTTCTTTATTATGCATATTTGTGATTTTGCTTTAATTTTATGGTCTTTATTTTAACAAATGGTATGACGATTTTATGTTTTGGCTCTATAACAACTCCACTCTTTATAAAAGGGGAGCTTTCTATTTAGTTCATTCTTACCTATTCTCTTATTGATTATCATGGGTCACTTTCAGTCAGGAATATGAATTGCTCGCCAAGTATTCCTGAAAAATTGATTAAAATTGCTGCCATCTCTCTTGACGATCTTAGTGATCAGTACTGATGCCAGCCATTCACTTTGGGCCTTGTTTCAATTTTATGACTTAGGAGGAGATATAGAGCGGCGCAGTGTAACACCAATAGATGGAGGACATCTTTTATTGTCACTGTTGTTAGACTGATAAATTCACATGTGAAGACTTTACTACCCACCCTTTTCTATGCCAAAAGATTGCTTTGTGCAGGATGATTGGTGGATATCTATCTTGTTTGTGAAGTTATTTTTTCTTTGAAAGGTGGACTCAACCATCTTGGTTGACATTGTTCCCATTGTGAACAATTAACCTGTTTCCAGGACGGAACAGTGAGGGAAAGGTTGCAATAAAACAGATATATCCCTTATTTTTGCATATCTTGATCCCTCACTATTAAGAAAGAGATGTTATTATACAGATAAAGTATACAACAGAAATATAGAGCTTGACTTTTCTTTTCTGTGAAGATTTGCACTTCACCTGACTATTTTTCATTTTTAATTTCTAATTCACTAAATGTGAAGTATTTTTCCACAATTTCTATTGAATTGTTCGTTTTGTGATTTAGTACAAAAAGATAAGTTACCTCTGTATCAGGCTTTAGTCGTTGATTCTGGACTACTAGTTGCCGTGAAAATGGCCAAGGGACATGTAACCAAATACTAATGTTGCTGTATGTATATTTTTGACCCAGCAGATTTGGTGACATTTTCAACAGACCCATAATAAATGTATGAAAGAACCAAACTTTATGACTGTTTTTTGTGACAAACAAGTATGTGTTCTGATCACTCTATCACAGAAAAATAAGAGTTGTAGAACTTATTGGGAACTCAAGACAGCCATGACATTATGTTTTATGCAAGTGTATGTAAACTTTTGACCACAACTGTAAACCAATGGCCACAGCACACAGTGCTGTTGGGAAATATGTTAATTTCAGTTATTTATGTGATGTTTGTTGAGCTCCAGTGGGGAACCTGCTTGAGTTCCCTACTAGAACTTAGGGAGGGTTTAGATAAGAATAGAAACTTTCTCCATTTCAAAGGCTTTGAAGGTCTTTGTCAAAGGCAGCTGTGCCAGAAATGCTGGTTCCCAGACTCTGAAAATTTCTGATAATCCCTGTATAAATAGGTAGTTACTCTGTGTGGTTACAACAGATCAGACCGAACAGACAGAGAGCATGTCTGATTATTGTACCAACAAGACTGACTGGATGTGAAGGGTTGCCAAAGTTTGTAAAAATTCGCCTAAGATCACTGATCTGGAAGGATTCAATACTTCAGCCAACATATTTGGATTTGCCTGGATTTGCATGCCGGGGTCAAGAAGCAAAGCGGATAGAGGAACAACTGTAGGTTGTTCCTGTTTTCACATGGCTTTTCTCATAGTCAGAATTGAGCAAGAACGATCTGTTCTTGGGTAGAAACTACCCTCTGGAATCTGTGTGCTAGTTGAGACCCCTCCCATCACAACAAATGTTTCTCAGTCAAGAAACAGTTTTGACATACGGGACAGTGCAAATGATGGATCTTAGAAGCTGATGACAACAGCTTTTGCATAAAATAATTGCAGATTACATGGGTTTGAAAAGCAAATTAAATGGTTTAGCTTAAAATGCTTTATCATTATGTTATCATCATCAAATTGAAACATATCTTTGTAAAAAAGAAAAAGGAGAAAAATTTCTCAAAAAAGGAAACAAATTGTAATATGATGAAATATTAAATGGTTTTGTGGATGTTCAGTGTGTGCTATGGGTGTGGGCTTTTTGTGTGAATGTTAAACTAAACTCTGAAATTAAATGTACTGAATCTCAACAATGTTGTTGTCATTGACAGGAGGAGGTAATATTGGGAGCTTCAATGTTTGCTCGTTGCTTTTTGCTGATGATTTCATTGTTTGTGTGGGTCTTCAAACAAAGATCTTTAAACTGCATTTGAGCAGCTGCATGAGGCCATTGTTCACATCCGGAAAAAAAAAAACAAAACAAAGAAACTATTTCCCCCCGGGATGGACGGGTATGTATTGCAAGTGAAGTTAATGTTTGTTGGTGTTTTACTCATCGGTGATCGGATGAAGGGTTAGGAAACTGTTCCAGTTTATTGTGGTGAAGAAAGATATGAGATAAAAGACACACTGCTAAACCACAATCCATTTAAATTGCAACTCTCATTTACTTTCATGATGTATTGAAAGGATAATAGAAGCAGCTGAAATTAGCTTTTTTAAAATTAGCTTTCTCAGCCTTAGAGCCATGGTGTGGACCTCTGATGGTTGGATGGACAGATGAATAACGATAAAAGATGTGAGTGCAAGGCGGAGTAGATTAAGCCATATTTAATCCAACTTGCACGTAATGGCTATTCTCTACTTTGGCATTTCTGAAACAGAACACCACCAATGTCTCTTCTTTAAGAAACCTTTCTAATTTATAACACAAGTGCAAATATTTTTGTTGTATAAAATTAGTTGTTTCTGATGATATGGAGTCTTGTTTGAAACTTAAAGAGTACTTTACATTCTTTAAAACTGATCAAGTTTAAACTTAGCATGATTTAAGGGTGTTAGTGGAATTTGAGAAAATATTTTCATTCAATCACTCGTGTATGCATGGGGAAATATGTTAATTTCAGTTATTTATGTGAGGTTTGTTGAGCTCCAGTAGGGAACCTGCCTGAGTTCCCTACTAGAACTTAGGGAGGGTTTAGTTAAGAATGAAAACCTCTGCCATTTCAAAGGCTTTGAAGGTCTTTGTCAAAGGCAGCTGTGCTAGAAATGTTGGTTCCCAGACTCTGAAACTTTGTGATAATCCCTGCAAAAATAGGTAGTTACTCTGTGTGGTTACAACAGATCAGACCGAACAGACAGCGAGCATGTCTGATTATTATACCAACAAGACTGGCTGGATGTGAAGGGTTGCCAAAGTTTGTTCAAATTTACCTAATATCACTGATCTGGAAGGATTCAATATACTTCAGCCAACATATTTGGATTTGCCTGGATTTGTCAGCAGGGGTCAAAATTCAAAGGGGAAAGAGGAACAACTGCGGGTTGTTCCTTTTCTCATGTTCAGAAGTGAGCAAGATTTATCTGTTCTTGGGTAGAAACTACCCTCTGGAATTTGTGTGCTAGTTGAGACCCCTCCCATCACAACAGGTGTCTCTCTGTCAAGAAACAGATGTGACATACGGGACAGTGCAAATGATGGATCTTAGAAGCTGATGACAACAGCTTTTGCATAAAATAATTGCAGATCACATGGGTTTGAAAAGCAAATTAAATGGTTTAGCTTAAAATGCTTTATCATTATGTTATCATTATCAAATTGAAACATTTCTTTGTAAAAAAAAAAGAAAGGGAGAAAAAAACTTCTCACAAAAGGAAATACATTGTGATCTGATGTATCCATGGATGTAAATACTTTTGTAAAGCATTGGCACTTATGTTTTTTCACATTTATCTTTAGTGATGTCTGAGTTGTAGTGTAAATCTGAATAATGCCCAGAACAATTGGGATTAAATTTATCTATAGTAAACTTAAATACAAAGGGGAAAGAGTAACAACTGCGGGTTGTTCCTCACTCACAACAAAATCTGTTGTACTGTGCAATCAAAGTAGTGCTGTCAGTATAAACTGGTAACAATCTGTTAATTTGTAAAGTTAGTCAAGCCAGTGTGTGAAGAGGACCAGGCTGGATTGAGATGACCAGTTCCTCACTTCTCTTTCAAGTCATGTTATTTAAAAAGCCATATGTTCTGTTTGATCCATTCCAATAAGATTATTTTCAAGCCCCAACAATGTTTTAAACAGAGCTGCTCCATCGCCTGTTACTGCTGCCAAAACTGCAGAAAAACAGACTCATGAGTTTTGACTCTCACTAGTCAGGCCCAGCATGCATGCACTGGCAGTATAGCCAGTGACAACATCACCATCTTTTCAGGCAACGCATGATGGAAGAAGTCAAAAACCAAACAAATCCATCACTCAGCAGTGAGAAAGCAATGAATTCTTCAGGTGCATTAATGTAGCAAGAACTCAAACAGTGCATGTTTGATTGATTTCATTACTGTGAAATCAAACACGTACTTGAAGCACAATGTGACAAATACACTATTTACTTAATTTAGGTGTGGTGAATATGCACAAATACATGCAATAAAACATTACAATTCTTTAAATTTAAATTCAAGCTCTGAAGATACTTTGAGTAATATATCCATCTTGGCTCAGGATTCATCAGGTTCTCTATCTCTGAAAGATCTTGAAGTTGAACCTCATGTAACAAACTGCAGCAAAACCTATTTCTGCATGTAGTTATCTAGGTTCACTTATTTATTCAAATTGGGAAAATAATCAGAATCATATTAAGGATGATATTGTAGTCTATTGTGTGTCACCAAAATGGATCCCTCTATGGACTGCACTATGGATTTGCCTTGTTATGTATTTTTGCAAAATTGTAAATGTGATGTTTTTCTTTTAAAATGCACTGAACATATTTTTTTGTGAATGAGAACATTAAAAATAAACTGAAATGAATTAAACGATTAGAATTCAGAGTCTATTTTGAGATCTAATAAAACAAGGTACTCTTTTTTCTGATAATTCATTATCAGAAAAATCTAATTTATCTAATTTCATCTGATAAGTGTACAGAGAATAGAAGAAATAGAAGATAAGTGAACAGAGATATAATGTACTGAGAAAACATTCTATCATAGTTTTGCATCTTTAAAACTACGTCAGTATGCTTGAGTGTTATGTTACATCATGTCCTGTTTATTTCAATTCTTATGATCAGGAAGGGAGTTTCAATAATCTATCTCCCTCAGTGACTTAAATGGGGGGAAGATCCCAATTTTCTAAATGACGCATAAATGCGAGACACCGTTAGATTTTATGTTAATTTGAAGTCACTTTACTATTCTTACTATTATTGTTGTGACCATCTAGTGTTTCTATGCATGACTTTTGGATTCGCTCAGTTTCCCAAGAATTTTGATTAACTTCACATTCCCAGGGTGTCTGGGTGCGCATGCGTCCTTCGGCCAACTAAAAGAAGGGGGGAGAAAAGAGGATCTCGCAGCTAAGAGCAAGATTGCCTTCCTGTAACCGCTTTCTGCTCGCAGAGAGTCAGGGTGTGAGCCTGCCTGCGGTTCGTGAAGAGACGAGCGTTTTTTGAGTCTTCGCTGCATCCTCTACTCGCATGTAAAAGGGTCAGGCGTGTGCCTTTTATTTGCATTCGCTTTTCCCCACAAAAAGAAAAAAAAAAAAAGGACCCTCAGAAAAGCAACGTGAACTTGGCTGCAACATCAACTGCTGTTAATCGGAGAGGGTCTTCTGCGTGGATTAGGACGCATCTGCCCAGCAGCTTCGCTGGTAAGTGGAGCCGATTTGAACCCCTTTGAGTTGGGCAGGAAGGAGTCGCTTGAATAGTTTTATTTATTTATTTTTTATTTTTTTGTAGGAGTATAGGGAGCTTGGGATGAAGAAAATATCAACTTATTTTGATCGCATCATGACAGTTTAAGCAAAACAATTCTCAAGCAGTTTTATTTTATAAACACTATTTATAGTTAATGTTACACAGAAACGAGTTGGGTGGAATAGAAGATAAGACAAACATTGACCCATGGATGGAATTTTAAACACGTTACAATTTTTTTTTTTATTTAATAAAACGTCAATGTATTTTTGTCCCCCCCGATGGCTGTAAGGGTTTGAAAGTTTAGTTTGCATCTGCTGATGGGGGACTGACTGCCCTGGCATACCTATAGCAGCAGTTCAGTGAGGCATTGTCATTAAAACAAATATCGTTGCCTAGATTCCCAATAAACAGACTTTGTCCACAATACCTACACCTATAATTCAAGGATGTTTTCAGGAAATTAGAATAAAGAATCTTAAAATGTAAATGGTGGTAAAATAAACATATTCCATCTTTCCCATAACAGGAGGAAGGGTCCAATGTGGTTTTAAATGAAGATGTATTGGAATAACACCTAATTACAGATGTAACTCAAACTGATGGATCTCTACTTTTATATTAGTCTTCCCATAATGGTCCCTTAAGGCAATGGTTTGTAACCCTGGTCTTCAAGGACTGCTGTCCTTCAGTTTTAGGTGTTTCCTTGCTGCCACATGCAGCTGTCACATATAACTGGCTGATTAACAGTCTTCTGCATCACTTGATAACAAGAGTATGCAAGAAATCATCCGATAATTAGAATCTGGTGTCCTGGAAAGATATTCCTCTAAAACATGCAGGTTTAGGCTTCCTTTGTGTAGGTATAACACAAACATTTGTTTGTGCCACTCTCCATTAGCCTGATAAATGCCAGACGAGCGGTGCCTGTACAGAGTAATAGGAGGCCCCGATGGTGATCAAAAGTAACATGTAGAAGATGCATTGTATGTGAATGGAAATGGCTATGGGGATGTACTGCCGATCTGACGTGTGTTTTTATGTACTTTTTCTTTTTTGTATTTAAGGCTATTGTCCTTTTTGGGTGTGGTGTTCTTGTTGTTCTGCAGTTGTGCCCCTGCTTCCTAGACAAATTTCTACTACAGGAGACTAATAAATTATTGTATTGTAGGACAGTAGTTCTTGAAGACTGATTGGAAACCACTGCCTTAAGTACTTTGAACTTAGTAGAACAAGTAATTGACAAACAGTTCTTTTAGCAGTATTGATAAGGATCTGGTCCATATCACAGTGAAAAACAAAGTGTCACTAACACCTATAGAGTAGAATTTAATTTTGTTTCAGATAACATTTGGTCCCACTCAAAAATAGGGTAACATGTGCTCTATAGGCAGTGTCAAAGTTTCAGAGTTAATTTTACTAAGTTTTAGAGTCAAAATCAACAAGTCAGTGAGTCAAATTATCTTCTGGTTGCATCTGTCAAGCTTTTAGTTCTTGCATACTCTTGGATGATGAACTCACCAACAGACTTTGTTGTCAAGATTTTTTCAATCAACTTCAATTTGAAAGAAAAAAAAAGCAAAAAAACTCTTGAACCATAAATCTACATAACAATGCTAAATTCAATATAATAACTTACTGCTTGTGCCTCATAATTTATATGAGTTAGATAAAGCCACTGCTGAATAGATAAAGGCCATAGCCTCTATTCATTATTTATGAAAATAATCATAAAAGTACTTCGCCTGCTGCTGAGACAGCAGGTGAAGTAATACCATTTCCAAAACAGGAAATGTTATGACATTTCCTGTTTAGCAGCAAGGCATTTTATTCACCATCGAAGTATCTTTCTGTATTTTGCTCCAGCAGCAGCTTAGCAGCTCCTTGCATTTTCAAAACGACATCCTTCAGGCTTATAAATGAGGTCTAAACACACCCTGTAACCAAGGAATCTCTTACTGTCTTTTGCATGTTCGCAGCCATTTGTTGAACAACAAATCAGAAGCAGTAACAGCTCGGGTAAATCACATGTTGTTTAGTGCAAAAGGTAGATGAGGATGGTGAATACTGAAGATATTTATCCTTTCCGTGGTATGTTTGAGTGAACAGTACAAAACCAATGGAAAAGGGTCAACCATCAATGGAAACTTCACCGAATTTCTAGAGCTGCTTGATTTATGGCCAGCATTTTATGATTATTTTCTTAAATGTTCGCTTCAACATGTAAAACTATTTCACCTAAGATGGGACAAAAAGAAACACAAATTACAAATGCATTTAAAAATTCAGAAATGTTAAATAACATTAATTAATACCACCACTTACTTTAAAATAACATTTAGTCATATTAGTACAGTGACAGAAACATCTAAAATTTGGGCAATATGAATTCCAATTACTTTCTCTATTTTTCCAATAGATCACTGAGCATATTTGCTTATGTTGTAAGCAAATATGCTTACAACATAAGCATATTTGCAAATAAGGATATACCACATTGAAACTGATTAAATCTTTTGAAGTGTTCTTTTTTTTTCTCATATCTTGTGGAACTTGTTGGGTCAAGCATGGACACAGAGGCATGTAGCTGCCTGACAGTCATTTGATAACAGCCAAAACTGCTGCTAAATGGAAATCCTACAACACGTTTCAATTTACAGGTGAAGCAAATGTACATGTATTTTGTTTGCACATGTGACCTTAGCAGTTAAAAGTACTTGAGTAAAAATTAAAATTTTGCTACTATGAGTGGGCATTCATTATAACTTTCTTTTGACATGATGATAAATAAGAATTTATTATTTTGATAAATACCATGTTTGTTTGTTTTTTTTGCACTACTTTTCTCCGATGTCAACAATGCAAATGGAAATGGAGGTTGTTTTAATTTATTATGGGATTAATTGCTTTCTTGTGACATGCCTACTTAGTGATACAAATCGCACTTCTTTATGTGGCTGCTGTCTGAATGAATTGAATCAGAAAAGGGTGTTTTATTTTCAAGAGCAGTACTTGTTTAGGAAGTTATGATTGCGATCATTAGTTAATAAATAGTACTTTTTTTTATTATCGCATAGTAACCCAGAATATTGTGATAAATCCATAAGTCCATATCACCCAACACTTGCTGATTTGGCTGGAAATACATGCTTTAAAACAAACACTGTTTCATCATAAACACTTAGAACATCGAAAGGAAATATGAGACAGCGTGATGAGCGTAAGTGCTTAGGATGCTGTCATAGTTAATTGACAGCTATTGTCAATCAGCTGTACTTCTCATTAACGTAGAAGAACAGCACAGTTTTGTTGCTCTTCCTGGGACACCATGGTCAAGACAAATGCCCAAGTTCTCTATGACATCTACAGTACTTTCTGCACTTCTTGTTTTTGGGGGTGGGGGCTCACAAAGATGCCTTGGCACACGCAGATGCTTTAAGACATTACCATGGGTGTGTCAAAGTGAGAGATTTTCCTATCACAGTGCTCAAAATGTCAGGTGGTCACCAGATTAAGTGTGTTTGACTGGATTAAAATCGCGGATTATAAATCCTCTCTAGATATTTAGAATCTCTTTTCTGAAAGAACACAAGATTTTTATTATTCTGTGCGTCTGTGCTTTAATGATAGCAGCTGGTGGATGAGAACAAGTTTTACAAGAGCAAGCTTTTCACTGAAGGTCATATTTTATGACAGTCCTGAAGCATTTTGCCAGAACCTTACCCTCTTTAGAATCAATCTAATAAATTGCAAAACAATCTGTCAGGAAGGTATGCTCTGTACAGAGACTGCATGAGAGGCCCTGTTGCCCTCACAGTATTTCCTATTCCTGGTATAATGGTGCCTTGCATTTTTCCACACTTTGTCACATTACTTTCACAAACGTGCATAATTTATGTTTATACTTCTTGTTGTCGTCTTCTTTATCGTTTTTGCCATTAGTAACATCTGGCTGTTGATAATGTGTCTTTTATGATGCAAAAAAGTTGTTTCCATTGCAATTCTTTGAAATGCATCTGTTTTGATTCGGCCAAAAACCACCTCATCCTAGCACAACAACTTTTTTTAAAAAATTAGATTTTTCTAAATTGATGCCTTTTCCATAAAATTAACAAATTTTTGTAATTTCAGTTAGTGCAATTTTGTGATTAATGAAAAGAAAACACAGCTACTGTGATTCACTGTCCATCATTTAAAAATTGTAAAGAGAGAGACAGATATGCAAACCTTCCAAGATTGACCTTTGAATCAAAACTGACCAGCCTGGTAATGAGACGATTAATCAGAAAACCAGGAGGAGTTGCAGCGATCTTCAGCTCAGGTGGCAGAATCTGCTACCTGAGTAAATTTCTAGTGGTCCTACCTCAAATCTGTCTTCAAAAGAGGAACTATTAGTGAAGTTATTATCATTTCTGGTAATGAATCATCAGATGTTATAGAGGAGGGCAAATGGTATGAAAGGGTGCTTTTCTCAGACTGGCTCAAAATTTAACTACATAAAATATACTGTAAAATGCTGTGGGATTTAAAACAGTCTGAGAAATATTTATTATTAAAAGTTTTTCCACAGAATGCAATGCAGTAGTTCATATTTTTAGATCATGTAAATGGTTTTATTGTGTCAGTGAGATTACTGAATTACTAGCAACAAATTCAGTTCTGAGATCCTTTGACAAGATTACTTTCTCTGTACTATTTTGTGGTTGCTACATGACTCTTCTATACGGGTTGTGAAGCTACCACCAAATAGCTATTTGACTATTGCGGTTAGTTTTTTCTCAATTTGTCTGTCTATGTTACTGTCTTGACTTATCCTTAGATGTACAGAAATAACTTAAGCATGCCTTTGTTGGAGAACTTTTCTGACCCCCCTAAATATTTCTTTCTGCTGGTGCCAAACATCTTCAGTCAACTATCCAGAGAGCCTTGCGGTGTTGTGTGCTCTTTTCCCAGTCTGGCCTGCCTTGAGCACTGTATCTCAAGCACTCAGCTATTGTGCTTCTATTGTTACCTTTTGGGTTTACTTTACATTCAGGATGGCGATCTAATTAAAATTGGACTGTATTGTTAGTACTTTAAGAGATAATTTCGAAGAGGTCTTAGAGAACTACATGGCCTAAGTTAAAGACTATATATTTAAATAAGTTAATTCCGTTTAGAGATAACATGTCTATTAGAAATTTGTCAATTACACAATGTAACATATTTATCGTTTGAAAAATTTACTTAAGAAATAATTGAAATTGTGTGATTCTGATGTGTTATCAGCAATCAGCATCTTACTTCTATTCCAACATAACAAGCACACTCGCACATACTGTATAACCCAAAATAGAAATTGAACACTGAAATTGATTAGCAGCAATAGGCTAGTTGTGAATCAACCCTTTTTTAGAGATTAAAATTTTCTGTCAAGAAAGAATTACGCAAGATGCATTTTGCTCAAGACATAGTCAAATGTGATTTGAGGACATTGACACATGAGTTGTCAGTAGAAAAAATACAAGGTTCAAGGTACATATGGTAGTAGACCAAATATGTAATACAATGTTGTGATCCTCGACACAGTTGTCCTCGGTTCAATTGCATGCTGTTTGCTGCTTATCTTCCTCTCTCTCCTCCTACTTTCCTGACAATTTACTGTTCAACAGAGGCCACTAGTGCCAAAAAATCTTAAGTGTTTTGTGCACACTGGATTTTACTAGAATTCTTTTACAGAGAGCACAGTATTCCAGTAAATCTAAATATTTTTTATTTGTTTGTCTCACTCAGGGTAAGATCATGCACTGTGGAGACATGAGCAGACCTAGGAGGATGTGAAGATGTTCCAGAGCACTGCTAAAAGTAAGATTTTCTTGTAACACTTGGGATTACATCAGATTTGGATGTCTGACTTGATGGGATATTAACATTAATTTTCACAAATGAAAGTAAAGGAGACCTTAACCATGTTAAGTACATGATATGATGGCAAGTTGTGTTCAGTTGCCTGCTTTTCAAAAAACTAATGGAACCAGTCGAGCTTGGTTTGGAAGTCTGTTGGCAGTTTCTGATACACTGATGTCCAGGGACATGTCTCCTCCGCCAGTAAAATGCTGTCTGAAGGCCTGCCCGAAAGTAATTTCTATTGATCACCTTGGCAACTACCAAAGCTCGGAGACAAAACTGCACCATTGACAGACCTCTCCTGGCAGCATAATTTTTAAGTGCCCTTTGTGTGGACTTGATCCTCAGTCTGCGCTTAGCTTTCCTTGCAGCTGCAGATGGTTTTGTTTACTCCTTGGCACATTTCCGTCAATATAATTTAACATGTAACACAACAGTCAATGAATGCGTCATAAAAAGACATTGCAGCATACTATAAGTTGCAGAACTAGCAAAAACATGGGCCAAAAAATGTGTGACTTGTTAATTAAGGAAAAATGGTAATTCTTTTTTTCTTATTCAATAATAGGAACTTTTTTTTTTGTAGCAATTTCTTGCAAATGTTGATTTTGAACTTTTCTACAAATGGCATTTGCCAGACTTTCTGTTAGGTTAGGTAGAAGGGATTACTGCAGGGGGTCCCCAAAGCCTGTCCTAGAGGGATGGCATCCTGCCAGGTGGTAGTGACAACCTTTTCAGAATGTCAATGTTTTTCTTAGGCTTCTAACAAGCCATTATTTGATCCAGGTACGTTAAATCAGGGAGAGAACTAAAACATGCAGGATGCCGACCCTCGACCACCGACTTTTGGGACCCCTGGATTACTGCATCAAAAGCAAAAATCTTGAAACCAGCAGCGGCTGTTCCACAGGGGGCACTGGAGAGCCACCGTTCCTGATGAGGAGGGGAAAAACATAATCTGAAAATGTTTTCTAAACATGATTAAAAATTGTATTTGCCAATTTTCTCTCTCAGGGTTTGAAAATCAGCTAACAATTTTAAAATCCTGCTGTGTGAACCAGTGAATTTAACAGTAAATTTTTCCTAACCAACTCAGTTCTTTTCTTTAGCACAGCTGATAGCGACCAAGTAGTGGAGCTGAGTAGCCAATCGTGTTTGGTTGTTAGAGGAGTGTAATAAACATTTGGCCCGACTGAACCTGTCTTTGACACTCTTAAATTTCACCACTGACTGGAAGACCCCAGAAGGTTTTGGCTCACCCTGGTGACACATTTAATAACGGCAACAACGACAGCTGAGAGGAAACTAAATAACCAATCACGTGTGGTTTTTAGGGGAAAGTAATAAACATTTGGCCAATCAGAATCGCTGCACTTAATGTTCTTGGGACTTTCTGAATTTTGCCCCTGCCTTGAAAATGCCAGGTTTTGGCTTGCCAGGGTGATAAATTTAATAAAGCCAGCAATAGCAGATAAGTAGTTTAGCCTGGATTCTCCACCTTCAGTAACAATGCAAAGGATTTTACATACACCCATTTGTAAAGGGTGTTTGTCCCTCTGTGTATTTAGTTAATATATTGCTTTTCTCTTTTTCTGTTTAAAAATCATTATGAACAAGACAAAGGGGTTAATTGTAGATTTCTGAAGATACTGGGTGGAGGAGATTGAAGAAAATACCTTGGTGTTCATGTGGACAACCAACTGGAAAGCAGATGCAATCTACATAAAAGGACATGGCAGACTACTTCTGGAGAAAGCTTATCTTTCAAGGCTTGCAACAAGATGCGGCATGTCTGTCGAGAGTGTTCACTCCTCCAGTGTCATCTGTTGGGGTAGGAGCATCAGTGCCAGGGACCTAAAAAGACTCAACTGCCTGAAAAAGAAGGCATGATGATAGAAGGCTTTTACTTAAAAGCACAACCACACATATTAGCAGTGCAAAGACCCTTCTGGCTCTGATTGGTTGTTTCTCATTTGCACAGGGACAAGGCAGAGAAGCACTCTTCATTTTTTTCTTTTTTCCCCCCACATTATCTGCTTGTACTGCACCGTCACAATGTGGTGACATTTTCACAAATACGCTAGGATATAGGAGGGCAATTTATTGGCACATCAGCCCCATCAAGAGTTTTTCACCAGCTGCTGCCCCTGCTCGAAACCCAGTTCCACCAGCAACAAGTGAATCAAATTCAATCTGCCCATTAGCTTTTGATTCAGACTTTTAGTGGTCCAGCTTGCATTTCTTGAAAGTTTGCCTGAATTCAAAAAGATATTAATAGGTTCTGTACCAACAGTCAAAAGATCCACCTTGCTTCTAACCTGAAACTCAAATATGTGGATATTACTGTGTGATCTTGAAAGTGTGACTCTAAATAGCCACTGATACTACAAGACCAGTAAGTTTATCTCAGTTTCTCTTTTCACTTGTGTTGGCACAAATGTACACCTGCTCAGATTATGTGGCAAAGGTGTTTAACTTTTTTGTCTATCTTTCACTGTACTAAAGAAAAAGTGGCGTAAAGATATAATAAAATATATATTACGTACTTTTATTTTAACTTTTTTTTTTCTTTTTTTGTCACTTCAGCATGGTGCCTTAGGCTTCTCCCAATTCTCGTGTTCTTCATCTCCTTTGTCACATACTACTGCTCCTACGCTGTACTCCGGAGGTAATTCAACACACATTGAAGTCGTACACTCTGCATGCTGCCCATTTCTGGTAAAACCGTCATCTCACAAGGCCTGCACAGTGCTGAGTCACTTCAGGTTAAGAAAGCATCCCACAGTTTGATCAGACAGCATTTTTTGGGGGGGCAAAATGAAACCTCATAAGTACCCACTCCTGCACTTTTTTTCAATGATCTGGAAACTATTACTAGAACACATTTTCTTTGGGATTTCAGCAGCAGTTTTTTAGTGGTGGTATTTGTGTTTTTCAGTTCTGGTGGTCCCAGTGAGATTCTGAGCAGTAGCAAGTCGCTGTGTGGAGGCTGGCTAACTCAAAAAAAGTGGGAGAGCCTTAACCTTAAGTGAGTAATGGCATTTTTGTGTTTTTTGCACCATTCCTTCTCCTCCCCCTCAACTCCTCACTCACTCAATTACAGGAACAAATGGGTGGCATGTTTGGGAAGAACCGGAGCAAAACACACCCTTAAGGAACGAGTTTCCATCCAGACAGTCGAAAGTCGAATGGATTCCGGAAGCAATTTTGAGAGTGAATGAATAAGACAAAACAAAAAAAAAAGAAAAAGAAAAGAAAACTCTTCCATGGAATTGCATGGAAGAGTTACATCCTTGCTTGATGTCATCATTCCTTATTCATTCCTTTCAATAATGTCAAGGGATTGCTGGTATTTCTGTAGGATTTCAGAAAATATATATATGGTCACGATCTGTGAAGGGATTCGACCTCGTCTAGGATCGGTGCTTGTTTGCCTGGTGGGCTTTAATTTATTTCGAACAGACCGAAAGAAAAAAACAATGGAAAAAAATTCCACAGTTTTCCAATTGAAGCAGTTCAAATTGAGAATCTCTAAAAGGCATGCAATTAGTTTAAGATTAACTGCCCATTGTTTTTGCATTTTAACACTCATGAGAAGGTTTTCCTGGCAATCACTGAGAGATTTCACTCATTAAACCTCTCCTACAGAGGTCTGTCCGGATGTCCTGCAGGGAGCCAGCTCCCTTATGTGGATAATTAATGTCTGGGAGACTCTCTGTCAAAGACTGCAGATCATAAAATGCTGCAGTCTGATGCCAGTGAATGCGGAAAATAATTAGTTTTACGTATTACAATCTGCCATGTTTCCCTCCACAGGCTCTGTTAATGTTTTTTTCTTTTCTTTTTCTCTCGTCAGCAGAGGCCATAAGTGAAGCAATTTAAAGAGGGAAAATTGCTGTTGAATGACATCATGTAAATTGTTGATCGTCTCATGAATCTGGTTAATATTAAGAATGGTTACAAGAACATTTGATCAGGTTCAGGTATATGTCAAGCACATGAGGTTTTCATGTGCTGGTGTAACTGTCATGCTGTGGTTGAGTCGACCCTAATTGGAAATTAGATGACAAGCACATCTAGGTAATGAATACTGTGCAATATACCATGTCAAAAATGACAATATTGAATAAAAAAAGAGTTTTCTTTCTTTTTTGCATCTCAAAAAGTGGTCATTTTATATAGATTTAATACACAGAGTAGAATATTTCAATCTTTAATTGTTTCCAGTTCTAATAAATTTGGCTTACAGGTAAAAGCCCAAATGTCAGAGTCTCATTAGAGACACATTAAAATATCACATTAGACCAAAAAATGTGTTTTTGTAGCTCAATTCCAGACTTCTGACAGGTTCTATGTACAATTCTGTGGCTCAACACTTGGTTTGGCTTCCTTTTGCATCAATTACTGCATCCATAAGAATGTGGCACAGAGAGCTGATCAGGCTGTGGCACTGTGTAAGTGTAATGGAAGCCCAGATTTCTTCGATAGCTATCAGGTCATCTACCTTGTTGGGTCTTAACAACCGATCGATTTTCTATAGGGTTAAAGGTCAGGAAAGTTTTCCAACCAGTCAAGAACAGGAACACCAGGGTTATTTAAGAAGATTGTGGTACCGTACGCAGTGGGCATGTGCTGATTCCTAATGGAAAATAACATCAGCATCTCCATACAGGGTGAAGCATATCTGTTCTTGAATTTCCTGGTAGAAATTGTCAACTGTGGACTTCAGAAAACGCAGGTGACCAACACCGGCAGACGCAGTAGTACCCTAAATCATCACTGACTGTGGAAACTTCACGGTCTATTTCAAGCAACACGAGGATCTCTCATGAGAGATATTATTATCACACAAATGCAGAATTTATTTTCATCTGAAAACAGAAATCTGAACTATAAAAAAATAAGTTCTGTTTCTTTTTTCTTTATGCCTCTGAAGTTGTCTTTGGTGCAGGAGTGACTTGACCATGGGAATGGAGGCCATTTTTTTTAAGCATTTGTCTGAGTCGTGGCTCTTCTGGAATGGATTTTGCTTGACACTCCTCTCAAGGCTGCAGTTCTTCCTGTTTTGAGACCACAACTTTTCCTTCTTCTGAATTTTCTAATATGCTTGTATGCAGAACTCTAAACAGCCAGTTTCTTCAACAATGACCTTTTATGACTTACCCTCCTTATTAAGGGTGTTGGTGACTGTCTTCTGGACATCTGTCAAGTCAGCAATCTTATGCAAGATTGTGTAGCCCACTGACAGAGTGAAACTTTTGCAAAGGGTCAGGAAATGTTTGTAGATGTTTTGAGTTGATTAAGTAATTGGGGTGTCTCATTGATGACTTCCATTAATGACTTTTTTCAGTGTTCTTATTTTCTGAGATGCTGAATTTTTAGTTGTCATTTTCTGTAAGCCATGATCACCAAAATTACAAAAAAACAAATGCTTGGAATGTATCTCTTTCCATGAGTTTCACTTTCTGAGATGGCTGGCAAGATTATTGCACTCTCATTCAATATCATGTTTTTAAAGATGTTTATGAATATGTTTTCCTGTTTTTATATTTTCCATTTTTCTGTGTTATTGTCATATAGTTTTTGCAAAGCAGTTCTTTTTCTGTTGGTGTACTGCTGCTGGAAACTGATTTTCCCTGAGGGATTAAAATAGTTCTTTCTAATCTAATAGTAAATTGTGTCATCACAAACGTTATAGAACTTTTCAAAAATTCAAACAATCTTTTTAAGCGTGGCTCATATATTTTAATATAAATTATGTAAATGCTGAAGCCTGGTAGAGTTTTTTCATGTTATAATTCCTGCCCTTGTACTTCTCATGCAGCATCAGCAGACAGACACAACTTTTTCTGAAACTGGAGGATTTCTTCTGGCGGGAGCATCTGTCCAAGCTGCCTTTACCTTACGGCATTAAAGGCAGTGGTATGTATTATGCACTGGTCTTCTTTCCTCTGGTCTGTCTGCTCAGGTTTTCTCACATCATCCTCATGATGATCATGTTCATAAATATTTCCCGTTAGCTGTTGCTGGAAATGATTTGGCTGAACTTAGTTACAGGGATGTTAGACATGAATCTTTCCAAGACTTCTGTTGCCATTAATTTGGCTCTCTTTGTGTTTGAAATCTCACATGTAAAATCAGTTTTGGTGTCAGCAACAAGCTTTTGAAGTTAAAAAAATATTGATTTGGTCTGTTTGTTCGTGGAGAACAAAAAAAAAGAAGGTAAACATAACATTTTGTCACCCCTGATTTTGCTATTTTCTCTTGAAGTGATCTAATTCCACAGTTCTGTAGCTTGAAGATTCAAATGTTTGCTGCCTGTAATACACCCTCGCATGAAAAAGAGCTATAAGTAGACAACTCCACATATGGTTATCATAATGTCTCAGGTTGGATTTCTTCTGCTTTGAAGATACTATTCCTCTGCTGTATATTTTTAGATGGAAAGAAAACTAATATTCAGGAAATTTGGAAAAACTGTTGATCAACTGACCACTGTAAGAAATTACAAGAAAGTTTAGAAAGATTCAGAAATTAGGTGTTTTCAACTTTTTAGATATGAAGTAAATACATTTTGTAAATTAGTCATCTACTTTGGAAAAACGGCATAGTTGAGAGTGTTGCCTGGCAGCAGACCCAGTGGCGGCTCTGGAGTGTCGTCTCTCTGGTTTTATCTTCTTTTGTTTTTCCCAGATAATTTATCAAACTCAATGTCCCTTCCTGTGTTCCTGTTTTGTATTCAGCAGCCCAAAATCATTCTATTGAACTGGAGCCCAAGTAACATAACTTTAAATTATTTGAACATGATGCTTCCACAAGCATATTAAATCTGGGGGCTGAAGAAGTAGGGACTGTAACTTTTCAGAGTTTGAGAAAACCATTTATTTTATTTTCACTTCATTTTGATCCATCTAGCCTATATTGAGCCGGATGAAAAGTGCAGAAGTGTTTGGTTTTAATCTGAACAAACATAACAAAGTTCAAAAGACATAAATTCTTTGTCAAGTAATGTTAGTTGGCTTATACATGCTTTGTTTCAACTTGGATGACAAATTTAACACTTCTGGTGCAGGCTTCCGTCTTCTATGCAAATGCTGTGTGTGTGCACTTGATTGCTGCTATTGTGACACATGTAATTCATCAATAATTTCTCTTTAAATTTACAGAACTTCATCTTATCAATGTACATTGTTGTTTTGAGGTTTTAAAACTGTAAAACATTTTCATTGTGTAACTTTTCTTTCTTCTTTCCAAGAGTTGCTGCTGCTCAAAGTTCTTGCTATTTCTTCCAATTACCATGTGCCAGCCAAAATTGAAAAGTAAGTACAGCAAGAAAAGGCTAATTTTCTATAGTTGCTCCCAGCACTCTTTGGATATTTTAGGTATTAAAATTGATATTTGGTTATAAAATCATTTTCTCATAGATTCCAAGAAACTAGATGTTTTTGACAGTATTTGTCAATGTTGGTAGATGTATTGCTTTTAGAACCCTATTGTTTCCAATTGGCAGACAGAAAAGTTGTTAGCCACAGAACTTGCCCATTTTGAAACCAGATGTGTTAATGTGAAATTTATCTCCTCAGCCTTGAATGCAGAACCTGTGCAGTTATTGGCAATGGATTTGTCATTAAAAACAGCTCCTTGGGAAGCGTCATCAATAAATACGATGTTGTCATTAGGTAAGCAAAGCTCAAACTAATTAATTTTTCTTAATTTATTATTTTCTAGCTAAAAACTACAAACTTCTAACCTGGGACAAAAACTAATGGTGCCACAATCGTATGCTCTGTTTTTGAAACGTGAGCGTTCAAACATTTACAAGACCATGACTATTGCCTCCATTTTCTTTCAAACATGCAAAAAAGAGAGAATCAAAACAACATTCTTGGTATGTATTTGATGAGGGAATTAAAAGAAAGAAAATAAAAGTCAATTTTGCATAATACCCACCAACCCATTAAGGAGTTCAGTGCACAATGTGGTTAGATTTGACAAACTAGTCAAGTGTTAGAAAACAGCTTTTTTCTACAACTCAAACATAAAATGTTGGACTGAATTCCACTGATGAAGTTTTATGTTCTCCATCACTCCCACTTGTAGCAAAAGGCTTTGATGGACTGAAAATGAGGTGTAAAAATAGCACAGGTAAAGGTAGAGAAAAGTATTTAAGAACTTTTGATTTTTCAGATCACTAAATAGTTTACTGAAAAGTTAAACTATTGAGTAATGGAATGTATTTAAACATGTTCCCACGTGATGCTGACAGACTCCCTCTGATAGTGTAGAGGTTAAATTCCAAGATAAAGCCAAGAATTTGGCAAAATCAGAGGCTTTGAATGCACATGTTTAGTCCAAGGCTGTAAAGTTAGAGTTTCAGAGTCTTTATAAACTTTCTTTGAACAAGCAGATTTTGGTCGGTTCACAAGGCATTTTTCTCCCCTTACAGCCCCTTTCTACTCCTCCCTCACATCTTTCCTTTTTTTCCAAGAAGCTAATGATTTCCCAGCCAAGTAGACTAAAGTTATTGCCACACAGAATCCAGTGCATGCCTAAGAGTTTGATGTCATCGTGGTGGTTTTGTGTGAAAACTCAGCTGGATAAAATCTGACTTTTGTTTCTTAAGCTTTCAAAGTGCAAACTATTTACCAGCCAAACAATATTTGACTGTGCACTGATTGGTAGTGTTTTTACCATTGCTTGACTTTGAAAGATTTGTATGGCAAAAATGTCTTCAAACTGATAAAATGCATCTACTGTTTTTTCCAGTAAAACAGGAGCACACTCTCTTTCCCTACTGTGTTAAAAATTAACTGATGCATCAAATCAAATTGACCTTTGGTAGTCAATTGAGATATTAAATCAAACTGACGTTTGGTAGTCAATATTTTGAAAATAGTGACAATCAAAGACCATCTCAAGAAAAAAATCGAGAGGATTGGTTTTATATTGATAACCATATCTGGTAGACATAAAGTTGCAAAAACTTGAGTTTGTTGTCAGTTTAGTTTACAAAAAACTTTGCACACACACTTTGATGTAAGAACAATTTGGACCAGTAAATTAACCTAACATGGGTATTTTGAATGGTGGGAGAAACTTTGAGTATCCAGAGAGAACTTACACTTGCATGAGGAAAACATACAATCTCCATGGAGAAAGTGATAGTCAGATATTTAAGCGCAGCACCTTATCTTGCTGTGAAGTCACAGTGCAAACTGTCATGGTTCAACAGTATTTTATTGTTTAAAAATGGTTGTTTTGATTGGGATGTTTTATTGTTTAATTAAAACAGTCAAATGAGTTTTTAAATATATTTATTTAGACTTTTATCACGAATGATAACATTTTGTAGCAGTAAATCTCATGCAGAGCTTTGCTTTCAGCTTTCAGTTTAAAGTGGCATGAGCCACTTGAATGGAAGTGTTGGACTGTAAAGATGTTGTAATTCCATCAGAAGTGAAAAAGGGTATATATTAAGACAGGAGGAAAACAAAATGAATCCTAAGAAAGAACATGATTTAAAAAAATGGAGCTGATTAAAAGAAATGCATTGTGCAAGAGCATCATTCAAAAAACATTTCTGACTAAAGATTTTTATTCAAATCCTGAATTCTTTCATGCCTTAGGTTGAATGATGCTCCTGTAAGAGGCTATGAGGAGGATGTAGGAAACAAGACCACCATGAGGTTCTTCTACCCTGAGTCCGCCTCCCATAACCCTGCGCTGCATAATGACCCGGACACACTCATGGTCCTAGTGCCTTTCAAACAACAAGACCTACGCTGGCTCAAAGAGATAATCTATAATGAAAAAAGGGTAAGAGATATGTGTATGTGTGTGTGAGAGCATGGACATTCTCCCAAACTTGCATTTTAACTCTATTCAACTTTCCTCTTTGTCTCAAAATGCTCTCTAAAGTCTTGCATATCTGGAAGAAGTACTAAATAGGGTAAACCTGGGCAAAGCCACTGCTATTCAGACTTAATGGTGTTTCCATCACAGACATCCTTCACTCTGTTGCTCCCGGCATCTCCGGCTTCTTACCACTAATAGTTGCAGGGTCATTACTTGCTAATTTGCACATCGATTCAGTGGCCTGCAGACATTAGGTTAAATTGCATCTCAGTTTGCGTACATTAAATGATTCTTCCAAGCGAGTAGATGTTTTTTATGCAAATGAATCTTTCTGTAGCTTTTGCTTTTATAATGTCCTCTTTTGTTTTTTCTTTTTTGTTTTTCTCTCACTCTCCCTCTCTCTCTGTTGCCCTCAAAGGTTAGGAAAGGTTTCTGGAAACCCCCGCCTCAAATCTGGTTGGGTGATGTAAGCAAAATCCGAGTGCTGGACCCCCATTTTCTGCACCAGACGGCGGATAAACTTCTCAAGATTCTTTCTCAAAAGGGAAAACAGGTGAGGGGTTTCTTTTACCTAAGTGTTTATAGTATCATGGAAATTATGAACTTATACTTAAAGCCTTTGTTTAAAATATTGTTCAGGTTTATTTATTAATTATCATTGTTGCCTTGTGTTTTGGTCAAATTTGATTAGTTTAGTCATTTTACCAGACTAAAAACTCTCAAAAGTATTTATTTATTTAGGCCTAAAATTTTATTCCATTTCCTAAAGGGACTCAAAACACACAAAATTGCAAATATTAAAAACTTTTTATTGTTGTTTCTTGTATACAGAAGTACATCCTGATTGATTTTCAGTAACATATGCAAATAGTGCTTCAAGGGAATCCATCTTTATTCACGTTACTGCAAATACAGGCATCTGCTAATCTTAAGAGTTATGGACTAATCCCAAAACAGTAAAAGTCCCAGACTAGTTTGCAAGAGGCTGATAAGTTTGTGTGTTGCATTAATTAATATTAAATTACCATTGATATTTTTTTATCAATGAGCTGTTACAAGGCATGATAAGCTCATAATTTTCTTTAAACAGTAGTATAAAAATACACTTTCGTGCTCTTATACATTGATATATTGAAAACTCACTACTGTATAAATAGATCTATACTGTCTGTTTTGAGGGAAATCTGTTCTGCTCGTAAGCAATTATTTATGAGCACCATTTGATGGCTATGCTGTGGCTCAGCTGTATCCTAAACTCCAGTTTTCCCACAAGAACCTTCTTTCTTTTTGCTTCTTTTTTTGTTTTCTGCTTGCTGATCACTGTTTCCCACATGAATGTTAAGAAGGTTGGATGGATTATCCCCTGATTAGCCACAGTTTCTCCAGTAATTTGTCTTTAACTATGTAGATACATCACATTGAAACACATGTTGCTTGAAAGTTTGGCTAAATATTTAAAGTTGAAGTTTTGTATTTATAAATACAGTACGACATGGTGAAGATTACCTTCTGCTTGTCATTAGTGCGTCCTGCTTTTGGGGCCACATAGTAAAACCATGACTAATTCAGTTTCATAGCAAGATTTTTGTATAAATTTTAACCAGATGCTTCTGTTTTTAAAAATTTCTTTCAGTGCCAAACCTATGTATTCTCTTTTATTTAATTATTTTGTGGTAAATCTCCTTATTTGGGGCCAATTTTTCCCAGATGTATGATTATGATTAATGGTTTAAAGAAATAGACACAATAGCTACAAAATCAAATACAAGTAGAAGGATTAACTGCATGGTTATGAAAGAGCAACTGTTGTGTAAACCTTACTGATCGGATTTGGAAATCCTGGGCCTTAAGCTGGATTTCATTACACATATTTGGACTGAATTCTCTTGTTTCCTTTCACAACTACTTTGGTTCGTAATGCTCGTGTACCTTGTTTTGGTTCTGCTTATCCCCTCTGTTCTGGACTCTTTCTGTTGAACAGTGAATAGGGGGTGTTACTCTTTTGGAGTGCAATACAAACACAAGTGGTTGGTGCACGAGAAGGGTGAGCAGTGGGAAGACGGGGATCCTACAGGCAGTCAGCGGGCTCACCCAACAGGAGCTCTGCAACATCTGCACATACTGTCCAGCAAGGGCCAAAGTGTGAGGAATGTGGGCAGGAAGAATGAGTTGAAAGACGCTGGTTTAAAGTGTTTGGAAGGGGAGGGACTTGATTCTAAACTAAGGTTTTGAATTTTACATAACACATTTTTTTTTATTTATTTATTTTGCAGAATCTGTGATTGATTTAGCCTTTTTTCTTGTGCGTCTGTGCCAAGTGGGAAGGAAGTTTCTGGTGTGTTGAAGCCTCACGTGTAACTACTTTTTTCCCCCTGTTACTTAGTCCATTGCAACTTTCACACACCACCACTATTACAAAGCTGATCTCAAGAGATGGACACGTTTTAGTCCACACACACCCACACACGCGCACATGTTGTGATGTTGACACATGTGATTCACCTAGAAACAAGTTGGCTCTGTGACTTTTTGTTGTTGCACACTCCAGTGATACCAAAGTGTATTAACCACAATGTTCTGTTCAGATTGATGCTTTTTCAAGAGGCATGTCTTAAAAGTTTGATAAAGGCTGTATTGGCAACATTTTTCTGTGAAAGTTTTCAGTCAGATAATCTTGTCACTAGCAGGACTCTGCACACTGAAAAGGTAATTCAGTCATCTTAAACGTGTGCAGTTATTTCTCTGAGCAGATCACCAGTCAAGAGAAATTGGAAAAAGAATATTGTTTTAAAGCAGAATATGCGGAAATTAAATAGATCTTTATGTGGTTGTTTGAAGCTGAAATAACATAAATAAAATGAGTTATATAGCCCTACTGTCATCGGCTGTTTAACAGGCAAAAGACATGAAGGTAAATGTTCTGCCGCTCTTCTTTATCTTATGAATGTTTTGTGCTAGGTAAAAGTTTTTTCTACACCGAAAAAGTCCTTTTGTCTCTTCTTTCTATTTTTTTAATGCTCACATTTTTGTTTGCCTCTAAAGCTTTCTGTTCCAAAATTGTTTACCATGCTGGCAGTGATACAAACCCAAAGCATGATTAAACCACCCCTGTTTAATAATTGGTACCAGAAAGCTGTAAAATGTTTTAAGCAGTCCCTTTCTTTCCATTTTTTGTTCCAAGAAGTTAAATTGTCTTGCCACCTTCTATCATGGATTAATACTTCTCCTGTTTTTATAAAATGTTGCCTCACTTTACCTCACAAAGCAAGCATCTTGTTTGTAATATTTATTAATGATTTTAATATTTTGCTGACATCAAGCAACTTTTTTTCCTTGTGAATAACGTTGCCTGATCTCTTTAGCTTAATACCCTCTGTATGATGTAAAAGCAATAGTATTTTATAGATGTTCCGATTAAAAATACTGGCATTACAGAGAAGTAGCAGCTAATTTTAGGTGTTTGAAAGATTATCAACAAGTCTGGAGGAATGTTGAGATCATTTTGAAAACTTTTCAAGAAAGTCTATCCACAGGTTTTTTTGTTATTGTTGTTGTGTTTTTTTTTTCTGAAAAAAAAAAAAGAAAAAAAAAGAGACAATCTCTTTTTGGGTTGGGTTTTGCTCCGATAATCTTGAGATTTTGTGGTTGATCTAGGGCTGAATGAAAAACAAGAAAGTTTAGAAACATTTCCTGAAGCTTTTTAACTGACAAATACAGGTTCAGTTGGCCTTTGTAAATAGTTCAATGTGATGTCCGGACTGCTGATCTGTCCAGTATTTCACTCTCGCCCTGTGACTGCTGGATATGGGCGCCATCACCCCTCGCAGCCGCGCTAAATCAAGTGTGTTAGGTAATGGTTGGATGAACATAATGCCCGGCTTTTGTTTTCTTCAAAAAATGTGCAAAAAAATTATACTACTGTTACTGCAAATGCTTATCCATAAAGGTAAAGTGTGACTTTTGACCAGTTGCTGATATGTATATATCGGTGTATCAGGTTCACTAATTCAACAGCAAGAAAGGGGAAAAAATCCACCATATCCTATAAATGCGTAAATGAGTGTTAGCTTAGCCAGGATATCGCCTTTAGGGACGGGGAAACATTCCACTGTAAAGAATGCTACGTGTATCAGCAAGGTCAGCAGGACAAAGTAACTTATCAGCAACAAAGTCCCTTTTTAGAACCATTTGATAAGCAGCAGAGGGAAGAGATATTACCAGTCTAAGGCTATACTTATTCACCTTGCAGTGTCCGTCTGCAAGGTGACACTGACATGGATAGGTCAGACTGACCTATCCATGAAACAACAGTCATTCTGCCTTCAGTGTCTTTAGTTTTCTTTTCTTTTCTTTTTTTTTTAAGGACATTTATAAAAAAAAATCCAGTTCACAGTCAGATGATGATCTGCTTTAATTATCATATAATTGTGTTTTAATTGGTTTCACTGCCTGCGGATAAACATGACTGAACATCACCAGAGATTTGTCAGCCCTTCGCCAAGAACTTTTTGAAATGCTGCCATCAGGCAAACAGTTCAATAACTTCAAAAGCAGAAGCACCAGAGAGAGCTGCACAGTTTGATAATGTTTCACTAATTTCTGCTGAAGAACAAATACAAGTTAGGGACAATGACTCTTTAAAAAAAATAACATAACATCTTGTCACTCCATGTATGTGTTTGTCATACATCCAGTCGGTAGACTTTGTTGTGGTTATAATGGACTTAATAGATCTAGATGTAGCAGTTTTGATTAAGTTCTTCAATATTTGAATTACTTTTCTGTAATGCAAATATTGAATTCCTGACAGTTATATTGATGGATCAGTTCAGTAATTTAGCCATTGACACCACATGTGAACAAACATTCAGCATGATGCCTGATTTAGCTTGTTTACTTCATCATGTTCCTTTTTGCTTCCTCAGGGAGGGGGACGGTTCTTCAGTTGCTAGATTACTGTTGGATTCAAACTTTGTGACAGTAAACCTGACAAAGATAAGGATGCCCCACCTCCCAAATCACTTATCTTCTGAGCCAGTTGCTGTTGTATTTTCTATTGGTCCTCCTACCATCATGCCCTCTCTTTGCGTCAAATATTTTGATGTAGAATCTGGTGAGCGACTTTGCATATGATTTGACCTTGTAAACGCATGAGTTATTACTCTCATAACAAGTCATAGAAGCACCGTATAGTTAAATGCTGAAGAAATGATGCATAACTTTATTCTGGGACTATACGTGTCTGAGATGAGGGATGGTTGAAAAAAAAGTTTTTTTCTTTTCTTTTTAGACCGATAGTCCTGTAGTATCATTTTTCTCTGAATGTTTTATACTGGACCCAAAACTTGAGATAAAGGAAAAAAAACACTTATATGTACCTCTCAGATCAGTTCAACCCTCCAGATTAAACAAAAATACTTTTTTCCCCTTTGTGCTGACTGGAAATGTGGCAGTTTGCAGAGACACAAAACTGGACTTTGAGCTCCAGCTGAGGTCAAAAAGTCTGAGATAATTTTCAAAAGATTTTCTCTGTTTTGACAAGATAATCAGTGTTATATGTGTAAGGGTCATTTTGTTTGTTCAATAAAGTCACCAAATTTGGATTTCACCCTAAAGTTGCAAAAAACAGAACCTCTATGAGCTTAATAAAGTCCCTAAGAATCAAAGGAAATATGGCATTTTCTGCCCTTTGTCTCCCTGACTTTTATTATTTCAAAGTGATGCTTATTTTATGAGGCTGACCTTGCTGTATTTCTGAAATTTGTATTGGTTACTTAATTCTTGCACAGATCTGAAACGGGACAGATTTAAACAGACACAGTTCTGTATTTTTGGAAGTACCACCCGTTTTTGTTTTTTGTGAGGATGGGGGAGGACAAGCTGTTAGCGGAAGGACAAGCTGTCTGTCATTCCAATTTGATTTATTGTTCCTTTCAAACAGTGTTTGTACTTGTAGTTTTGTTTTCGTTTTCCTTATAATTTTCTTTCACAAGTATTGTTCTCTTGCACTTTTCATATGACCAATTATGTCCAATGTGCAGTAATTTTTAAATATGTTTGATTTCCAGCTTTTGGCAGTGGAACATTTTTCTTGTGGAGCTGTTATTGAGCATTTGCATTCAGATGGTTTTTAAAATGTTTTCAGTGGATGTGGTTCAGAACCACAAATCTATCTGGAATTGAGATGCATATTTTGTAGACTAAAATAAACTGCACAGTGCCTTGCAAAACTGTTTATATCTCTTTAGCATTTTAAGTTGTCACATTACACCCACACACTTCTATGTATTTTATTGGGATTTAATTTATTTTGATAATACAAATGATCCATATTTGGGAAACAGAAAGATTTTTTTTTTTTTTCATATAAAAATTTTGAAAAGTGTTTACATTTATATTCAGGCCCCCTGAATTAGTTTGCAGCTGTAAATCTTTCAGCTTTGTCTTGAACAGTTTTGTGCAGTCAGAGACTGACTTCTTTGCCTGTTGTATTTGGTAAAATGACTCAAACACAGAATGGAAGGAACATTTCAACCATATGTTAATTTGGTTAATAAATAAATGATAAACTAACCTTACCCTAAATGTTAAAAAATATGCAGAATTATTTTGAACCAGTATTTCTCTTGCATATTGAACCATTTTTCTTAACTATTCTCTTTGCATCTTGTTTTATACAAAAGCCTCCAAGTTATTAAATAGAACAATGTCCTACTTGGTGGTTTTAAGACTAGCATATTGTCGTATTTGACGCAGAGAAATGTACTAACATCTATATTTGATAAGGTCTTTAACATGACTGAAAATCAGTTGGAAAAAAAAATCCCTTTTTATCTAAAAATCTTAAAATTATATTTTGAATTCAGCACATTCCAAGGGTGATGTTGGTGTTCAAGAAGCTCAATGCATCAGCAAGTGTTTCTCTCTACTACCATCTAGTGGTAGATGAGTCATTGCTGTAATCCTTCTTGTAAATAGAAAACATGAATCATGCATGAAGTTTTTCAAAATACACACCTCCTTGACTTTTTGCAATATGTTTTCTTTACTCATTCTATTAATTTCTTGTTGTTGCTGATGTCAGGGTGGATATGACCAAACATTGGGATATTCTTTAGGAGTGACTGTTTATTTTTTCATCACTTACCATTTCTCCCCCTTTCCTACAGATTTCTGTTCACCCTACTACTGGCATCCTTGCTGTCTATGTTGCACTCAACTACTGTGATGTGGTCCACATCGCTGGATTTGGATACCCCAGTTCAAATAATCCACGGCAACCCATCCACTACTATGGATATGACACTATGAAATCCATGAAGGTGGGTGGCGGTCATGGTTTTGCATTTTAAATGTCTTCAGTATATCTGTCTGTCTAAACATAGAATTTCTTTGCTGTTGCAGAATTCCTACCATGATCTCAACCACGAAGCCAAAGCCTTAAAAAAGCTGGAGGATTCAGGAGCCATTCTTTACTTACACCCACATTTGTGATAATACTTAAGTCCCATATCTGATAACATTTATCACAAATATAGATCTTTGGATCTTAATTTGACAACGTGCCTTTTGGGAATCTTGAGTTTGCACTCTAAATTTCTCTGATACTTTGCCAATAAAGTTTTCACTCAGGCTTTGTATTCTGCATAATTTTTAACTTGCATGACAATCTTTAACTGAAAAACAATGCAACTGATCTGTTGCATTGTTTTTTAGTTCTTGTTCTCCTAGTTTCACTGTAGTTTATGGGGATTCATGTTCAGTTATTTTGTTTGGTTAAACAAAATACCAGCTGCAGTTGGCTTATTTGTCATGTGTGATTTATAGTAATTTATTTAGTACAGAGAAAAAGGCTCCACTGATTTTTATTTTTTTTTTGTCTACAAATTTTGTGCATTTGCAAATAAAAACAAGTTTAAGTGAAATTCTTTTTTTTTTTTTTTTACTGATATTTCTGAATTTTGACAATCGCGTTCATTGTTCAGGAAGCAGCCACAGCTTAGTGAAGCATACTTGTGTTTGACAAAAGTTTATTTTTACCAGTGACTTAGAATATTATTTATTCTGAATGAATGACATCATTCAGAATGATATCAACTATATTCATTCTGAATGATCGAAAATGCTTAGCTGCCCTTGAAGGATTTTGCTATATTTGACAATTTCCATCACTTAGTTAAATCCACAGTTTGGCCGACCCAAAAATGGAGAAGAGTACTAAAAGCTAACAGCAAAAAGATGCACCAGGGCACAGTGAAGGCTGTCAAAACTAACTAAAGAAAATGTGAAACCCCATCCAAGCTATAAACGTGTCTTCTTACTAATATAAATATCAAATCCAGCACCAAAGACCTTGTGAAAATGCTGGCTGGAGAATGACATTATTCACAAACAAGTCCTGTACATGAGTTGAGAAGCTCCTCTGTGAGGACTATTCCAAAAATATTCCTCTGTGCAAACATGCACAGACTCAAATAATGAACACGTTGGCTCGATGATTCTAAAACCAAAGTGTTTCACCAGAATACCCATCATTACATTTGTTGGAAAAATAAGGGGTAAAGGTTGTAAGCTTGAGAACACCCTTCCAACTGTGAGGTAATGTTAGCATGGGTTGGAACAATATGTCTGTCTTGCTTTCGGAGGAACTGATATACTTCACTAAAAGATTGCATCATAATTAAAGTACATAAAGAAATAGTGGTGCATTATCTCAACACATCAGCCAGGAAGTTAAAATGGGCTTTCTGATGTTGTTACTGATGCGTCCATATTTAAGGAAACTAATTTGGCTTTTGGAAAATTAAGCCAATGTTTTGTTTGACCTATTGCCAGAGAATGAGAAGAATTGATTTATTTTTTTAAAATATAGAGTATGTGGAGGAGCAGTTGGTAGGGTGTTAGAAGATGGATGGACGGATGGATGGATGGTGTATGTAAATATCTGGTTTCAACTCTATAACTACTGTTGCACTTTTTCAGTGGTCCAGAAATATATTGCATATTAAGGTTTTAAGAACAAAAAATTATTGTGTTTGTGCATCTTCTAGTTGTGGAGGCCAAAGTAATGATCTAAGTGGTAGCAGTCAGCCTCCATAAGGAGGCTGGCAAACCCTAAAGCAATGGGAAAGTCTTCACCACTAATGAGGCGCTACCCCCACCCAACATACACACAAAAACTGGAAGATTTGAATGGAGATTAGAGGAAAAAAACAGATGTCAGTGTTTTTACTTGTATTCAGCATTCTACAACCTGCATTTGCTCTTTACCAGCTGTAAAAAGAAACAAAATCTTAGAAAAGAAAGCACTTTGTAAAATTCACTGTACATTTTCATCATTCAAGCTGAAAGTTTTGATGAAGTAACCTAGAGAAAACAAAAGATTAACAAAACCATTGGTGTTGGCTCAGGAATGCATTCCTGGTGAGGTGCATGGAAATGTGTAATACACAACCAGTGCTTAATAGCCCATCTTTATTTTTTGCTACCATTGAGTTTAGATGTTATTTCACTGTAACCTCTGTTCTTATACAAAAATGATATGATTATGCATTTATTAGGTGACTATTTATTACATTTAACCACACACATCTTCTACAGTCATGAAACTAAATTCCAAACCAAATTGCCATATGTGAATCAAAATAGTTTAAGGTTTCTATGTTGTTTAGTTAATATCTCTGCATATCTTCCTTCCAGGAAGGTTTTTCATGATCTCATTATGAAGAAAATATGTCTGTTTTCTTCATAATGAAAATAGACAAATAAATAAATAAATAAATAACCCAGACCGGTGCAGGACCACTTGTTTAAAGGTTTTGTAACGTAGCATTCACATAAACTTCCGTGATTGTAGATGACAGGAGGTCATAAACTGCTGCAGTGTGAAGGCAGTAAGCAAAAAAAAAATAATAATTAAATTAAAAAAAAAGAAAACTATATTTTGGCCTGCCATATTAATTACAGGCTCTCAAATATTTATTTCACCTCTCACTCTTCTAAAGTGAAGATCGTGCACTGGTTCCAATCAGGCCTGTTCAGTTATGTAATTGTTTAATCCACATTCATTCTACCGAATAAAGACATGTACTGTATGGTTTGTTATTATATTTCCTGTTCACATTTCTTATGGAGCTTCAGCTGCTGGCATGACTGGAAAAAGATCTTTAGTTGTCTGGGTTTCTCTCTCGGATGTTACATTTGCAACCACACTTCAGATGATGGAAGGAAATAAGTAAATTAAATAAAAACAGATTATTTTTTAAAACGTTCCCCTGTTTTGTGATTGCATTATAGAGATACTGAGTGTGTCACTACTGTGGCTCACATGCAGGTATTGAGTTCACAGCAACATTTCTACACAATGAAAATCACGGAAGTTTTATATGAATGCTACGTTACAATCAGTGCTTTCTTTCCATATTCTGCCTTCATGTGAAGTACCTGGTTCTTAGGAAACAATAGTATAGATATTTTGCAAACAGATCATTTGCAGAAATGTTTCTTTTCCATTTGGACCACCTAACCTCACTGTTTTGAAAAAAAAAATGCTGTTGCATACATATACATATGTATACATATGACATAGATATTCAGAGTTTCTGAAAAATGAAAAAGCAAAGGCCCTCTTCCCTGATGCTTACTCTGGCTTTGGCAGAGCTAAAAACCACAAAACATTGGAGCTATTTTTTATTATCTCTCTCCTTCTGTATCCAGCTAAATTTGCAAAGTTTATTATAATATGTGGGTGTAAATGACAATTGAACTGAGTCGTTCTCTTTGCAGCCAAGCATAACCAGACCATCTGCAGCTGCGATTTAGTGGTTGAGAAGGCAGAAAGGAGTAACACCAAAACAGAAACTGTGGGCCATTACTATTTTCCATAGGAAGCACTAACTGTAACAAAACCAGACAAACACCAATTCACTGAACTGAGAACAGAAGATTAATGACAGCAATAATTGTACTTTATGCATAAATATAGCACAATATCACTCGGAGTAAACTAAACCACCAGCCTTTTTTCAAAAAGGGCCATTTGAAGCCAAGTCCTAAAAGTAAACAGGGTATCTGCCTTTTAGAGCTGTTTTCACAGAAGAGGAGACTAATAACTGAAAGACATTTTAGTCAGAGGCGGGTAAAGTAGCCAAACATTTTACTTGAGTAGAATTACTTTAATGTATTTTTGCTCCAGAAGAGGGAACAGCAGTCATCCAAAAGCTAGTCAAGGAGTTAAAAACTATTTGGTAAGAAGGCCACTCAAGTTCTGAATAAATATTTGCTCATAATTTCTAATTAGATTTGTGAAGACTATCTGATCAGAAAGGCAAAAATATAAAATTATGTGTGTATTTATGTTGAATCAGAAAAAAGTACTTCTAGTGACAATACATAATGTTAAGTACATCATAAAAATTTGAATATTGAAAAAAAATATCTACTTTAGGAACTGGGTTAAACACATTATTTTGATAAATTACACACAGATTGTTTTGAAGCTTTTACATCTGTTAAATATAATGATTGTTTAAAAACATATAAAAAACATTTCAAATTAAAAGGTTACATGAAACCAATATAAAATATGTTTGTACAGAAATATGGGGTTAATATAGGTTTAATATCTGCTTAATTTTTTTTCTTAAAAAAAATCACATAAGACCAACAATTAATTCACAATCAAAGTGAAAGTAAAAAGTATAGCACTATAAAATTACTCCAAGAAGTTTTTCTTTTTTTTTTCTTAAGCTTCAGTCTTTTGTTTGGCTTGCTGCTGTCTAGTGGCCAGTAACAGAAAGTAATCAAATATTTTGACATTAGAGGAAAACTAATGAAACATCTTGATTTATGAAATGCAAATAATCCTTTGGAGAATGTTCTTGATTGAAATATTTAATGTTTTAAACTCAGCTTTTCCCTCTGAAAATATGTCTTCTTGTAATTACTGAAGGTACAACAGATCAAATCAAGCATTTACATTTCTCAATGTTGACGGTGTGCTGAGCAGTGGATTTTATATTCCACTTTTTACAACAGATTTCTTCACATCCCACCAGGGGGATCCTTGCTGTCTGTTGCAGTTAGTTACTGTGGTATGGTTCACACTGAATTGGAGTCCACACAGTGAAATCCATGCAGGTGGGCGGTGGTCATGGTCCCGCATTATAAATATTTTTTTTCCTGCCTATTTTTGGACTGATGTTGTTTTAGCTGTGTTGCAAAATTCCTACCTTGATTTCAAAGCCATGAACCGACTAGAGGATTCAGGAGACAGTTTTTATTTACCCACGTCTCGGAAAAAGGTTTGTCACTAAAATTGGCCTTCTGGGCCAAAGACAAAAAGTGACTTTTGCATTGAGATTCAAGACTATATGCTTTACATTTTTTGTCTTGGTTGCTAAATATTTTTACTATACCTCTACACTTCTGCATTTAGTTAATTTGTTTAACTTCCAAAATCTATATAATTGAATCTTAAATTACAGGAAGAAGCATTTGTTTCTTCATTTGAATGAGGATGAATTCATTCTTGAATTTCATCCTTGAATTTCATGGGCATTTACAGTTTTCTTCCCAGTAGTTTGAGATTGATCTTCAGATTTTATTTTCTTTCTTTTGAAAACAGAAAATTAGCTTTTTAGTGTAAAGTTGTTAGGTCTTTGGGGAGTTACATTGGATAACTTGATGTCTTGTCATAGAAGCAAACGGCTCACAAATTTAGATCCATTCCACTAAGTATGGTTTATTAAGTATGGTTTATATTGTTTGCACGGGGAAACAATATAACATAATTTCTGATGTTTGATCAAGTATGTGGCTCATATAATTTATTTGCCTTATTTTGAAAAAAATAAAACTGGTATGACTTCATATTTTTGAATGTGCAAAATAAATTGAAAATGATCAAGATGAATTTCCATTAGTT